GCGGAGATATTCATTCGTATACTACAAAGGGAGCACGGGAGGGTTGCAAGGGCAACGACATGGGCGACGCAGAACACATGCACGACACACGTCGGCACACACAGACACAGACACAGACACAGACACAGACACAGACACACACGTACTTGCCAGAACCGTCTCACATAGCCTGTCACCCAGCCTGGGATTCTCCTGTCTTGGCTCAAATTAGCTGCCGTCTTGGATGCCGGAACCAGAGAATGGGGTTCTCGGTATCGATTTATCGATCGGTACGTGATGTTGGGCTAAGGACCAGGCAGGTAGGTGGTAATGGGGAGAGTACCAAAGTGCGGCGGCGGTTTCCAGATCAAACTCCTGTGGTGATTATTTAGCCTCGTGTGTTTCTGACAGCATAAAAAGTCTTGATTTGTTTTCTCATTTCCCTCTTTCCAGAGGGGAGTGTGTAAAAGCTTACCCGTATCCAAACAGCCAAAACTCATCGGCTTCGGCTTCGGCTGGCATGTTGACAGCGAACACGGAGTAGTGTGAGTTCGGATCCTTCTTACTAGGCGCGTATACGCAGTAGGGATGATATGAGCTCTTCTTGGTTTGATGTTCTCTTCACGGGGTTAAGCGAAGTGCATGAGCGCCTCAACACACAGACCGAGCCCAACAACTGCAACGGCCGTACTATTAAAGCCGGCGTGGAAAGTGCTGTTCAGGGCAGGTATTACATAAGGTAGGGAAAGTTGCGGTCAAATTCCAGTGCCAGCGAAAAGGTGGAGGATCCCATCCGGCTTGTGGGACTATCCGCTGCGGGAGCTCCAACAAGCGTGCTTCAGCCGGCGTATCGCCTCATTGGAGATATCAACATATGTATATTCTACAATCTGTGTGTATTATCTCGTCAGGCACCCAAGTTGGGCTTTGGAGTTGTGCTGTTTCTCTCATATGATATTGATCAAGTGTCACCCCAACCATATGCCGCCTGCCATTACTCATGTACCACGGCCTATTGCTCTGACTCGTGACGGCCTCTTGGTTTGGTTTACTTCTTTAAAAACCTCGAGAAGGTGACTCTGACAGAGACCGAGAAGGAGGAAAGAGGCTGCAGTTGTCAAACTCGCCAGCGGTAATGCTGAAACCCAGACTAGTCCGGATTTGCGGCAGCAAGCCTTCTCGAAAAAACTGGGGGGAAACGGCAACGAAGGCGCTCCACCTCTCAGATCCTAAAGTTGAAGATGACCCCACCAGGAGCGAGCCCCTGTGATGGACCCTTGTGACGCTTCTGGAATTTGATGGTCAACTGGACCATTTCTGTCGATTAGGTTGATACGGATAAGAGAAAGGAACAGGCTTCAAGATAACGTGGATATAATCTCCTTGCTAGTTCAAAATCTTATAAATAATAGTCATCTCGTAAAAGCGTCCGAGTGACCAGTGTCTAGGAAATCGGCCTGGGCAGGAACTGCACGACCGGAACCGGCACTGACGAAACGTCACCGAGTGGCTTTTTTCCAGCGCCAAGGGGACGGATTCCCATGATTACATTTCATGGATACAATTACCGTAAAATCCCCACTACCATCTCGCAGCATCGGGCACCGCTCCAGCACCTGGTGGACAAGACGCAAGCCGCCGTGCTCGGCGTCGAATAAGGGGCAGCTAAAAGTAATATCAACCTGTCGTCTCCCAACTTTTTTCGCGCTTCCTGAAGAAAAGGGAAGAAAGCCTTGTTTTCCCAGACATACCTATCTGAGGCTGAGCACCCTGCACGCCTGGCGCAGTACCAAAAAACATTACACTACTTAACCCCTCGCAAAGACCTCCAACTGTAGCCTCCCCACCGTCCAACCCTCAAACGTGACACACCTCAGGAGAACTACCAGCGACGATCTTGTTTTTCGAGTCGCAAACCACCACCTCCTTGCAAAGATGGCCTACAACAGATCCTACAACCCAGATGAGCTGCCCAGGTGAGTGCTGCCGCATGCATGAGAAACGCGCAAGCCCAAAACCTCCGTTATCAACGCTCTCTCCTGTGGCTTCTTGCTTTTGCGCTTGCGCCAGGGGGGATGGAACCCCACCATATTTGGCACTTTGCTCCCCCCTCCATCACCACATCGCCACCACTACCTGATGATCGTATCGTTTTGCTAACACGCCGCGTTTGCTTTCCTCAGGTTTGCGGAGCCAGAACAAGTGAGAACTGCCATTCTCTAATCCATCATTCTGCAAGAAGCTAACCGGCCGTCCCCCCTTTGTATCAGAAAGGACCAAGGTCGCCCACTGGACAGGCCCCCCCTCCATCCTCCCGATACGAGAACAAGCCACCCCCGCCTCGCCCGCTCGAGCACAAAAACTCACACTACGACCGCTACGACCAGACCGGCCGGTTGTCCCCACGACACGCCCCGCCTCCGGACCGATACGGCGGCATGAGCCCCCCTCCGACAGCTACCCAGGGACGCCCGGTTCAGCAGACCCGTCCCCCTGCCAGCTCCCGCCCACCCCCGAGTCCTGCCCCGCGCGATGGCGCCGCTGACCCAACCTTGCTCCCTCTCTTCCGGGCCGTCGACAAGGATGGTAAGCTTCGCGCCATGGTCCTTTCCTTTCTAACCAAGCTAACAAATCAAAGGCACCGGTCAACTCTCGGAAAAGGAGCTCTCGGCCGCCCTCGTCAACGGCGACTGGACCGCCTTCGACCCCCAAACCGTCCGCATGATGATCCGCATGTTCGACTCTGACCGGTCAGGCACCATCGGATTTGAGGAGTTTTGCGGGCTGTGGTCCTTCCTCGCCTCGTGGCGCACGCTTTTTGACCGGTTCGACACGGACCGGTCGGGGAACATTTCCCTGGAGGAGTTCAAGGGCGCACTGGTGGCGTTTAGGTACCGCCTCAGCGACCAGTTCATCAAGGTTCTGTTCAAGACGTATGACAAGAGGGGGGAGGGGGTGATGAGCTTTGACTTGTTTGTGCAGGCTTGTATTAGCCTGAAGAGGATGACGGATGTGTTTAAGAAGTATGATGAGGATCGGGATGGGTATATCACGTTGAGCTTTGAGGATTTTTTGACGGAGATATTGAGGCAGTTGAGGTAGATGATATGATGGGGGTGATGGGACATAGGGAGATGGGGGTGTTTAATCTGTGTGTCTAGTTTTGAGGCATGGTGTGTTGTTGCTCGATTTTTGGGCTTTCTTTTTTTTTTTAAAAAAAAAATACGACGGTTTTTTTCCACAGATTATTTTATTCAACAATGGGCAAAGGTGGTTGATCATACCGTTTGGTTTTGTTGTTTCATGAGCATAACAGGCAGAGCGAGCGAGTAGATGAGTCACTCAAGACACATTAGTCATTGAGGTGTAGCCAATTCATTGTTGACAACCGTAGTCTAGGTATTAGGGCTCTTCAAGCTGGCACCCTCCCTCCGTGATGAACCTCTTCCTTTTTGAGAAACAATTCCAAGTTGGACCGCCAATTGCACTTTTCCAACGAGGGGATGGATATCCCTGCTGCTGCTGTTGCTGGGGTTTTCCTGGAACTTGATGAGCCAACATTATCCTTGGCAGTCTTGTTTTTGTTGTTGTTGTTGTTGTTGTTGTTGTTGTTGTTGTTGTTGTTGTTGTTGTTGTTGTTGTTGTTGTTGTTGTTGTTGTTGTTGTCATCCTGACCCTTAGTACTCTCAGCATCGCCGTGATCATGGCCTCCCTGCTGCTCATCTTGCAGTTCCCCTCGGTCGGTGATCGTCCCCATGACAACACCACCACCACCACCAGGCTTGCTCGTCGTGCTGTGAAGGGTGGTCTTCTCGCCGGGTTCAAGGACAAGGACAGCTGTCTTGTTTGTTGTTGTTGCATTCTCTTCTTCTTCTTTTGTTGCGAGAAGCTGATGGATGTCGTCCTTGGTGTACTGCTTGGGGATTTTTCTTCTTCTGGAAAACAACAGCCTGTTGATGAGGCCGCGGAGGACTAGGTTGCCGTCGTGGGCGCCAATCCAGACTTTGGCGGCTAGTTTGATTGCTATTTCGATTCCTGATGGGACGGTCCCGCGGTGGTGGGTGTTGTTGAATGGGTGGAGGAGGACGGTCAGTGGGAGGGCGGCTTCGGAAATTAGGTGGTTGGTTATGTAGGTGTGGATTGTTGCGTAGGGGATTCCGTGGGGGATGTAGAGGATGCTGATGGGTCTGTCGTCTGGGGGTGGTAAGGGATGTTGCTTCGGTTGTTGCTGGACTGAGACTGGAGATAGGGGGGTTCTCAAACTGGATTGGGATTTACTCCGGAGTCGTGGGGGAAGGGGAAGGTGGTATAATGGGGGTGGTGGCGGCCGGTAGGTGATTCCTATTGCGTATTGAAGGCCTGAAATATCGTGTTTTTGAGGAAGGAAGGCTACTGTTATTTCTCCTGGCTCTCCTGGGGGTGTGGATGGGGTTGGGAATCGCAATATGTGAAGTCTGCCTGGTTCTTGGGGTTTCCATTTGGGCAGTGTTCTGACTCTACTCTTCTCAAAGTATTTCCAGCTCTTGATTTTGCTTCCTGAGGCTGGTGTTGTTAAGATGACCGTTTTCGTACCAACGGCTGGGAGCTGCTGGAGGGTAGCTTTATTGCAATGTTTGGAGCTGTGGTGGGATATAATGACCAAATCTGGCTCGGGAAGCTCAAGGAGAGACAAGATGCAGGGTGGCTGTCTGTGAGTTTCTTTAGCTATTTTTGGATGCATGACTTTGGCCGGTCCTGTGATCCATGGGTCTAGCAGGATTCGGAATGGCTTTGGGCTCTTGGATGGACCAGCCCGGCTGTGTTCATAGCTTCTGGGTTCAAAGGTCAACAAAAAGGTGGCATCGCTGTTGAGGTGTTGTATAGTGACGGCCATCGAGCCTGACCTCAACCGGGCTCAACAGTTATGACCCGATAAGGTAGGGCCATATAACCAATGTTTCTGGAGCGAACTTGACTCCGAAGCAGAGAGCCTGAATCTATACCTGTGGTCGTGCTAGACAGGGACAAAATTGACGGCCGACTGAAAAGCTATACCCCAGTTTCACGCGCTCGATAAGAATCTGTGTCCACGCTGGCAAAGTGTGATACCGTGAAACATAAAAATCCACTCACGGCGAAGTAAACTCCTACCAACTCGACCTTCACTGGGGAATTTCCGTCCATGTGTCCGACCACTGCGGCTGTGGTCGATGTAGCCCAAGGAATAGTAGTGTACCTGTAAGAGTGAGCTGTGATAACACAGCCGGCAGGTGTAATATGAGCATTCTCATCGTCCAACGATAGCCGTATGATAAGTCGATGAAGACGGGTTGTTGAATACGCGCCTGAAGCGTGATCTGGTACAACCATTACACCGAACCTGACAACTTGACAAGCTGACAAACACAACATGACATCCTCGGAAAGCTTCTTTGAAGGAAGTCAGTTGGCCAGCCAGCAAGATCAAACAGCGTGGGAATCGTCTCAAGTATTTGTGGAGGTCTCAGGAGAGAGAATACAATCTCGCCAGCTCAAGCTCCTGATTGTGATTTATGGAATTTGAGTCTTCCAAGTCAGGTCAAGACTCTGTAGAAGCCAGCTGGGGCGGGTGCCGAGCACCGAGAAAGCGAAGCCGTGTCTCACGAGCGGTTACTCGCGATGCACCTGCAGATCAATCTCGTGACGTTGAGTCGATTAAGATTTGCTTCGACGGGTGTTTGGTTCGTTTCTGTTCATTTGGCTAGCCTTCTCGAACTGCCAAGCAACTCAAGAGTCCACCTCCGTTTCCTCGGTTCAATTCATCGTGTTCAACTTGCCACCCAAGACCTGTGGCTCTGGTGGCTTCGAGGGGCAACAGCTGCGCTTGTCATGGAAAACCTGGCTGTTGTGTTCCGACTTGGAAAAGCAATGGCTTTTGAGCTCTATGCATGCCGAAGGCCCACCCACATTGGGCAACTTACTCCGGTTACTTGAGCATCGCAAACATTGTTGGTTAAGCACCTGGTGTGTTGAAGCAACACCATCGTGATATAGAGATCTTGTTATCATAGCAAATCGATAAAACTGATAAGAGGAGAGGGGCAAAAAGAGAGCCACCCCGCAATAGTCTGGCGATCCACTGCCCCGCAGACCCACCTCGAAATCAACGCTCAAGGGTCGCCTGGGGATCCCTGCTTTGCCGTTTGGGGTCGTTTTAATGTTGAGTCAAAGTCGTCTAGATATCGAATGTCGAAAAACAATGTTTGGTTATGCATGAAATACCGCGACTCGCTATGTTTGAGCCAGGCACACCATCGCGCCTGGGGTTCTATTTTGGTAGGATGGGCACAGGCATAGCTACCAAGTATGCACGGGATCTAGAGAGCTTCACAGGTCCCATTGCACGGCGTTCCGTCCCAAAGAGCACAGCTCTTGTCTGCTACTATCTTTTTTTGGGAGCTTTGCCAGGAAAGCTTCCTAGCATGGGGGTAGCTCGGGAGAGTCCGCCCGGCATCCAATCATGTCGGCGCATGTGCTCAACTTGTCGAAACTCGAGCACTTTTTCTCGTTTGCTCGACAGGCACCCCACCCCTTCTTGATCACGTCCGGGAGGCCCGTCATCCGTTGTTCAACCGAGTCAAGTCCGTCACCAGCCCGTGTCAGTCGGCTTCAGCGACGAATGGAGAAAACAAAACTCTCGTTTCCCCCCCACTGGCGCTTCGACTGTCCGATACGAAGATGTTTGAACCTCCAAGGAAGGCAGGCCTGGTACAGAGTAGGCTGAGCTGAATGAATTGAGAGCAGACCACGGAGCTCTCAGCTCAGACAACCGGTTTCTTGTTGGCCAGAAAACAGGCGCTGCGTGGGCGGAAGCTCGCCTCTCGCATCATCCCAGCTGCCGCTTGTTCTGGCCATCCTACCTTGGAAAGACGTCGAGGCGCCTGACACCACCTGACCTGACCGCCTCGAGAGACTAGAGGCCTCTGTTGCCAGGTTCCAGGTCAAGAGTCCTGGGCATCCCAGTTTGCGGCTGCACCACGAGTATGAGTTGACGCATTTTGCATGGAATTGCACAGCGTGATGGCAGCTTTTGTCTGCCATGCTGACTCCCGAAGCAAGAGTCCATTTTCCCCTGTCTGCCCTGACGACAAGACGCCAGCAGCTGCGGGTTCGACCCCGTCTTCTTCTTCCCTTATCCATCCCACACCTCCAGCTCCGGGATTTCGTGGAGGCGATCCTACCCCGGCACAGTAGGCGTGGCTTGTTCAGACTGTGGCCTGCTAGCCAGTACTTGTACAGACACCAGGCTCGGGGCGCCGTTGAGCGGGTTTGCGAAGCACGGCAGTCTCTCTTTAACCAGGTGGGCAAGGCTTGGACTAAACAGGTAGCAGACAGCGTGGACAGAAAGAGCTGCTTCCGGAGCGGGAGACCCCAAAGATACCTAGGCGCATGGCTCAATACCCGTCAATGAGAATGTCGGCACCGTGTCACTGCTTGCTCGCTGATGCTTACCTTAGTGCTTGTCCCTGTCTGGGGTGTGCTTGGCTCCCATTGCTTGATTTCGAGGACGGTCCCCGCTTCGATCCCCACCCTCTCCCTTCGAGCTGTTCCATCCATTCATTGTCTTCGCTCCCACCCCAGGCCCCAAGGGGAATTGCCACCACCGCCCGTCCATTCTTCGAAACACCTCTTGTTACACCTGCAAGAGGGAGCTTGGAGCTCTTTCTTCCCCAAAGCGCAATTCCAGAAAACAATTCATTTTCTAGCTTACCGTCGACAGGTCCAAATGTAACAAGCTTCGCGGTTGTCTTTTTTCTCGACTGCTCAATTGAATTACCTACTGCGACCCCGACCCTAACCGCTCAGCTTCTTATCAGCACCGCAATTGCCTGTCGCTGCCTATCGTCGCTATCGCTATCATCGCCTATCGACTCGACCTCCGAGAGCACCTCCCCGCCAGAGCACTCGACATCGCATGGTGGGGTTAGCATCTCAAGATGCCTCCAAGGTCTTCTCTCACTTCGTCCTTTTCCATTACCGACGCCAACAATGAGGTTGTGTGCCCGCTTCACAATCAGGATGGCTCCAGTTGCAGAAAGCGCTGCATTGGCGTAAGTCTGACCCGTCTGATCTCGACCGCCACAGCTTGCGCTGACAAGGCTCCCGACTGCAGGAGAAGAGATACCGCTCAATGCAGGAGCATATTCGAAGAGCGCATCCAGAGCACTACATCGCCAAGCTGCCTGCAACCGAGGAGAGCTTCTTGCTCATGATCAACACCCCACCGCGACCGACCGCCCAGCCTACCTCTGCTCCAGCGCACATGAGCCAGAACAAAGGACCGGCGCATGGCTACCGTAGAGATGACTCCAGTGCCCCTGGCACCCCGCGGCACCCTGATGAGTACCAGGGCGGAGCCGCCATGTATCCTGCTGCAGCCGCCCTGGCGCAGCTGCACAGCTACAAGAGCGAGCACGGATGGGAGTCTGAAGGGGTGAGTGGAAATCGCTGTTGAATTGCAGTGCGCAAACGCTGATTGGAATTTCTTTCATACAGGACTGGCATTCAGACCACGAAGGCGGCAGGCCGAGGACATCGGTCGAACTGCCACCCATACATCTGACCAATGCAGATGTGACGAGCATGCCGTATTCCGGTCTTGATCCTAATAGGCGTCGCGAGGTTCTTCCCTCGATTATGGCCAACTCTCCCCCAGGCCGATCATCAACCCTCCCGCCACTGCACAGACCCCTAGATGCCAACCGCCCGCGCAAGCAGTCCATCTCAAAACGGAGCCATCACCGGAGAAAATCCAAGGGTGCTGCCGCTGAATGGCTGCGCCGGATTCAAAATGATGTGAATCCCGATCTCCTCAAACCAGGCGGTGCCGACAGAAAAGCCCTTTCGGTCGAGCCAACAACTGATTTTGGCAAGCGCTGGGAGGATCTGATCGATGCGGCCGCCTCGGCAACGGAAGACATCGATGAGGACAGAACTCCAGTGAGTCTGAAATTCCCTTCCATGTTCGACCCACGCCTGACGACCCAGGTGCCTCAGTCGCCCGTATCCATCCCACGTGCATCACTGCCGCCATTCCCTCACAATACTTTCACGAGCTACCAAGCGTCCCCCTTGCAACAAGCCCTCACGCCCCCGTCTTACAACAACGAAGGCCCCGACCCGTTCCCGTCGGTCGAGAGCGGCGAAAGCGGCGATAATTTTCACATCGAATCTCGGGGCCTGTCCGATTCGTCGCCCAGCTTTTCCTCCCAGAACACGCAGATATACTGCGCTGCCTGCCAGGGCGTCTCGCTACTGCGGGAATCTTATGCTTGTACCGAGTGCATCTGCGGTCTTTGCCAGGCATGCGTCGACGTCTTGATGGGCGAACAGGGTGCTCGCAGGAAATGCCCGCGTTGCGCCACGATAGGGGGCCGCTTCAAACCCTTTCAGCTCGACATTCGGTAAATCATTTTGACCGAGTCATTGACGCTGCCTCAACGTCTTCTCTACTGTCTTTTCTACTAATCATTATACGGACTTGGCGTCAACCTCGGGCGGTTTCTTCACTTTCATACGGCCATCATTTTCATCACCATCGGCATCTGTGGGATATAGCAACATCATTTTTACGACACTTCATGTAACACCCATCACGAGAATGGGTTTTTGGTTGAGGGGATGAGCCTCGACATGTAGGGATACTCGCACAGCAGCGACTGAGGACTTTTTGACGACTACACGAACCATCCAGCGAGCCCGATGGGCATTTCGCTTCAATCTGATCAGTGAAGGATATATACCCTTTTCATATGGGCCCGATCTTCGTTGGGGATGGTCAAACCAACATAGCATGGATCGACTGGGGGGTTCTATTGGCGTAGCTGGTTTGAATTTTGTCTGGGGAAGACCAAAACGGCGTTTTTGCTTTTCCTTGCGTTTTTTGATCTTTCTGCCTCCTCACGTTATTTGATGCTCTGACACTTTGACGTTTCTAGTTGTGAAACTGCTTTCTTTCACGCCTCATTGAGGCCAGTTGGCGTTGGCTGGGTTACGCGAGACCTTTTGCTTTTCAGTTCTTTTCAGTTCTTGCCCTTGCTCAGCATGTCAGCTAGCTTGCGCGTTTTTGCTTTTGGCTTTGGGGAGATCTCGTAAGCGATTTCGTCATGACATTGTTTTAGCGATGAGGTGTGGGGAGTTTCTGGGTTAGAGGACCGCCGATCTACTTTGTCTGGATCCTGAGGTCGACAACACCGTTTCCCCATTCAACTAGAAGAGAATTTCTCTCAACGACTACCACCGGGTTGTTGTTGCTTACGGCCTGGCCTTGCCGACAGCTTTATCGAATATTTTGAATTCTCTGTAGGGTAGTAAGGCAATTTTCACATAGGACCTAGCAAGGCAATTCCTGCCTGTTTTGAGTTGACATCCTTTGCTGTGCGTGCTGCCTGGGTGTGTTGACTTTCTCTTGAATGAAACTTGAAGAAGGTATGTGTAGTAGTGGTTACCTCAAGGTCAATCACCAAACTGAACGGGCCTCTGCACCATCCACTCCTCTGCAGTAAGAACCTTTTTCTCGTCCTCATTGCCTCGTTCTTTTTAGTATTGGTTTAAACTTACCTGGTATTATTCACCCCTGCCCCCGTCGCACTCAAATCTATCCACGGTCTTGATCAAAATATCATTGTTCGGCCTGACAAACTGCACGATACTGTACCTCTTTTTTATCCCGTCGCTTCCAACAGTGGCACAGCAGGGTGTTTAGCTGGTTTGAGGTAGCCGTTTGAGTATCTTCCCTAGATTGACGATGGCTTGCCCGGTGAGAGGCCGGACCCATTCCCATTACCCGGGGATCGGGGAAGTGGTGGATTCTATGTCGAGGCCGCCGAGCAGAGTTAAAGAGGATGATGGTTGCGGTTGCTGAAGTTGGTCTTTGGGGGGAGCGGGGTGGGGGGGGGGGGGGCTCTGTGCCATTTCATTGTGGCGAGGAGTAGGTGGTATGTGTTAGGCGCCTAATCATGGTTGAAAAAGTCGTCGAGATTGGTGAAAGTGATGGCTGAGGAGGGCAAGTTACAAGTTTTTGGACTAGGATGGTCAAGAGGGCATGGCAGGTGGATATGAAAAGGTTTTTTGCAAGGGGAGATGGGGGGGGGGGGGGGGTTACTCCCGAGAGCAAGTCAGAAGAGGTAGCAGGGTGGAAGAGGGCATCTTTGCCAATGTTGAAGAACCTGGTTGTGTGACTGGGTGGGTGGATGGGATCGGTTGTTTCGACTTTGCCGGCTGGCTTGTAACTAACTACCATAACGAGACGGCCTTTTTTTTGGAGGGAGTATTTCTTTTTTCGTCGCGAGTGGTGAAGCTGAAAAGAGTCTCGGCGAGATCGTAGGGTTGGGAGGATTGAGAGAGGATGGCGGCGGCGCCTTGGGGGGTGGTGGCGGAGGCCGAGGTGAAAGAAGCCTTGGTTTTTGCATGCTGAAAGGGGTTTAGATGATTCTGTGGGGCCGCGCGGTAGTAGTCTTGTGTGTGAGATGGTGGTTAGGGATGCCAAGGGAGGTTTGGTGGGAATGGGGGAGTTGACGATGAGTCAGTCATGGCTGATAGCTGTTTTGAAGAACATTAATTGAAGGAAGGGTTAGTGAGGTGAGAACAATAACAGATTGGGATAGCTTTGGTCAGCTTACAGCTCTGACAGCTTAATACTACCAGCTAATCACCCACCAAGAAACACAAGCACGTCCAAGGAGGAGGTGGGGCCGCCAGGAATGCTCCAGACGGTAACTCGACTAAGCTGCAAGGGAGGGAAACCTCTTGCCATTCATTCAGGCTAGATTGCCCTCTTCAAGATATTTTGGTTGTACGAAATACGAAGTGAGCTTTCTCATTAGTGTTCGTCACATATCAGCTGTGATGTAGAAGGTCTTGTCCGACTGGGTATAAAGAGAGATATTTTTACCTATATATTTCAGACGATGCAATCTTTCTAGCCCCTTTTTTCATTTTTGTTTCTAATCAGGAAGGTATGGAAACGACTGACACGAACTGGTTGCTAGGGGGACACGCCAAGCTAACCCCCTGCCCCCTTTTTTCAGCTGAGCCCTACATAATCTTGGCAACGTCTACTGGTGCGGATCATTGACATGGGTTGCCAGCCTCAACTTCAGCTGCCCTTGGCGCTGTGAATTTCGCCATCATGTTCAACGGCTTCAAAATTGTGGATTCGATTAACGTCTTGATGCTTAAAAGCGGCCAATTCGTAGCTGGTCCCCATGACTCCGATGGTGATCATAAGGTCCAGTGGAACGCAGTGCGCAAACCCCCACGATGAAGCTTCACCGCGTTTGCCGCGTCATTCGTGCTCGCCGAAGCCGACATGATTGCTGCAGAGAAGGGGAGGTAATTGCCGAGGAGAAAATGCTGAATGTTGCGGCAATATGGATGAATTGCCAAGCAATCTACCAACCCTTTGGCGAGGGCTAAGGTCTTGGGCAAAGCTTCGACTGCAAGTAATCTATTCGTTGGCACCCTGTGCGTTATTCTTGTCAGTTCTCGGGCCGCTGCCCCCTTTGACAGACGATGATCATCACCACAATCGACTACCACCACCACCCCAAGGCTCGATCGTGGGTCCAGAGCCTGGTTTTAAAGCTCAAAGGCCAGGTTGCTATCTTCTCAGGTGTACATTGCGTATTTAGCCTGGTGAGGAGGTGGTGGTCATTGGGATGCAAGGAACGCCCCACTTGTGCTGGTGAGTGTGCGAGTTGACGGGTTGTAGGTTGCAATGGATCGCGTCTAGAATGACGGGAGGACGAGCCTCGTAGGCTCATCGGGCGGGAGAGTGATGGCAGAGTTGCGGTGTATGAGGGGTGCTTTGTGACTTCTTTGGCGCTAGAATTTGTTGAATGCCGGTACCCGAAAGACTGTCTTGTTTCCAGTACAAAATGGGGAGACCTCGTCAGATCGTTTGCTCAGTGGCTAAGTGGGCTCGTCGTTTGTCGTCCGGTCTAGTTAAAAGTTCTTGCATTTTCTGTCATTGGGCTGTTCTCATCCATCTCAATCTTATTGCTCTTCTTAACTTTTAACAAGGACTTTGTGTTGCACCACCCCCTCTCTGGCAAAGAGGCCATCGGTTGACCTGCGTTTCACTAACCATTGGAGTGGTATCGTGAAGAAAACTGAGAAGGCGCCATCCCGGAGTATTCAGCCCTGTGAATGCAACTAGCCGTTCGCAGCCAGAGTTGCCAAAATCAGCTTCCCCCTGGGCATCACCGCGAGGCCGCCTTGTCCGTTACACTTGTCGTATCCATTTGGGTCCGCGTGAGTTGCAACAAACGGGTTACAGCGGTGGTTCAAGTCACAAGTTTGATAGGAGTTCATCCGAACCTGACGACATCGATTTGAAAGAGTCAAGTGGCTCTTCAAAAAGCCAAGAGCGACACACTTCTGGTCTGCCAGACACTTTCCAACGAATCCATCTGTGGAACAAGTCAAAGGCGACGTACCCGAGCCTTACCACATCGTTCTTTCCTTCTGGTGACCAACATCCAGCGTGAAATCTTTCACAGTGCACAGAGCTCCAGGCAGGACCTCTCCACCGAGACACCGACCTTCAACCCTCCCGAGCTCTCGAAACTCAACATCTCCACCTTACCTGCCTGGAGGCTCGTTAGCCTCCAGCATTCAGCCAGTCCCAAACTTAGCAGTATTTTCATCGGTATCTGGCACAGCTCTATGCACCCGAAACAACAATGGCCAACGGCATCTTTTTTGTTTCTTGGGAGTTGTGGCAGCAGATGACTTTTGTATGTCCTCTACCTTACCTTCCTCAAAATGCTGTTTGAGGGTTTCGTTTTGCTAACTAGGCGTACCTGGCAGATCCTAGCTATGGGAATAGTGGCTGTATTTTGTGCAGGGCTGATGAAACTCTGGTGGAATAACCGTCTGGTGAAAAAACAAGAGCTGTTGGACGAAGAGAAGAGGCTGCGGGTGGAGGAGATGCGCAGGTCAGGTCTTGGCATGAAGCGAACGAACGATATCCCCTTCGGAGTTCGAGCTATACAGGGTGGCGTGGAGGTTGATGGGATATGGATCTCAAGACCTGCATCCCAGGACGACCCAGCTACTGCGAAGCTTGTATCCTCCAATTCGACGGCAAGTAGCCAATCTTCTGCCTTACCACCGGTCTCCCAAGTCTCTTTGGAGAGCCAACGACCGCTTTTTCGAACAATGGGCGGCTTGAATGAGGATACACTTCGAAGTTTGGAGGGGCATGGATCGAGACAGCCTCACGATATCTACGTCCCCACTTCGAGTCAACAAATACCCCGTTATCCTAGTCAGCAAAGCTCAGCGTCGTCGCTGGGAGAGTCTGCCTCGGCAAGAAGCGGGAGTGGGAAGGGCAACTCATCGGCACTCAATTCGAGGGTCTATGCGCCAAAACCACTTCGTGAAGGACAGTATCAGTACCATCAGGTGGATAGTGCGCGGAATGGGCAGGACTCACCCCCAGATCCTTTTCAAACCCCGGCCCGTACACCCAGTGGATTCTCAGTTCGACTACCCAGTAGAACACAGACTCCCCTGTTACCAGTGAGCAGCATACCAGCCCCCGAGCCGACCTTTGGGCCCGGCGACTTGCACTTGAACCGTTCTTCTCGGAGGGTGAACGGGGGATTCGAGATTCTACCAGCTGGAACTTTTGGAGGCCCAAGGAAGCTTGACCACTCCGTGAACCCAGTTCCGGGCAGAACTGCGTCCCAGTCTCCCAATAAGCCGAGGACATAGTCGAATGGGGTTGAAGGCAGAGCTATAGCTATGAATTATGAACTTGTATACACCGTCATGTTGGAAATAGCTTTTGGGTGTTAACCATCGGATGAGACAGGAAACTTAAGGAGTGAGCTTCGGAGGCCGGAGAAGGATGGTATGAATTTGAGAGGCCCGTATTTTTGGAAACTGTTATCACCCTTTCCGCTTTTACAAATTGCTGGGGAAACTTTGTTGGCTAATCGTAACTGTGGATGAAAAAATATAAATTCATATTGACTTTGAAGCTTCATGAAGCTCCAAGGGACCCAATCGGCATGCCCCACATTTCCAGGCACGCAGCGGGGTGGTGGTCTTGGCACCGCAGGTTGCTCGACCCACCCTTAACAGGTCAGGCGAAAGTGGTCACGGGATTCCGCGTCGTTGTTGCTCCAAAGCTTAACGCGCCCCGCGCCCACTGAATTTATTCGGGTCAACACCAACTTTCACCTACACGCATCTTCTTCGCCCTTCCAATCCCATACTTGATTGTATCGCAAACCTCCGAAGCTGGAACAGGAAAGAGAGCATTGTCCACCCTCGCGAATCAAGAAACATGTCGGCTCACGAGGAATACGATGAATCAGCGATGGAGGATGGGGGACCCAACCCTGGCGCGCCCACACCCCTCGCAGCCTTGGAGGTACGTTTTAACTACCTCCCACCCTTCCATTTCCAAAATCATTGACTTAGAATTTTTAGGGCGTTGCAGGTCTGACTAAACGTGACATTCAAATGATCATCGAGGGAGGCTACAACACGGTTGAGTCCGTCGCCTATACACCAAGGAGGGTACTTGAACAGATCAAGGGTATCTCGGAACAGAAAGCTCAAAAGATCCTCACTGAAGCTTCGAAACTCGTCCCCATGGGCTTCACTACTGCTACGGAAATGCATCAGCGTCGCAGTGAGCTCATCTCCATCACGACGGGCTCCAAGAACCTTGACACACTGTTGGCTGGTGGCATCGAAACCGGCAGCGTAACTGAAATCTTCGGCGAGTTTCGCACGGGAAAGTCACAAATCTGCCACACACTGGCCGTGACATGTCAGTTGCCTTTTGATATGGGCGGCGGCGAGGGAAAGTGCATGTACATCGACACAGAAGGCACCTTTCGCCCCGTCCGTCTTCTTGCTGTGGCCAATCGATATGGTCTTTCTGGGGAAGAGGTTCTCGACAATGTCGCCTATGCGAGAGCGTACAACTCGGATCATCAACTGCAGTTATTGAATCAAGCAGCCGCCATGATGTGCGAGACACGATTCAGTCTTCTGATTGTTGACTCAGCCACCTCGCTCTACCGAACTGACTTTTTGGGTCGTGGTGAGCTCAGCTCTCGTCAGACCCATCTCGCCAAGTTCATGCGTACTCTTCAGCGTCTTGCTGATGAGTTCGGGATTGCTGTCGTTATTACGAACCAGGTGGTGGCACAGGTCGATGGCGGTCCATCAGCCATGTTCAACCCCGACCCCAAGAAGCCCATCGGCGGCAACATCATCGCACATGCCAGTACAACACGCATCAGTTTAAAGAAGGGAAGGGCTGAGACAAGAATAGCCAAGATTTACGACAGTCCTTGTCTGCCAGAGAGTGACTGTCTTTTCGCGATTGGCGAAGATGGTATCGGGGACCCGGCCCCCAAGGACATGGAGAAGAACTGATGGATTCTCTCCAAAGGCATGGGGTCAATGAGTCTAGTATACATGTATTTATTTGAGCAGACATGAAGGATGAACGGGATGCATTGCAAAGGTTATGGGATGGTAATGAAGGGTCATGGTAGGGACAAGCAAGGCGTTTCGAGACATTGCATTTGTAGGATGATCTTATCTGATTTTAGCTTGTATTTTCAGTACTGAATTAATTGCATGGAATTCCTGGCTTATTACCTACCATACAAAACAAAAGCATAAATCAAGGTTCCAGTTGGCTGATGGTCGAGATGCTCCCGCCTGTTGTGTCTTATCAGCTTATCAGAAAACCCACCCTAGCTCAGCCCGGGCCATTCTGCCCAGTCTTGCTCAGAGCTTCCTTGCTTGCTTGGCAAGGCGGCCAGAATTCTGCCCTCCAAAGCTCAAGAACCGCGACCACTCTACCAGCAACGAAACGCGACAACGCCCCCGGGATCGTCGATTGGTCGCTAAAAACATCACATGGGGTCAAGATGCCCTCCAGGAAGTTTGAGATACTCTACAAAGAGGCGCGATTGAATCTAGAGCCTGCTTCGCCATCGTCTATTGTGCAGCTCCGCGTCGCACCGCAAAGCGCCTACGGACGGGCGAGCTCAAACCGAACCAGCACCGACGACGAGAAGGGCTACCGGTCAAGGAGCCTTGCGACTGCCTCCTCCATCTACTACCGAAAACACCACAAGTCTCCCAGAGCATTCCTCTGGCGTGTCCTCGAAAATGGCACCATTCTCAGCATTCGCGTCGCCGATGTTTGCAAGCAGCAACAAGTCGTCGATGCGCCGTTGATTCTCAACCTTCGCTTCCCTTCTGCGATACACAGTTCATGCATCGGCTTTGCAGACCCAAAGGATACCGATTCGTTGTGCGTCTTCGTTGTCGACCAGTCGAACCAGCTGTACTCGATCACACTGCGACCTGAGCTCTTCCGCAACAAGACAACGAGTGACGGGGGGCTGGGAGATGCTTGCCGGGTATACTCGCCGCCAGGGTTTGGGTTTAAGCACCCGCATCGCCTTGCGGTTGTCAACTCTGATCAGTTTATCGTCACTATGCATGACGGCGGCATCTTGAAGTTTGACAGAAACAAGACACACGATGGTAAGGCCCTATGTCATATGCCTTGCTGGAACTATTGGTGCTAATTTTGTCATGTTTACAGTACATGCGTCGCCTTGGAAAGAAACCATTTACAATGTTGCCGGCTGGGGACAAAGTCTGCGTGGGCTTGTTCCCTTCCAGCGAAACCCGACGGTCCGATACGAAAAGATCAACATGGAGTTGACAGCGGCCGTATCGACAGCAGTGGCGACCATGGGACTCGAAAACACCGCCTTTCTATTCACGATTTGCTTAGATCACAGAATGAGGGTGTGGGATGTGCGCACAGGTTCAATCTTATATACTGGCGACATCTTGAATGCGAATAGGGATGTGCAGGATGGGTCGTCATGGAACATCAATCCTTCGCACAGCAATCTAATCCGAATAGAGGAAGGCGCTCGTGGCGAGTGTCTGGTTACGACCTTTTCGCCTGTCGGTAACGGCGAGTTCAAGTTCTGGAAAGTCAAGGCCAACGATCAGGGGTCGATTCATGTTGCCGACTACTTCCCAGGCCAGCAATTGATTCCTCCGAGCCCATCCTCGATGGATGTCTGGTCAATGGCCGACTTCGCCGTCATGGGCAAAACAGAAGGGCCGGAACTCTGGGCTTTGTGGAAGAACAACACCAGCTATCGCGTGCACAGGCTGCAAATACACCCACGGAACGGCAATCGGTGCTTTGATGACGGGTGGAAGACGGTTTATATTGAAAACTCGGTACCAACAGTGGAAGCTTCGGGGCCATGGAACTCGATCGACTCCACTGAGAAATGGCTCGATCTTATCTTCTTCCCTGGGAGATTTTCCAAGGCTACGCTTGAAACTGCTCTGGCCGTTTATGAGAAGGGACTGGGTACCTACAAGGAGACATCTTCAAGAGCGGGCAAGAGTATTGCAGAGTCCATCTGTTCTGTTCTGGGGTCCACGGCGGCATTGGGACAGACCTCAGCCGGCGGTGCTGATTACGAGCAGTTCAGGGGTACAAGCGAAACGCAGTGGATGCGGTTTTGGCGTCTTTTGCTTGAGCTTGACAAGCAAAGGGGCGAAGCTCTTGCACTGATATATGATCCGGAGGAAGAAATGGTGTGGACTGCATGCGCAGACTTGCTTGCTGCCGTAAGGGAATGCAGCGATATGGACCGTGTTTATCACAATCTTTCGAGTCCAGAGAAGAAGGATGAGGATGTCGCTGCTCTGGTTGCTGCCGGTCTCACATTTGTGGAAGGTTTCAACGACAGTACATCCCAACTAAGCCACGCTGCCCTTCGAGCCGAGTTGTTCCAAGAGTCTTCGCTGCCGGACAGTGAAAGGATGCAGCTGTTCCTAGATCGGGCAGGGTTTTGGTCATCGGTCGGGGATGACGATATCGCCCAAGTCACCGACATTCTTGGTCAGAACTACCGGACAGTAACCTCTCGTCTGTATGAGGATCTGTTTGATTTGATCACAGCCACGAGCGACGCCAACTCACAGGAGCTTAGAGAGCAATTCACTGGGTTTGGGCGGAAGGTCATTGTCCGCTCTGTTCAAGATACAGTCGAGCTTCACCGGAGAATTCTCTTCAGTCAGCTGGTACTTCTCGTTCACATGGAGTTTGATATCGAAAATGAAGAGGAAAGCCCACTTCACTCGCGGTTCGACGTGGGTTCCATCTACCGGCGATTAATCGGGGCTCTCTCAAGACTGGAGCATCTGAGGTGGATGGTCAAGACAGAGCTGAACATTCCAGCCAGAGTTGCGGTGGTGTCTGGTGTTTCTTCTCCTCAGTTAGCCAAGCGTGGACAGGAGGAGACACACACTGTGACAGCCCTGGAGGGGCTTACAGGTCACCTCTATGGGTTGCCAGAAGATAGCAATGAGCCACTAATTTCCGCCATCACGGACCTGGTATTGGACCTCTGCGCCCCTGGCAGCACGACCATCCTCCAGACGTGCCTTCTCCAATGCGGCCTGCTCAAACATGACCGACCAGATCTTGCACTCGAGCTCAAGCCGTTCGCCGACCAGGATCCCTTTTCCATTTATATCCAAGGTCGTGTCTTCCTTGCACACAAGGATAACGACACCGCTGCCTACTACTTCAGAAGAGCAGCCATTGGCCTCAGCATCACCATGAAGCACATGGATCGCCACAGCTCCGGCCTCCTCGACGATACAGAATGGAACCTCCTTAACAGTGGGCTCCCCAATTACTACAGCCATATCGTCTCTCTCTTCGAACGCCAAAAGGCTTACTCGTACGTCGTGGAGTTTTCCCGCCTGGCTCTTCAATTCGTGCAAACCGGTGCGCAGGACACAGCAAGCATTAAGACTGAAATGCTGAGCCGTCTGTTCACCGCCTCCACGGCCATCTCCCACTTTGAGGAAGCCCACTCTGCTCTCCTCCAAATGCAGGACGAAGCCCTGCAGAGATCCTACCTCCGCAAGCTCGTCGAGAAGATGTGCGAGACGGGCCAAAACAAGCAACTCATCAGCCTCCCCTTTTCCGGTCTGCAGCCCAAGGTGGATGACATCCTCCTCGAGAAGTGCAAAGCCACCCGCGACGTCCTCAGCGGGGTACCCTACCACCAGATCCTCTACGCCTGGAGAATCAGCCACAACGATTACCGCGGTGGCGCCGCCATCCTGCTCGACAGGCTCCAAAAGCTCCGCCAGGCAGGCGAGGGCGACAAGATCAACAGCGTCAACGGCGACGCGCTGGACACGCAGGTCACGAGGCAGTATCTTCTTTTGATCAACGCGTTGAACTGCGTGCCGCCCGAGGAAGCTTACATTCTGGAGGATGTCTCTTCCGAGGAGAAATCAACCCCCGCCGCTCCTAGAATTAACAACGGCGGCGGTGGTGGTGATGACCTCGACGCGCAGCTGGAGGATCTCTCCAAGAAGCTCGATGTCGAGAACGTGGTGGATGGGGAGGAGGAGGAGGACGCGGCGCTGGTTGCAAAGATGAAGTCGTTCTTGTCGAGGCCGGCGGAGGGGCAGGCGCCGAGGAAGCTGCTGACGCTGGCGGACATTAGGAAGAACTACCAGCTCGAGCTGGACAGGATTGTGGCGATTCAGAATAATCAGTTTGGTATCATGGGAGAGGGTGACGAAGACGTGGACATGATGGATATTGCTTAGAACAGCAACAGCAAAAACGTAGAATTTGTAGATGGAAGGGGGGAGGGGGAGTAAGCCAAGCAAAGGGAAGATGGATGGGTACCAAGGGATGCGGCGGCGGCTGGGTGTTGGTGTTTTTTGCTGGGTCTTGTAATGAATGCTTTTTCCGATTTTGTAGTAGGGGTTTTGTTTCTTTTATTTTAAAGCTTTTTGAGGAGAATCAAAAATTGGGAGATGCCTTTTTTGTTGCCATTGTCAAAAGGCTATCCCCATTTTGCGCTTCTGCTTGTGTACACTCGGTGACCATAAGCGAACAACTACTCGGGAGGAAATCCTTGGCTGACATTGAAGACATGACAACCCCTTTATTTTAAACTCCAAAAAACGCCCTGCCCAATGCTGGAGAAAATTATCAAACATAAGCTTTGTACAGCCAAATTCGCTAACAGAAACAAGAATCTCCTCGCTGTCACAAAAAAAAAGCCCTCTCTCAATCCGAACTGGCCCCTTCCTTCCTTTTCCTGAACCCACAAAGCTGTCAGCAAAGGATGCCTCTCATCACCGCCATGGCCACCGCCGCCAAGTCCTGACCAACTTACGCCGGCACAGTGGTAATTCTATCCTCTGTTGGGGCTGGTAGGCCATCTGGCCCGTTGGTGAGTTCCGGGGCTTGACGATACAGGATGATCTCTGATTGCTTGAAATATCTCCTCGCGTCTACCAAGTTGTTAGAAGACCAGTCACATTGGGAGTCGTAGCGAGAAAGCTGCTTACCTTCGTCAATAAGGACGAGACTGAGGTAGTATCTCGTGGAGAACTTCTTGTTGACATCTCTGAACGTTGGTGTTAGGTCAAACCCGCCCAGGAACAGCCTGATAGGTATCGTTTCTCCTCTTGATGGCGACCCGTCCATGATCTAAGGCTGTTAGCTGTCAAAGTCCTATTTTACAAAGGTGAGTAAGGAGTATGCAAATAGCCTACCTCGAACCGAACCAGCGTCTCACTCTCGTTATATTGGTTAGGCGCCGCTCCCGTCGTCTCTCGGCGGATGATGCTCAACTCCATGTGTTTAATCTTTAGGCGCACAAGCAAGAAGTAGATGCGCCCCACAATCACATCCTTGAGGTGGTACTTGCTCTTGCTGTACTCAAACTCGATGTGCAGGCAGTCCTCGATACCAACGTCCATCTTGATGCTGCTGTTCATCTCGGGGGGGATGCGATAGCTGTAGACCCAAATGTCCTTTTCGCGAATGACGTCGGCCATGCGACGGGATACCGTGACGCGGACAAAGTAGCGCAGCTTGACGTTGATGCCGTTGTAAGACTCGTACTGCTTCTCGACATTCTTGAAGTTGAAGTCGAAGGTCTGTGGGTGTTGGAGTTCGCCTGGGGCGGCGAGTTCTTGGACGAGGGAGAGGAATTCGTAGTGGTTGCCACGGTCGAAGAACATCTCTATTTGTCGCAATGGGGTTAGAGTTTTGGATTTGGAGGGAACTGGAGGACATGGGGGCGCATACCGATTGTGCCGATGAACTGGACCTTGATGCCTGTGTGCTCTAGCCGCTTGCCATCTTTTGGCCGTATTGTGATGGCGCCTTTGACGGATTCGCCGTCGTTGTACAAGGGTGCCTTCTCCCGTCGGTTCTTATCAAGCTTGACATCGACCATTGACCTCTCGTCGGCATCTTCTAGCACTATGTCAATATCGACGGGGGTTGCAAAGAAGTACGACATGATGGGCTTGTATTCGTTCCTCTAAAGTTGCTGCCCTATTGTTTGTGTCTGGTTGTATGATATGATGTGTCGTCGTGGACTCGGATGTATGTGGAGCTGGACTGCTGGGATGGCTGGACACTGATGGCGGCGGCTCAATTGTTGAGGAAGAAGGAACTGCAGAGCCCGGGGTTTTTGATACGTTTGTTATGTGTTATTTGCACAGGGAGTTACAAGGCTGAGAGACCGCAAGTTCGAATAAATTGTAGCTTGAACTGTGTTGCGCCGTCGTTGTTCCTGTGATGTCTGGAGTTGCGAGCTGTCGGTGCGGGCAGGAAGCACTGCGCGCGGCACGGGAGAGCTCCAGATAGTGGGTGGGACTCTAGGCTTCGTCGGCCAATGACGTCCATCGACTGCGAGCTTGGCTTTGCCGTCCTCCTGGCAAGTTGATATCGGTACTCTACTTAAACATGTGTCCAAGATCAAAAAGGACAAGTTAAATAACCGGTATTAAGTATATAAGGGTCTCATTTGATGTTCAATGGATAAGTGCCTCGGTGAACTGAATAAAGCCTTGTGTGATGAAAGTTGGAATTTCATCAGCCCTTCTTACATGGCACCTCGTCGACTACATGTGCATTGGGGATTGCAAAACCATCAAAATAGTCTAGTGAAGTAGCTTGAGAGACTGAGACTTGCAACTAGACACATTGAGAGTCCTCAAGTCTTTTAAGTACACAAAATTCCTACGGCATCAAACTCTAGGGTGGGCAAAGAGATGGTTGATGGCCTTCTTGATCAGTGAGAAGTGAGACACGTTCGACATATCCATGTATAACGCAGCTCAAGGCCCGGGTCCCCATTTAAAATAAAGAGCTGAATCAGTATACAGAGCTGAGAACAAGCACCTGCGAAGTCCTAACATAGGACAACAAGTGGTATCTCTTTTCAGGCCAATATTCATGGCAGATGTGATGTCAACCAACCAAGAGTTGCTCAGAATCAACTTCATGTGACGAATGTGGCCGAAAGTAACCTGTACGGGGCTCGGTTGAAACGTAGCGCGTTGTATTTCCCTCTTTTGCTTCGAAACGTCTTTTACAATCCACCCAGGCTCGACGTTGATGTTTTGCTGGTGGTGAGGGGTGAAATTCAATTGCGGCAGGCGACAGAAGAAGACGCACAGGCCAGAATGTACCCCACATTGCTCCAGCCTCCCCTCTTTGGACCAATCGCAGGAGCGCTTGGACCTCTGCCCTAACAGAAGCTGGAGGCTCAACCGGCGCACAACTTGAATTATTCCGGGTCCCAAAATCGTGTGTGGTTTTTTTCGGGCTTGCAACTGACCTCCGTCCACCTTGACGACGAGAAATCAACTTGCCTCCTCACTAACCCAACAGCACCGCAGCCATGCGTTACATCCACAGTGAGGAGACCATCGAGGTCCCGGAGAACGGTACGTGTGCAGTGCTGTCGAAATGAATCCATTGCGTCCCGCCCGATCAAAAGAAGGAGGAACTTTGGGCGCCATCATATCGAATTACCAGCGACGACGACGATGACGAGACCCGACCGGTTTTTTTAGCCAGCGATTATTGGGACGATTCGATCGATATCGGGCGGGATTGCTTGGGATTTTGTCAATGGAAGCAAGGGCAATTGCTGACGGATTTTGCGATACAGTCAAGATCTCCATCAAGTCGAGACTTGTAACGGTTGAGGGCCCCCGTGGTAAGCAGAAACTCACAATCCTCACTTTGGAGCCGGGAACAGCTTCGGACAATGCGGCTGTCCCGTTCTGGCGAGAAACAGTAACCTAACAACGCGCTCCAACAGGCAAGCTCACCAAGGACCTGAGCCACATCGCCGTCAACTTCTCCGTCATCAAGAAGGGCGTTATTGGCCTCGAGATCCACCATGGCAACCGCAAGAACGTTGCCGCTCTCCGCACCGTCCGCACCCTTATCAACAACTTGATCATCGGTGTCACCAAGGGCTTCAAGTACAAGATGCGTTACGTCTATGCCCATTTCCCCATCAACGTCAACCTTGACGTCAACAAGGAGACTGGCAACCACGTCGTCGAGATCCGGTATGTTACGAACGAATGTGCAGCCCCAGGATGGCAGTGTGGGAGATGTGACGAACACTTGGAACTTGGGAACATGGGAGAAGAATTTGGGCTGACGAGTGGGTGTGCTACAGCAACTTCGTCGGTGAGAAGCTCGTCCGCACTGTCGTGATGCAGCCCGGTGTTGAGGTTGAGGCCTCCAAGGCTCAGAAGGATGAGCTCATCCTCCAGGGTAACTCCCTCGAGGCTGTTTCCCAGAGCGCCGCCGATATCCAGCAGATCTGCAGAGTGCGGAACAAGGATATCCGTAAGGTGTGTGAAGGCCCCAGCTACGGTGGACCAACAGCCACTTTGCTACAGTGCTACGAGGAAGATAAGGTTTATGGTGCTAACACTGCTTCTAGTTCTTGGACGGTATCTATGTTTCCGAGAAGGGCAACGTTGAGGAGGAGTAAAGAAAATGACCACGGGTTTCTTTGTGCTTTATGGGGTTACACCGGAGTGGCAAGGGGTCATGGGCATTTGCATATTTCTTGTAGCGTAAAAAAACGCTGCTGGCAAAATGGGCAACCTCCTTCTCAACCAAACGGGTTTTGCGGTGTGCATACCAATATCACGTCTTCGAGGTCACGCCTTTTTTTTCTCGAGCTAATGATGATGATTTGCTCTCGCCTGTATTTGGGCGATGATGATACCCAGAGCAGACTGGTGATTCAGTTATCACGGGCGGAGCCAAGGTGTTTCTCGTGGGAAAAGCATGTGTCAATTACTCCCGGACGGAAAATGAATTTGGAAGTAACAAGCAAGTCAAACTACTGCGTGTTTCTAGCCTCTGATATTTGATATATGAGCATGGTGACTTTATGGGACCCCCTTTTGTCCTTGATATCGCGTCTAGACAATTCCAGCTTGGAGCAATAGCAGGTCCAGAGAGCACTACATGGACTCTGGGGGCATCGGCAAGATTACATGGATTGATTGATTCCATGAGAGGCGCCAGCTACCATCCAGGTCTTTGGTTTGGCAGTGTTGCTTTCGTCAACGTTAGATCACCACGCTCCATCGTTGCCAAAAGCCTAGCTTATCCCCGCGCTTGGTAGCGTTATGATGTATATATAGTTCAGACTCTTCAGGTGGAGAGACGATGCGGCCAGGGACGAAGTTATTCGGATGGTTTGCTATATTAAAAAAAATACCATTCAAAGAGAAAGTACCACCGTAAGACCAGTTACATTTATCTCTCGTTTACATTCACTCAACACATTCAGCAGGCTCGTTATACAGATATCAGAATTCACATCATCTCATTTTCGTTTCTTCAGTTCCTCTACATAACTTCATACCACATCTCCATTCCCTGAGCAAAGCCCCCCTCCCTTTCCCTCTCGCATGGCTTGCTTGCTTCTCGACAACGCCCAAAACGCCAGTGCTGAATATAAACCACCCACCATCCCATACCATACCAAAAAAAGGGTCAGGTTTCAAAAATCACACACAAATAAAGCCAAAACTCTATATCCCCAGCGTAGAACAAACAAAAATTGCAAGAGTAAAACACAGGTGCAGAAGGGGCAAAAGGGGCGATGTGTGTGTGTGTGCAAGGGGCTTAATATGTACAAGTCGACTTCGTGTTGCTCGTCGGAAAGAAAAAAAGATCCATTTGGGTTGTGTTTATTTTTCTCCCTTGAATCTCTGAAAATATGGCAAGGGTAAAAGTCGGTGGTCATGAGAATAAGCTCAATCATCACCGCGGGGGAGACCTCCTTGGTGATCTGGCCGACCTCGCCGACGGGGCGCGGGATACACGTGTCGTGGTCGTCCTCGTTACCCTGCTCCCTTGCCTGCTATGGCGGTGGGATCGGCGGGTTCGTCTGTCGCTGCTGAGGGAGCCTGGTTGGGGTTGTTAGTGATTCATTTGCAAATGGTGTGGAAGGGGGTCAGGGAGAAAACGTACTAGGACTATCGTTTGTGTAAACATCAGAGTAGTAGCTGCTGCTGATATCACTCCTGCTCTTGACCGGGGCTCTCTTCTTCTTATCCTTCTTCAATCCGAGCAGCAACGCAAGAGTGCCAAGCGCGGCTCCCATCCCCAACAGGCCGGCGCCGCTCTTCTTATCCTTTCGCGATGATACTGTGCTAGGTCGGCCGCCATACCACGAACCGTGGTTGGTGCGCCCGGCGTGCGAGGATCCGCGGCGGGTGTAGCGCTCTTCCTCGATGATGGTCTCCTTTGTTCTCTTGTCCTTCTTGCCGAACCCAAGAATGGCCATGACACCGTGCCAAAGACCCCTGACGACGCAGCAAGCGCAGATGGCGAGGAGAAGGGCGACACCGGCGATGGAGCCAATGACGATACCGGCGATGGCACCGGGGCTCAAGCCACCGGCTGTACCGCCCTCCACTGGTTCCGCGTCATCCCCCGTCTGAATAGCTCCACCAGCCGAGTTCGTCGTTGTCGCGGTGCCGCTAGTAACGCGAAATGGCGCGCTGAACTGGGTGGTGACGGTTTGCACGGCAGTGTTGGTGTTTGTCACGATAACCACGCCTCCGGGGCCAGCACCGGGGTTGGCCATACACTGCCCGGCGTGTTGGCAGTATTGCCAAGAGTCGCAGCAGATCGAGCCGCAGGCAATCCACCCGCTGCCGGCCTCGGGAATGCAGTCGGCGCCGCTGACACCGGTCGCAGCTGGAATGACGGATTGCCATGTTTTGGTATAAGTCTTGGTCTCAGTCCAGGTTGTCGTGTACCAGGCCACTCCACCGCCTGCTCCCGCAGCCGGTGTGCAGGCTGCTATCCCGTTGTTGGTGACGCATGCTGAGTTGGTGTCGCAGCAGTACTGGTTTTGGTAACCGCATGGTACTGGGCAGCCGTCGCGCTGAACGAGATAGCCATAACCAGCGGCGTATAAACCGTTGTTGAAGGGGATCGCAGCGGCCGAGCCGGCTAGGAAAAGCCAGAGCCGCAACATTTTGGGGAGCGAGCTGAGAGACTGTCTCGGGAAGTTGGTCGCTTGATGTGTGTTCTGGTGATGATAACCGCAAAAGTGATTGAAAGCCCGCCGGAGCGGTGAGATGGCGCCGATAGTTTGTGAAGCCGGGAAAAATTCTCAGTGTTGACGCGATCCTGCTCGGCGCAATCCGATGAATGACAATTTGCCAAATCGTAAAGTCGTGGATGTCGTGTGAAACAGCTTTTCGCCCGTGATCCTCCTGTCCGTTTGGGGGTCTGAGTTCGGCGGCGAGATGCGTGTAAGTCGACTCTTGGTGACAGACCCGCTCAAGATAGTTTGCGATAACACCTTGAATGGAGCTTCAAAGCAGCTCTCTTGTCAATGGTGTGGTGAGACAGTGTAAGATGCAAAAGAAGGAAAAATTCCAGGGGAAAAGAATGCCTAGAACTTGGGGAAACGGACTGGGAGGAAAACCGGGGGGGGAATGCAGTTTGGCGGGATTTATTGCAAAAGTCGCGAATTGGAAATGGCTGGGTGAGGTGACGGTGGTCGGGCTCAGTGTGGGTTGTGTTCCCAACCTCCCCGCGAACCGAAGCTGTCACGACCAATCCACCCACTGTCACCCAGCCTCTCGGTTTTCACGCCCACCTCTCGTCATCTTTCTCTCCCCTTGCACCCTTGGTTGGACCTGACCCATCGTTTTGTAACGGATCCTTCTTCCCCTTCCCCTCCTTTCTGCATCGTGTTCAGGGTCCTGCTTCTTTTGCGCAAGCGTTTTCTCGGCCGATCTAGATCTTTGACCTACAACAGCGCCTCGGTCCTGTAGGTCCGGCTCGGGTGTTGCATGGACGGGGGAATATGCGTGAGTGAGCTGGCAGCCCGCAGGAGGTGCCTGTACCTGTCCAGCGGTCAAACAGCCCCAATCCATGTCCGACAGACAGGAGCCGGTTTGGCTTGTTGCCCTGCTTTTTTAGAGCTCCCCCTTCCGTGCCCCTTTTGATGGTGACGTCCACTGTTTACCACTCAGGCCCCGCCATCTTGGCTCACTGGATGATTATCACTTATCGCCATGATCCTTGCAACATCCCGTTGCGCGCGCATCTGCAAGACCCCGTCCCCATCAGCCAAAGGCCTTGGCCATGGCAGTGAAGAGGAGACACCAACATATTCGATTTACTAGACACGTGATGTATGAGTGAGTGACGCCGTATTATGTATATATATCTGCGGTATATCAACGACTTGGAAATCCCACTTATAAGAGAACTGTTATATACCTGTCAGGTTGGCCAAGCTGAGAACAGGATTTGGATATCCTGGATTTGTACGGAGTAGTAGACAATTTTTAATAAAGGTTGGCGCCAGTGTGCTTCTCGTAAAGATAGTAGCAATTGAAAAGCCTGCTGCCTTGACACGATCGAGTGTTTGGCGTTGGTTCGGTTGACGGCGCGGACAGCTGCAAGAGAGACGTCCACGCCTCACCCAGCGACGCCAAGCCCACTGGCGCAGTTACGTAACTTGGGTTGGCCCGCTCCCAGCTGCTGAGAGCTTCATGCCAACCTCGAAGTCCAAGCTCCCACATTGACATTCCCGACTTAACCATTTGATACCCACGGTTGCCTGCACCATGTCGCTCGATCCACCGACGTATCTGGCCTCGCTGCAAAGCAACATCCGTCAGCGACCGATTCCCTGGGATGGCGCCGTGCGCGCAGGAACCCTGACCGAGGAGCAGCTCGCTCGCATCCGCTCCGTCGATAAGGTCAAGAAAGACGTGCGCAAACAGACAATCGAGTCCGATCTGGAGGGATATAGCGCCCTGTTCGTGGGAGGATCAGGGAAGAAGAGTGTGTTGGAATTGGCCGCCAAGCGCCAGGATGTGGTCCAGTATATCCTCGTCCTCCTGAACGACCTCCTCACAAGTATGTCGTCCTTTCCCACGCCGAGCCATCACAGCTTCCCATGTGAAATCTGATGGCCCCTTCTTTCCGTGGCAGAAAGCAACTCCTCCAGGACGATGCCCGACATGGATTCTGTCATCTTTCAGAACTGTACCCTGTATTGCAAAGTGCTCTAGCTAACCTAGAATCCATCTTGCTAGCCGTCCCCGCGCTCTCCAAAGCACTTGCTAAGACTGGCGATCCCTACCAACATTTCATTCCTCTTCTCGGTCACAGAACTGTAACCGACGATCCTATCCCGCTTCTGACCTCGACTGTGCTCGTCAGTCTCATGGCTGGTTCCAGAGACGAGTCCCAGGCCGCCTCCAAGGCCCTCCCCCTCATCTACAGTTATCTCTCGTCCCTCACAACGAATTCCGACGCAGGTCTTCAGGATATCGGTGTGCAAGAGTACTCATCACTTTTGTATGGTCGTGTTCCCAGGGCGCAGTTTTGGGAGCAGCGGAGCGAGACTGTGGCCCCCCTGGTAAAGATTCTACGAGCGGCAGCGGGTATTGGCAGCGGTGGTGACGCCACGGCCAGCCTCTGGAGTGGGACAACGAATCCCTCTAGAAGCGGCTTTGAGGGCTCTCTCGGTGGAGGGGTCGGTCTTCAGTTGCTTTACCATGTGCTGTTAGTCATCTGGCAGCTCAGCTTTGAGGCTGCCGATATTGGCGACGATCTCAACAAGTAAGGCGATGCCTATCTGTCACATGTTGTTCGGTAGTGCTAACTGACCCAGGGAATACGACTTCATCGCTCTTTACACCCAGCTTCTCCGACTCTCCCCCAAGGAGAAGACCACACGTCTACTCCTCTCCACCCTCCTCAACATCCTCGCCGCTAATCAAAACACGCTGCTTGCCATCGCAGTGCTTGCCCGCCTCCCAACCCTTTTGGAGACCCTCAAAACGAGACAGTTCAACGACCCCGATCTGAGAGGAGATCTGGACCGGCTCCGCGAGCTGCTCGAGGAGTACACCAAAACCAAGACCACCTTTGACGAGTATGTAGGCGAAGTCAACTCTGGCCGTCTGCACTGGTCCCCACCCCACCGCAACACAGTTTTCTGGGCCGAGAATGCCCGCAAGATTCTAGACTACGAGAACGGCGCGCTTATCCGCAAGCTGGTGGATATCATGAAGCAGCCGTGGGAGGACGACAAGTCGGTGCTAGCGATTGCGTGCAATGATGTTGGGTGTTTGGTGCGTGAGGTGCCCGAGAAGAGGGGCCAGCTGGAGAAACTTGGTTTAAAGACGAGGGTGATGGAGCTGATGGGGGAGGCGGACGAGAATGTACGGTGGGAAAGTTTGCGTGCCTTGGGTGGTTGGTTGCAGTACAGCTTTGATACGAAATAGGGGGAGGTTGAATTGTGGTGTATGTTGAGTTGAGGGCGAGCATTGGGCAACGGGCAAGGGGTTTTGTAGACCGACTTTTTTTTTAGCTTCATCATGAATGTATTGAATGCACCTGTATACCTGCCGTGTTTGTTTGTTGGTAGTCATCTCTGATTGACATGATAAGAGGGGTGAGTTGTTGAAAGAAAAGGGGGACATCCCTTATCTTATCGGAGCTCTCATCTGCATCTAAGTCATGTCTTGGCCGGTGACATCACTAGCCTCACTTCCATTCTTTATCGATTAGACATTGCTCTACACACCTAAATTGATTGAGTTATCAGAATCCACATAGCAGTGTTGCCAGTAAAAGACGAAAAAACAATCAGAAAAACAAGAGAAATCTAGATTTCTCAAAATGGTTAAAAGAGTAAGTGCGTCCCGTCTTATCATCTGGGCGTGAGTGATGGAGGGGTCAGTCTCCCCACCTTGTCTGGTCTCGCCCTGTCTGTCTCTCTCATATCAAAGGTCTGGCTAACACGATGATGATGGTTCTTAGGTTTATTTCCTTGCTCATGGGGGGATGGTGCAAGGTTGGTTAATATACCATGCCGCCCGATTACTGTAGTAGATATTGTCTGGTTAACATGGTTATTTCCTTTTTTTTTTTCGAAATGAACAGGAGTTGGATTTCGGTATGTTTCTTTTTTTTTCTCGACTTAGCTTCCTCTTATCACCCCCCCCCGTAGTGTCTGCTACAAAAAGATTTCGAATAGCTGGAAGCTGATATATACATCCATGGTAGATACTTCACCCGCGGCCGCGCAGCCGAACACAAGCTCACCGGCTGGGTCCGAAACACAGACAACAACAAGGTCGAGGGCGAGGCTCAGGGGGCGGAGGACGCCCTCTCCAAGTTCCTCAAAGAGGTGGACAAGGGGCCGAGAGGCTCCCAGGTTGTCAAACTCGACAAGGAGGATCGGGATGTGGTGGAGGGAGAGGAGGGTTTTGAGATTCGTCGCTGATCAAAACAACTACAACACCCCACCCACCCAATCTTGCGCGCCTATAGACGAGACCTATAGAGAGAGAGGGCAGAATAATCAAGACAACACCCAATTCAAAAGATCGGCCCACGCTTTATTGTTCTGTTTTGTGATGCTACTACTATCTTCATGTTTGCTACCGCTCACTGGATATCTCTCATCATTCGCTCCTCTTGTCTAAGTAACCTAGCCTCGTCTGTTCTTGTATATATATATAACTTCATTAACATCTCTTCTTTCTTCTTTCCCTTAAACTAACCTATATCCCACCATTGCCGCCCCCATTAACCAACCTGCCAACTTCCCTACCACGCTATGCCCGCCCAGTTCATCCATGTGACAAAAAACTCAATGCTTTCAAAAAACAATTATATCCTCCTTCATGTCTTCTACCAATACCTCAATGTTTCTCTCCTAACCCAACAAACATCCAACTACGCAAAAGTCATCTCAATCTCCTTCTCCTTCCCAAAATCATCGTCCTCGTAGTCCGCCCAGGGATCCGCCAACGCGATATTCGGGAGGGTTTGCGAGCCTCTCAGTTCCGGGCGGGGTGGCTCATGACTGTTGTTATTATTGATGCCGCTGTAGTCCATTCCCCTACTCGTTGACGTTGATGTTGTTGTTGTTGTTGTTATTGCCGCCGTCGTCGAGGAAGACTTGCGATCATCAATCCCAGTATCAAACTTCATTTGTATCCCATCATCATGGTCCCCAAATCCACCACCGCCACCATACGCCGGGTAATAGCCACTGTCTTGCTTGCCGCCGCCCACAGAGGTGCTAGAGTACCCCTGATACGCCGGTGGTGATGCCGCCGAGCGGTACTCATCCGATCCCCCATTCCTGCTCGGAGACCCAAACCCAGACGGAACAGCATCATAACTCTTGCTCTCCCTCAAACTGCCCCCCCTAGTCCGTGACGAATCCAGCTTCATAGGCGGCAGCGTACTCTTAATCTCCTTCACCTGCAGCACCTCCTCATCCACGCTCTGACCATTCTGCTTGCTGCTGGCCGCCTCCTTAGCCAGCTCGGCACGAATAGCGTCCACGTCAAACAACACTCCATGGTTATTCCCCTCCTTGTCCTCCGTCTTGCCGCTAGACTTGGCACCACCCGTCTTGGAAGAATCCTCATACACCTCCCACTCCTGTTTCTGCAGCTTCTGCTTCCTGCCAAACAAGCTAAACCGACTCTTCTTCTCATTCGACTTCCCCTCCCTCTCCAGCTCTTTTCTCGCCTCCTCGATCTCGTTGATGAGCTCGCGCTGCCGTTCCTGGTGGTTATCCGGGTCTGGGTCTTCGATTTCGGTGAACTCGTCGCTCTCCACCAACCACCCGCACTCACGAAGCAAACGGGGCATAGCGGTACGATAATCCATATGTCCGACAACCCATTCAGACACATCCATGTTTTCAAGCCCAGGGATGCCCTCAATCGGCGCCAGCCCTGCGACGCGCCTGATGCCGCCGTTGGTCAGGCGGAACAGGTACCCAAGAATCCAGTCATTTCTGTTGTATCCGCTGACGAAGCGCCCTGACACCACCGAGCGAGCCCGCAGGTACTCGTCGGCGTTGACGACGATGGGGCTTCCAAACAGGTAGACATTTTGCACCAGGCCGAAGGCGCCCTTTTTGGCAAGCTCCTTCAAGCAAGAGAAGATGACGCGGCTGCCGAGGGAGTACCCGACCAGTGTCACGGGACGAGTACCCAAGTTGCGGTCAATGAGCGAATCTGCCAGAATGAGACCGGCCATGTTGGCACGGTCGAGAGACACGGTCCATGGGTTGTCGATCAGATAGGAGAGCTTGGTGAGAATGACAGGGATCTGGAGACCAGACATCAGGACTGCCAGGAAGGTGCTGGCAAGGACCTGCTGAAGACCTTGTGTGAGAGCCTACATCACCTGTGTCAGCAGAGATTTCCCCCCCTCTCCTGCTTTTGTTAAACATACCTCTGTTGCCAGAATGTTGATGGTGTCACCCATACTGGTCAACATTTCCGGCTCCCACAACACCGAGTATATATCACCCATGACTGGGTCTACAGTACTAAACGGCAACCGGACGTCGTCGACCTTGCCCGTCATCCATCCGGAGACAGTGACGATGAGGTTCACTCTTTTGTTGTTGTTCAGCGGTCTGTACTCGAAAGTCTTGACAGCTCCGGTTCTCCGGTTAGCAGCTCTGACACCAACAATGCTTCCCGACGCCGCTGCAGTCGACGTGATGATGGCAGCACCTCCAACGCCACTAAGAAACGCGGTTGTCCCACTGACACCAATCGCCGAAAACCCCGCTGCTAGACCGGTACCGATCATAGGAGCCGCCAATCCCGCAGATAACCCAATAATCAAGCCGCCGCCAACCGTAGCAAGGCCCATCATGGCATAGCGCTTTGTCAAAGCGCGCTGCCGGCGATTTTCCATGTGCTCTGTTTCATCCCAGTTCTCCTTCTCAGCGCTCTGTTGCATTTCCAGCGCATCCGTCACCTTCTTCTCGAATCTGCAAATATCGAGCCAGCTGATTTCCAAGTCCTTCGCCACCCTTTCCAGCAGCACCCTGGCCCTCGAATCGTAGATGGAGTCCGCAATCAGCACAAGGAACAGATCACACAGAACCGTCCACCTGATGTCGATATCAATCTTTTGCGCCGTCGAGATCTGAGAGGGCACCTGGACAGGCTCAGCGAGCTCCGATTCGTTGTTACTCGAGTACGGCGGTGGAGGTTCTGCAGTGTCGTCCGAGTTGGTGGTGACGAGCGAAGCAGCACGGGAAGGCCTCGAGCTGGTCGACGTCCATTTCTCCTTCTCCTCCGCCATTGGGTTCTTCACACGAGCGTTCGCCATCAAAACAGGCGTCAAGTCTGCTGGAATGACCCCATGGGCGCTCAACTGTTCAATCATGACCTGCTCATCCGAACTGATATCCATGTGCGAATACAGTCGAATCATCATCTTCTGGCTCCACATTTGCATGCTCTCTGCAGCCGTGGCGACATGCTTTTTGCTCTTGGACGAGACTCCGATAGACTCCTCCACTGTCTTGACCATGGCTGAGAGCTCCAGTCTGGTAAGGCCTACATATGCGATTCTCTGACCCTCTGTCAGCAAATCCTTGGTGGCTTGCAACTGGCTGACAGCGTCGCGCTGGTTTTCCTCATCCTCCGTGATACTGGTTCCAGCGGCGTCGCGGCCTTGAAATAGGTACTGTGTGTTCTCGTCCATGCTAGTCGCAGATTCGGCATCGTCGTCTACCAAGACTTTGGTATACCCTTTGCCAGCTCCACCCAAATTGCCATAGCCGTATTTTTGGTCGTCATCCTCTTCGTGGTATTCCTTAGCGATGAGCCTGTTATTATCGTCGTAGATATCATACGGAGCATAGGCAGGCATGGTTTGCCACCCATCGTCGTCACCTTGTACCTTTTCAGGCTGCTTGGCAGTGAGCTGCTGATGCGAGTACTCTGAGGCTTCAGCGGGCATGTTTGCGACGCTCGACTTGTTTCTCTGGTGGCCTTGTGGATTCTTGGTCTCCTGGACAGCCTGATCCACTGTCTCGTTCTTCGTCCTCTCTGAATCTCCTTCTCCACCCTTGATAGCGGCAGGCTCGGAATCGAATCCGGTGGAGGTTTGTGCTGGTGCTCCTGTTGGGGTCGCTTTGCTGCTCTGCTCCAACTCCTTTGAGAATGTGACCGACGATGCACCAGGTTCCTTCTTCTTTTCATCCACGCCCCCCCGCTGGGAAACAGCATCCTTGAACTCATCGTCGCTGCTGGATTCTTCCCCATTCCTAATGCCGTCCGACTTTGCTTTTGTGGACCCCGCAACAGACTGACCTGCCTTCCCTCCATTCTCTATGCGCCACAGACCGTCATCTTGCACGGTTGTCGCGCCCATCTGTGGACTCTTGGATCCATTCGCACTTGTTGCGACATCCCCGCCATCGCTTCCCTCGCTCATTTCAACCGGTGGCGGGACATACTTTCTTATCGGCAATCCAAAGTCGTCGAGCTCGACAGCTGGTTTCGAAGCTGGCGGCGCATCTTTTGTGGTCGTCGTTGGGGACGGGCCGTTCTGGTCGTTACCAGCCGAGGGCCCGTCAACTCCCGGCATGGCTGGTTCAGGGGGGCGGGTTAAACGGGTACAGAATCAAATCGTGATCGACGGTGATATTCGGAAGAGGAGTCGCAAACGCGTACAACTGCCAAAACTTGTGTACTTTTGGACACGTGAGAGGGTTGATCAGGGGTGTTGTGTGTTCTCGGTAGAACAAAGTCGTCTTTGTTTCAATCGGGAGCTGCGGGAGCGGACGGACGAGTCGAGGCAACTCAAGATGGGAGGTCAAGTTAAAGTTGCGCGCACCCTGAATTAGTGCCCGTTCATCAAACACAGGGGCTGACAGGGGGCCCTCTGGTCTTTTTTTTTCTCGATGACGGAACGGGGTCGCGTCACGTCAGCAACTTGTCTGGGGGGCTGTTTCGTTTCTCTTCCCTCTGGGTACGCCAACCGTGAATGAGGCCCAGAAGAGGGATCTCCAGTTACAGATCGAACTGGAAGGTTGGAAAGAAGTCAACAAGAGGAAATCTCATGAGCTTTTCGAAAATTTGTTGAACAGACAAATGCGAGCCCAAGACGACACACGGCAAGACGGTTGCAGCTTGGGTCTCACTTGGCATTTCCGATAAGACAGACGCAGAATTTTGGTGGGGTTGGCTCTGTCCCACCACTGAGCGAACAGCGTCGAACGACGCTAGAACTTCGCCGGTGACGACGCCTTCACAGCGGGGCGGAGGTCGTCAGATGTCCATCCACCCCACGGCCCATTTAGCGGGTTTGCACTTGGCTGCAGCGCGCATGCAGCGTATCAATTCCCCGTTTCCTGCCATAGGCGGCATCCAAAAGCTTGTTAAGATAAAAATGTAACAGATTGATATATCTCACGAACAAGTACGAGCACTTGACGGGACCGGGGGGGGTTTATACGTGTACTGAATCTGGCTGCATTCCAGACCTGCCAGATCCCAACGGCTCAGCAGCCGACTTCGACGAACTGCGCCATCCTGTTGACCAACACTGACCGTGCATCATCCTCTTGCGTAGACAGGCCGGTGTACATCCGGTGCTTCCGCTTCCGCAGTCCCCCATTCAACTCCGGTTGACATGTCACCCTGAGCCATATGCCATTCAAACTAGCACGTGCTCCAGACGCCAAATACAACTGTTATTATGCTAGCATCTATGCCAGCAAAACCCTAGTTAATACATCAAAGTCAATACATCTTTCGCCCATGTGATGCCAGAAGTCTATGTCAGCCACGGGCCTATTGCAGGCCTATACAGCCTGGCATCGTCCTCTCAGTCCTGCATATCCGCACCCGCGATCGCAGCATCAACCGCGGCCGAGATCTCCTTATCACTAGCGCCCTCACCAGTCGTAGCCTTTTTCCTTCTTTTCCTCTTGGCCTTGTGCTCGCCCGCTACCTCCGCAGCCGGCGCTTCTGTCTCCTCTTTCCTAGGCCTTTGCTCCTTCTGCCCATCCGTGACCTTCTTTGCCTTTTTGACCGCTAATGGGTTCGGTCCCTTCTTGCCGTAGTTCTTCTTCTTCTTCGGCTTGTCGTCCTCACCCTGTATCGAACTCTTGCCCTTTTCCTTATCATCCTCCTCATCACTCCCAGACTGATCCTCATCATCCTCTCTCTTCCTCTTATGCGTCCCTCTCGTAATACCGCTCATAAACCTACACCCAGTCAGCATTTCCATCACCACGCAAAAGAACTCCAGGGTCACATACTTGGCCTTCTCCTCCCGCTCCCTAACCTTCAAACTCGCCTCCGCCATCGGCTCCAAAATCAACACACTCCTCTTGACATACATCAACGGCGTCGGCACCACAGCCCTCAGCTTCTCCCTCAGCATCTCGTCCTGCGTCGCAACCACATATCGAAACTTGTTCTCGTTCCTCCTCTTCGGGTCCACCACCGCCATCACACACTCCCTCTCCGTCAGCGGGTCCTCGTCCATCAGGTGCCCGCACCTCCTCCTCTCAAAAGTCTTTGCCCGCTCAATCGCCGCCGCCACCCCCGGCTCCTTGTTCCGCGCGTACATGGCCCGGATGCAGCACTGCGTGATCATCGGCTTGAGGCTCTTGGTAGACAGCGCCTTTTCGAACAAGGTCATCAGGTCCAGCTTCATCGTGTCGAGCACAATGTCGGACGTCATGAGGAGCTGGTAGGGCTCGCGGAAGCCGAGCATCTGGAAGGACCGCATCAGCTTCTTGTATTGCTTGGTGCGTTTGCCCATGGTGGTGAAATTGTTTGCCCGTCCGAATCCGGATTTTCTAAGTGGTGGTTTGTGGTGAAAGATTCGTGAACTGAGTGTGATTGACGGAACAGCAGAAAAAAAGTCGCTGGATATTGTGTCAGGCGTTGATGAGGTTGATGAAAAGAAAGGTTTATGAGGTTGAGAAGCTTCATGAACTTTTGCTTGGCTCCCAAAAAAATTCCACAAGGCAAGAGCCCCACTTTGATACCTTGACGGCTGGTGGCCCAAGCTCCCAACATGGCTCCACTTTGGCTCTAAGATGGGACATCAACACTTTGAGGAAGTAATTGAGAATATCATAATGTTTGGCTGATTTAGATACTTCAGTGCCTGCTATTCTATAGGATACTTCAGATACTGTAACTCGAGAAAACGCCAAACACCAAGCCCTCAACACCCGCCTTGCTTGCTGACCTAGCACCATATCGAATCCTACCCTAACCCACGCATGTGAAAAAAAAAACCCGAGTATCAAGCCGTATAGATATCTCCCTTCCAAAAGCAGATCATGGAAAAGAAAAATCTCAAATCCCATCTCGTGAAAACCCCAATGTTTGGTTTCTTTGCCCGTTCAAGTCGTGCCATTTCCCATTACACAAACCAATCAATGCTCCACACGATCGATCCCATCTTCGTTACACCATCCCGGCCTGTTCAATGACAAGGCCCCCTTGATATCGAGTATCCAAGCCCTCAGCCCAGGATTAAAATGTTTCTTCCTTCGAATTTTGTCCATCTTCTTAAAATCACCCCTTGTTCTTCCTGCACATCGCCGCAACAACACTGATATCATCAAGCTTTCCTACACACAACCGTCAGCAACAATATCAACATCAACTCAACCCCCAAAGAACTTACCACCCCCACTAGCCAAACCCTCCTCGATGGCATGCTCCATAAACGGACTCTCCGCAAAAGGATCAAGAGCAATCACCTTCGCCGCCTCCTTCAGCTCCTCCGCCACAAACCCCATCATATCCTTCCCATCCTCCCCCTCCACAACCCCTTCCTCCCTCCCCTCCCCCCTCTCCCACCGTTCCACGCTATCGCTAACCTTTTCCACAATCTCATGCGCCCACAGATTATCAATCACCCCGTCCGACATTGCGAGCACCACATCCCCTTCCCGTATCGGTACCTCGTCCACCACGGCACAATTCACCGGCGTGTCCGGACTGTTCGTACCAAGCTGCCTAGGGCAATCAAACCAGTGCCACTGTTCCTTAGATTTAAACACCATTTCCCTCGTTGACGGGCGCACAACCATCACTTGCGAGTCTCCTATGTTGGTGACATACACCAGTGGTTCAGGGTCGCCCGTTTCGGAATTTTTCCGAAAGTGAAGCAGTGCGCCAGCCGCCGTGGTTGTTCCCTGCCAGTCGTTCGGTTCCGAAGTCGCCTCGACCGTTTGCTCGTACGCGTGCTGTAGGTAGGATACAGGATCGGGGTGGTAGTCTCTCTGGCTATGACTTGCCGCGTCTTGGAATATATTCGTCGCCCAGAAATGCAAGATTAACCGGGCCCAGAGACTGAATATGTTTGTCTGTCAGATTGGACTCCAAGAAGAAAGCAAGTGGGTGAGAAAGAAAGAGAAAAAAAATAAAAATCTAACCCAGCATGCCCCCTCGGCCTCATACTCCAAGCGCCCACCCCATCATTCGCGCAAATAAAGTACTTGCTCGCAAAAACAGCATCATCACCATTGGTATAACCCTGAATCAAATGCCCATTCACATACACCTTCCTCCTATCCCGACTTCGATCATGCGTGCTAAGTGGATCACTAAACGACCCCGAGGGAGGCGACAAGAACGGCGGCGGGAACGGCCTTGGTGTTCTTTTGGCGAAGAGCCCAATCCCAGTGTCGAAACAAAACGGCAGTTTCGGGAAAACCGACGGGTCCAGTCTGCCGTCATCATCCAGCGGCAGCGGAGGTGGTGGTTCTTCGGAGGAAGATGCGGAGGAGGTAGATTCGGTCGTCGTCGCAACAGTCTCGGCAGCAATTGTGTCATTATTGTCCGTCGAATACTGCAACGGAGCCGCAGTCCGGAATGTCGCCCGCTGACTCGGCGTTGGCAGCGTCTCATGTAGCAATGTCGGAAACTTCGGACGAGGGGGCCATGGTGATCGCAGGACCAGGGCCGCCGGAACAGCCGCCCTCAATCGCGCGTGTGTTGTCGGGGCTTTGAGCAATCGGGGAGCTAGTCTTCTCATTCCAGCGAGAGCGGCGCGCTGTCTCAATCAGCCGTGACGCTGGCGAGCAGCGAGCAGCATTCGAGATGTAATTGCAAGATGTGCGAACGTGTTCGATCGAGGGGTGGGTTGGGTTGAATCCAAAAGGTTGGAAACCGGGGAGTGTACGACAGGTGGGCAGGGATGAGGGATGGTCGAAGGTCAAATGGAGCCTTGGGCTTATCTTATCAAAGCGAACAAACGGTTTGAGGCTCGATGACATCCCAGTCGTCTTGGAGATGCAGGGCCCTTGTTGCGCTGTCGCCACACAAAAGCTTTGGTAAGGTAGCTGGCAAAGTGGGGCCGATCCGGCAGCCGGGGGCCGGACTCCGCACTAAGTGGGCTCTTACACACAGAATCGGCCCGGGACTGCGATCCAACGGCCGCCCAAAGAGGCAAGAGTTGAAAATGTGTTCGTCCTTACTGGACAGCTGCTGCTCTGAATGTGGCTGACAGGCGAGTATCATAGCAATGGTTAAGAATCAGAGTGGTATCAGGCACCTAAACATTAGATGAACAGGACCATCGTTTACACAACCGATCCCAACATGTCACAGTGGTTCGACGGACTCTGGCAACAAGTTGAACAGTTGAAACAAACTTATTATATCGGACCGTGTGGTATGAACGCCGCACAGCCGTACAACTAAGTACAACTAAAAAAGACCAAACGCCAAAGCAGCAATGATAAAGCTGAATGTATGGATGAAAACCCGACCAACACTAACCATAATGCTCCTGGCAATCTAGCCTTCCACTTTGCTCCCATCAACTGGCCATGTTCTGAAACCACAACATCCACCCTTGAATCCAAGAAAAGAAAAAAAACAACGCCGTGTGGCCCAAAAATCCAAAATTGTTGCCTGCTCTGGAAAACCTTTTTGAGTGTGTAAAAAACCAAGCTAACTCGTAGGTATGAAATGTTGGGAAGCCCTGTCGTGATCTATCCTGTCGTTATCTCAATAAAAAGAATGTCATCTGCTTGCATGAACGTCGTTCAACCGTCAAACCCGTCCCCCGCCCTGTGGCTACTCGCAGCCTCAACTCGAGCCGCTATCCGACTCAAATGTCTTCACCAAATCCTTGACCTTGACCCTCTTCTAGAAAGCCTGGCCTTGAAACGTCATTCTTCCCGGCGTCCCAGATCGAGGACCGCTGGGCACCGTAGCCGCTGCAAACGGAGCCTGTGGTGGCGGCGAGTTGCTCATTCCTAACCCTATTTGCCCTTGCTGTCCCCATCCACCGCCAGACGCAAACGCTTGGTTAACCGGAGGCGCGCCACTCAGTGAGCCATGTTGAGACATCCCTTGGGGAGGCCATGACTGTGGCCCATACTGAAGGGGAAACTGGGGGCGAGGGGAGCCTTGGTATTGAGCTGCAAAATGAGCCTGTTGCTGAGCGAAAGCAGCCTGGGCAGCTCGCTGCGCCTGTTGATGCTGCTCCCGATTTCGTTGATCAATAGCATGCGCAACAGCTTGGCCACCGATCCCTTGCCTCATCTGAGCCCTTTCACGCTCGCGCGCCTCAATTGCACCGACCAGGCCAACCCTGGCCTGGGGAGCGTTCTTGTTGCCAGCAATGGCAATGAGAGGGCTGCCCGTCATCCTCGCGACGTGTTCTTGCTCGCGTGCCGACAAGTGCGACGAGACTTCGCCGCTGGACAGAGCAAGCATCCCAGCCTGGCTCACAGGGCGACCAGATGAGAGTAGGTCAGCCGAATTCGACCGCGAATGGGATGCTGGATTACTGTTTGGCCGCTTGTATGGGGATGTAGGGGTCCCCGCTCGAAACTCGTTGAGAGTGTAGCCCGAGGGGTTACGCTGATGCATAGTCGCACGTTGTTGGACAAACTGTTCAGGGGAAATTGATCTATCAATGGATGTGCTGGGGCCTGGTACGACACCCGGTTGCCAGGCCACGCTTCGACGGAAGGAATCGCTCGATTCTTGACGCCGATGGCAATACGCAGGACCAGGGCCAGGAGATTTTCTACCAGAGGGTGTGGTTGCATGACGTGGGGATTCCATTCCAGATCCAGAATCAGCTCCGTGTGAAGAGCCTGGTGCCGACAGCACCTTCCCAGGTGGAAGTGCTCCATAGTTCAAAGTCCGCCCAAAATCGATATCTGGAATTTTGTACCCTTCTCCAGCCTTGACACCAGAGACAGGCGCATCCTCACCCGTGGACTTGAGCACGCCGATCCGCGGCCGTCCCGTCGATCTCACTGGCAGTTCTATCGAACCCCGGTGCGTGCTAGCGTAATCAGGGCTTACTGTGGAAGCGCCATCATCGGAATGACTTTCTGACCTGTTTGGAGGGGGCGGGGAAAAGGAGATGGGAGAGACTGGTTCCTGGTTCTTGTGCTGTAGGCTGATGGTTCTAGCAGGCAGAGGTTTGCGATGAATCGGGGATCTTTCTGGAAAATTGAACGCCATATCAGCCCTGGAAGGCGGTGGGGTCTGTCGGCCGCTAGGAGGGCCCGAAGACTGTGTTGTTTGATTTCCATGTGGCTGTTGACTCATTGCAGGGCGCATACCGGAGTCAGTGGGAGAGGGGCCGGTTGATGGACCAGAGTTCATGTGTCGCGTGGTGTTGCTATCGGGACCTAGGACGGAATGTTTTAGGGGAGAATCTGACTGGTTTTGTAACGAATCCAGGCGCGGTGGAAGGGACCCAGGAGAGCCTTGGTAGGTAGTGGGAGCTGTCAAAACTTCACGAGATCCATTGTAATTAGCATCTGATTCCATGGTAACGGCGCTGGTGGTTTGTGTCTGTACCGGTTGACCTCGTGGGCCGTTGTATCCAGATTGCGGGCTCATCGCGTAGTCGCCGCGCAGCTGCTCATCCGGGTATCCTCCAGGTCCCAAGCCTCCTGCGTTGGCCAGCTGGGATAGCGTAGTGTCGGATAACCTGTTGTGTTCCCGACGCAACTCAGGTGAAGGTTGGGGCTTGGGATAAGGCCGAGATTCTGCGCCATGAGCAAATGCTGGAGGGGGAGCGACCGGCTCGGGGGTCATCATCCGCTGCATTTCGTTCAGGTTGTAGCCAGCCATGCCTCTAGGATATTCATCCTCGGAGCTGACCCTCTCCGGGGTGGGCGCCAAATCGCTTGCAAATGTCCTGGCTCGGTCAGCGGGGCGCATGGCCGAAGGGCCGACTGCGTGATGATCCATATCATAAGGGTAAGGTGAGTGGTTCTCGAGCTGGGTATCCGAGATGTTGCGCGTGTGCTTGCCATGACCGGCCATAGCGTATGGTGCCCTCTCCCTGTTGGCATCTGGAGGTGCAGAGTCTGTTCGCGTACCCGGCCGAGTCACAGACATGGACCTTGATGACCGCCCAGAACTTCCATCATCCGATGCAAAACCTACTCTCGGCTTCGACTGTCCGCCCTGGCTTAGCCGCTTGCTGCTTTGGCTTGCGGTATCTCCAGCCGCCTCCATATCCAACATGCGAGTCCCCGTCAGCTCTTTCAACTTCTTGCGCCATTCCCTCTCCGACCAAGAGGAGCTTCCGTCGGTGGTGATGAGCCCACTGACATCGAGCAACTCGAGATATCCATATTTCTTGTGCTTTGGCATCGCAAACATGAGAGAGCGCGAGTCTCTAGGGCTTGCACACAACCGACCTGGACGACCGTACAGACCAAACGTGTCCCAGGTTGGGAAGAGGAAGCGCAGCAACATCTCAAAACCAGGGACCATCGGATGCGACTCGGGCATGATGAAGACGAAGCCCTCGGTTGACGATGGTGGTTCGGAGTGGATGTGGATATCACCCTCAATTTTCAGCAGAGTCGAGCCATCGATCAGCGCCTTGGCCTGTGGGTAAATAGCGTAGGCTGCATAGGCATCGGTGATGGTCGCTATTGGCTTTTGGTGCTTCTTCTTCTTCTCGGCCTCCTTCTTGGTGTCGAAGAACCTGATCTCACCCTTTAAGATGGGTGCATGTGATCGGTCATAGGCAGAACGCTTCTTGTGCTCCTTTTGTGCCTTCTGATACTCCTTCTCGCTGGGTGGTTCTATCACGCACCAACAACGTCTCCAGGGGACACCGGCACCGAACCTTACACGGACGTATTCCTGAACGGGAACCCTGGCGCGTTCCATGATGATGTTGATGCTGTTGAGGGTCTTGCCTTTGCCGGCCACCACGGCGCCCGTGTATGCCTCTTGAAGTGTCGAATGCTCATACATGGCCAACCGGATGCCGGAAGTCCACTGGATCAAAGAATGGTGCGAGTTAAAGTGAAGCAAATAGCGATTCCGGCCCGCGGTGCTAATGCTGAGAATATTTTGTAATGGCTGCTCATCGGCGGACCTTGTTGGAAGCGATTCGATCTGTGACCTCATGTTAGCAACAACTCACTCAACGGAGCGAAGCAAGGGTCCACTTACCATCTTGATCGAAGCATCGGTCAAGTTGATGAACTTGGGCAACACCTCCCCGTCGTCACCAGCGGCATCCAACTCGGCGGCGTCCCACAACGACAACACAGTGCCGACAAGCTGAGCGAAGCACTCGGTCCATGTTCGATCGGGGTTAGGTTTTCCTTCTATATCGCAACAGCTGGTTAGTCGCTAACACCATATGCCAAGCGAAGACTTTCGCTGCGGTGGTTCTTACTAATGTCTTGGTCGTCAAGCTTGAGAAAGTAGCCCTCCTGATACAGCTTGTTGGAGTGACTGTTTAGCAGGCTAAAAATGGGCAGAAACTCTGCTGGGGTCTGACTAGACAATTCCATGATGAGCGGACGGTATGTTTGCGAGAGGGAGCGAGGTCTCTCGCGTCGGTTCGCGTTAGGTCGAGGGCTTGGTGGGGGAGACGGTGGCAGCCGTTGTACCACTGGAGCATGTTCGTCTTCAGGAGACGAGATGGGTGTTGTTTCGGCAGTCGAGTCTGGCGGCAGTTCGCTCTCGGAGGACTCTTGCAGCGTCGGCGAGCCTTGCAGTGTCGGCGAGGTCTGGAAGGGTGGCGACGAGGAAGGTGAGGTGACGGAGGTGTCGAGCCTAGAATCCGGTTTTGACGGGATCGGGGACGACTGGCAGGAGGATTCGATGCTCTTGGGTGGTGATGCAGGTGCGGGTGTAGGGGTCCCGGAATCCCTGCGAGGTGTGAACTGGGCTATAAACGAGCGCACTAGAAGCACGACAAAACCCCGGGTGTCAGTCAGTAGATTGCAAATTGGGCGAGATTACACAGCTCCTCCAGTGGGCTGCTCTTGTTATTATTGTTATTATTGTGCCGGGGACGGGGAGTGCCAGGGGGCCGACATCGTCCCAGCAGTCCAGCTAAGCATTTGAGAGCAATGATTTGCCTGCCTCAGTGAGGCGAAGCATGCCAGCCAGCGACCGGAGGGGGGGTACGATGGGGTGCCACGAGTCCCCAAGACATGCGCCAATCCCAGCGGACAACAACTAGAATTCCATCTAGGTCCCCGGCACACAGCTTCCACCACACCAACAAGTTTCTGGGAGTAAGGAAAATTGTTATGTCACATACCTCGTCCCTGGCGGGCCATGATGGATGTCGAACGGATGTTTGTGCCGCGGAAGCTCCGGCACCGAACGGAGGGAAACGAAAAAAGGTGATGTCGCAGGGAAGATGCGGGTTTGGGAGGTAGCCGGAGCGGAATGAATGCAAAAGACGAGAAACGAAGTGGAGGTGAGGCAGAGGAAGCTTCTTTCTCCTGAATTAATCTTGCCGTGCTGCCTTCTCCGCGCCAAGGGGGGGGGGGGGGGGGGGCCCGATGGCCTGGGACTTTGAGGGCTGTTCAGTGTTCGGTCGGTTGCGGCCCCATTAGGCAAATGTCGTTTCGGGATACGGAGGCTTCGGGACAGAACAAAGACGAAGCTCTTTGCTACGGATATAGGTCTGAAGACTGGATGACGCTGGCTGGGGCCGTCCCAAGTTTTGTACGGAGCAGTGCTGGAGCCAAGTAATTCTTTTTGGTAAAAAGCGCCGTTCGATGCCCCGGCGATCGCTAGGCGAATCGTTGTCTTTCCTGCATCAATCTTTGTAAGTGGAAGACTACACTAAGCTCGCTGAATCTCTCTCGATGTCCAGCTCGAACGGAGCGGCCTTGCCGGTACAGGCTTGGGTGCAAGACAGTGCCGTGGATGCCCACTTGGCGTGGCGATTCAGTGATGCTCCAAATACCCAGTGTTCCCTGTCGAACCTCCACAGTCCGCTTGGCGACTCATTCACTCTGACAGTGTGCTATTTTCAGTCCTGACGAGACGGTGACGGTGACGGCGCCGTTCTCTGGCCTGGGCTCTCTGAAGATACCGCCGGCATGTTGTGGTTGTTTCCAAGTCGACCAACATTAGAGGAACTTCCCTTTCGGGCAACATGGAATGTATAGGTGGACGGGCAACGGAGATTCAAACAAAGCAACTGCACAAAAAAACGTACCTCGATTCCGTCAAAGTACAAGTGACAGCTGGCAGCTCAAAGCTAAATTCGACTGGAGAACCAAAATGAAGACCTTTAGTAAAAATGATTGCAAAATCAAATCCCAAAAAAACTGCAGTTCGTAAACAACTGAGAAAAACGAGCTCAGTCAGCACGGCTGACCATACGAGAGGCACCAGATATGTCTCGTATTTGGAATTGCTACTTCCCGTCTTCCGCCCGAAAGCTCCGAGTTAAAGTACACCTGCCCATCTTACACCTCAATATCAAGACTCTCCCTGTTGTTGTCACTTTCCAGGGACATTTTCAGGCTCTGGCTCTGCATGCAGTGATCAATGATCAGTGCGGCTTTCCCGGATCGTTGGACTGGGCTCTGCAGTCTCAGGATCTCTCTTGACCATCAGGAAGAAAGTCCCTTGGTCGATCCCAGGTAAGCCAGATCATCCCGCTCCGACAAGCGAGACGTGCAGCGAGTGCCACCGTGTCATGCACCTACAAAAGCCCACCCCACGACATCATCAGTGCAGGATATGCAGCACACCATCACCCAGCACAGAGGCGCTATTCTTTTAGTGTCTTCTCCCGCCTGGCTATCGGCAGCAATTCTCCAGCTTTTTGCTGTCTTTTCTCTCCGGACACGCTTGCTGCTTGCTCCCCAGTCCTGCATTGCATCACCGGTTCTCAGATGTCGTTGGCAGTTAACGCTGCCCAGCAAAGAAGACCCCGCGATTACTTGGCATAGAGGGCAGGGGGGTCTGGATTGGTCAAAAGTTTGCTTGGATGACGATGGGGTCCGGTGAAAAACCTCTTGTCGCCAATCGATGAGCCGCCAGATCCTTTCCCGCCCGACGAACCTCCAGCCTCCGCCTCTTCGGGGTGATGACGCTCTCGATTTCAGGTAGTGTACTCCGTAGCACGTTGTCACTGCGCTGCGATGGCTCATCAGCCAACAGATTTCCCTCACCTTCACCACCTGAAACCTCTTCGGGAAATTCCACAAACTGTCATGGGATTTGTTCACCAACGGTACCAAGCCCCGCCAGCATCAGCAAGCTGGAAGCGCTAGAACCGCAGGTCGGTCCCCACGTTGCCGTCCCCTGTCCGGCACCACTTTCCGATGCGATCCCAAGAACTGGGCACTTCTGGGCGTTGCTGGGCATCGCTGATGAATATCAATGAGTTTGAATACGCGCGGCCATGGCGGTCAAGATGAATCCGTAATCAACTTGATTGTGCTGCGGTTGCCGCCGCCGAGAAGCTTTTTATGTTGGATTCGTGTAGCCAAGGTCTCATTGAGTGAGGCTTGGGAATAGGAAGGTGAGGCCAATACGAGCTTGGGTAAGACAAATCACCGAAGCAGCGGCTGTCGGTGCTGGCGTATTCGCACCAGCGCCTGTGGGGAATCCATCCCATCCAGAATCCTGGACCTGAGACGTTATCTACACAGCGAGGCGGCATTGTCGTTGGCTGCCTATGCACGCTGTTTCTATTTGCCTGGATTCTTTCGTTTTGGATCACCACTTGTCTATATGTTGCACAAAGTGTATTGAGTGAAGAAGGGTTGCACTGATTTTGGTTCTGATTAATGAGGTTCCTCTTCTTGTCTTGGGCCTACAATAATTGGCACCCACGAACACTCCACCACTTCATCGTGGCAGACAGGCGCTACCCTGGGAGACGACGACGGTCAATTTTCCGGGAGTTCCCAGCCACCCGCGGACCCGACCTCGTTGGCTTTGGCCTTTCAAAGACACCTTTTGCCGAAGCCGGAACAATCTCCATCAAACTTACGTCATCGTCCCCTTGCTAGATTTCAACACCAGCTATGAACTGATCACAGCCATCACCAGCTCTGTACGTCCGTTACATGGTGTAGTCTGTTGGTCTCAAGACATGCACTTCGTCTATCAATTTCCCTCGTTTCCTAGAGTCTTGAGTCTTGATCACGAGGGGTATACCGAACGCTCAATGGCATCATTCGTTCAGACGCCTGGACAAATTTGTGATACTGAAGGGTCCAGCTGACAGGTTACACCTCCATTCCCGCCCCTCCATCTGACTCCCACCTTTTCAAGAAAGCCTCTCATGCGGGTAGGACGCGCCTAGATTAACCAGCGGGAGCAAGGGGCGGACGGGAGGCTTCGCCTTGTCGATATTTGCGGCGTCCATGGTGACGCTGTGCCACCGGTGTTACCAAGATATCGAGCACGGTAGCGTTTGAGTCCGGCAGGTGATCCCGATAGCCATTGCCTATCACTTCTGGTGTGGTTGGATGCCTCTTTAATTACTTTGACCAGGTACTTGTTGGGCGATTGCCGCACTACCTATCTTTTCAAGTGTAATTAAGACTTCTATACGAACAGGTATTTAAGCGGTTTGAACACTCCTACGCCCCTCTAAAGTTGCAAGCTCAGCATTTTGGCAGCGAGCAATCTTCGTCATATTTCTGTACAGGAGACAGGCTTCACCACAGCAAGACGGTTGTTCAGTATCTTCGTATTTCCTTTAGCGTTGGCACCGCCTGATCATAACAAATTCCCAGCTCCCAAAAATATATGTAAAATAAGATCCAGATCAATGCCAATACATTGTCTTACCGAACACTGTTAGACAAGGTCTTATCTCCAGTGAAGCTCCGGGTTCCTGACATGTTGTGTATTCGAGACTCGATCGAGATTGGTCTCCTCTCAAACCCAGGCTTCAGATGCATGATGCCTCTATCAAACACAGCCATCCTCCAGCTGCCCCTCCATTGTCTTCTCTTAATGGTTCTATCAGAAGAAGCATTTACACACGCATTTTACCTTCATCCCCCAAGATGACATGCCATTTCATACACCCTTGGCCTTCGCAAATCCTTCTATTTTATAAGATTTGATGGCGAACCATGAAAATAACCAGCCACCGCCTCTTGCTTCAACAATACTGCAAGGGCTCCAGACTCAATCCTCTTGCCAGGATGACTTCAACCTCACAATTGTTCGCCGCCCCGACCGCCGTTTTGCTCTCGTACTCGGGTCGACGACTCAATTACGTGCTTGACGCAGCCATCCGGATCCATCTGTTTCAACAAACAGAACAACCCCTCAATACGTTCAAACTCTGTCGATCGGAGATGTCTCACAGGGCAAAATGATTGGAAGAGGGAAGGGTTCGAGGAGGAAAAAGCAATCGGGATGGAGCCGACGGTGCCGGAGGCGTTCGGTACACCAATTGACCCCTCCAAAACCCGCCAGGTTGGGAAGGCGATGTCCCCAAATCGAACGCGCTATCGCGGTCCAAAACGCCCTGTCAACCCAGTCGGCCGGCACGCGTGCACAGGGCAGGTGCTGCCCCCCAGCCAGTGTTGTGCAACTGAACTTGTTGAATGGTGGAAGTGAGACCCAGCTTGTGATGTTTTCTTTTTCTGTGGGTTGAACTCAGGTTCAGTTCGCTCCTCCGCCGTTGTCCTGCACATTTGTTGCTCCTTGCTTCCCTCCTCGTCGCTTTTTTCCATGCGAAGCTTCCAGGTTGACGTGAAGGTTGCCTCGCCAGGCCAATTTTTGTTGTTTTGCTTGCTGCACACGCCCAGTGCCGACTGACCACCAGTCCGCCGCGTTTGGACCCGCCTGGCTCGAGTCCTTCGTCCCCCTCAACTCGACGTGACCCGCTTCCCAACCTGCGCGCGCTCGCTTTTCGCCCGACGCGATCCCGTGAGGATTTGGCAATCAACTGCCACTCTCCGTCCGTGGGCGACGTGTTTCTTCGCTTCCTGTCGAATGCGCCGGAGAAAAAAAAAAGGGCGTATCCCACTTTTCCTATAACCACCGCGATCGCTTTTCATTGCTCTTCATCAAAAGGCTGCCGCCACCAACGCCGCGCCGTTGCGGAGCTCCGACCTTTGAGACAACTGTAGAGCGCAAGTGGCAGGGCCATCAGTGCCGTAAATATATCCATACCTTTTCTTTGCGATGGACTCGTTTGGGGAGGATTCGCAGCCGACTCAAGGTTTGTTTGTTTTGATCTGCCGAAGCCCCTTTTCTCCTGCGTGTTTCTTAGTTCTAATCTGATTGACCCCTTTCTGCGCAGCGACGCAAAACGTCGTGGATCCGAGACGGCTGGGACAGCAGAACTCGGGCTTCTCAGATACAGACATCGCCGACATAATATGTCTTCTTGTTCCGCAGTCGGATGCTGCACGCCGAGAAATCAGAAGAATCAGACTCCGAACACCAGAGCACACGGTTGGGAGGGATGAGGCGCTCAACTTGGATGTGGAAGAGGATGGGGAGGATGTAATTGGGGGCCAGGGCTTTCCGGGACATGGTGTAGGGGAGTATCACATTGCGCTGAGGTTTTCCACCGAGATTAAGAGTGCTGTAAATGGCTTCACCTTTGGACGAAACGAAAGTCGTTGCGACATTGTTTTCGAAGACGATCCGATGCGACGGCTGAGCAACACCCACTTCCGCATCTACCTCAACGACCACGGGGTTTTGATGATTGAGGACATGTCGACAAACGGCACCGTTGTTGATGAGCAGCTCTTACGACGAAAGGGCGAGCCACCGCTCGATGTGAAGAGGACACTAAGGAGCGGTTCGAATATTAAGATTCTGATGCATGAGGAGGCAAGAGACCTCAAGTTCAGGGTCTGGATACCAATCCGGCAGGGCTACTCAAATGAAGCCTACAAGCAAAACTTACGAACATACATTTCAAATCGAGCAGCACTCACGGTAGATGTGAACGCAACCATCGTGCCCGGCCCTGGTGGGCGTGTAAGCTCATCCCCCTCCTTTTGGAAATCCAACCGTGGCCACGTGAGTAACTTGACATGTAGGTTGACATATTCAAGCCCGCGGCACCCAGAGCAGCTCCTGCGCAAAGGCAAACGCCCAACAACCCGGTAGCTGTTCGTCGGGCACAGCCAGGTCCTTCAGATCAACAAGATACCGATGATATCTTTGATGGTCTTCCAAAGGCGTGGGGTGGGTCGCAAAAGTATAACCGTGTGGGTGAGGTGGGCAGAGGCGCCTTCGCTACCGTCTACAAGGTGACCTCGAGGTTCAGCGGTGAACCTTATGCGGCCAAAGAACTCGACAAGCGGAAGTTCATGAAGAACGGCGTCTTGGACCAGAAGGTTGAGAACGAAATGCGCATCATGCAAAAAGTCAAACATGTCAGCCTCCGCCATTCTTGAGTTCTGTTTTGCACAATTACTGACACCGCAACAGCCAAACATTGTAGAATACGTCGAGCATCTCGACTGGGATAACCGGCTGTTGATCATTATTATGGAATATGTCGGCAAAGGAGATCTCGGGAGGATGATCTCGGAGTATGGGCCTCTCACCGAGGACACCACGAGGACCATGGCAACCCAGCTGCTGGATGCCTTGGATTATCTTCACAAGATGAACATCACCCACCGTGATGTGAAGCCGGACAACATTCTAGTGAGCTCACATGATCCATTTGTGGTCAAGCTCACGGATTTTGGGCTTTCCAAGATGATTGATCACGACCAGACGTTTCTCAGGACCTTTTGTGGTACCCTCCTGTATTGCGCCCCTGAAGTATACTCGGAATATGCCGAATACGATAGCAGAGGCAGACGGCATCCCCGAAATCGACGTCTCCACCCACAAACTGGTCAGAGATACGATCACGCGGTTGACATTTGGTCCTTGGGAGGCGTTCTTTTCTACACAATGACGAAATCACCCCCCTTTCCGGCTCAAAGCGGAGCTAGTCACTCGGCGCTCCTTCATCAGATCATGACCAAACCCCTCAACATAGCACCCCTTCAACAAGCCCAAATCTCAGAAGAGGGTATCAAGTTCATCCAGGGCATGCTCGACCGTAAACCAGAGAACCGAGCAACGATTGAAGCGCTCCAGCAGCACCCCTGGATTCAGCCGCCTCCGCCACCGCAGGTCGATGAAGTATCCGACCAGGAGCTCAGCTTCAATGCTTCACAGCTCAGCATCCAGGATCAAGACTTGCAGATGCCGTTTGAGGACCATCTGATTCCAGCCAGCGACGATGAAGATCTCCCTGATCAGGAGCCAGTTCCAACCGGCGGATACGAGTCCGAGAAGGAGAACTACACATTTGGAGCCGGTAACCAGCCACAGCCTCAACCTCAACGTCTCTTTGGAGAAGTAAATCCGTCGGCTATGGGGAGTCAAGGCGCGGTGGCGGCCCATCGTCTGAATCTGCCGGTGTCCAAAGACAGCTTTGCGTCAAGCGCATCGACGGAGATTTTAGGATCCGACAATGAAATCAAGGACAGCTTTGAGTCTGACCAACACTCCACACCGCGGCAGAAGAAGCAGTTCTCGCAAATTCCCTCTGTCGGTCTGGAGGAAGGGTCCTTCTCGCTCAGCCAGAGCAGATCCACGGAGGACCTCAACACCAAGACCTTTGATGTGGCATCACAGAGCTTGGGGGGCGCCGAGTCCATCCTGGAGAATCTTAATATGAAGTCACGCGTCGGCTCCCTCCTTGCCTCTCGTGGAAGTGAGGTGAACTCCAGCAAACGCAAGCAGGATTCATCCAGCGAAGATGAGGCTCAGCGAGGGCCTGTATCCGATGGGCGCGGTCTGAAGAGGTTTCGATCAGACCCCACAACGGTTCAAAAGCAACAACAACAGCAGCAGCAGCAGCAGCAAGAAGTCGCCATTCGCACGCTCGATAGGAAGGACTTCGATTTGATGTCGCAAATCCCATCGATTCCTAAGCAGTCGGTGCAGATCGACATTCCAGTCCACAAGGCTACATACTGGCTGGCTAATGACAGGAGCACCTGGCATCTGACGTACCCCGAGATGACACAGCTACAGTTCGACGCCTTCAAAACGGCAGCCAAAGCCAGAGGAGAAGACTTTGCTCCAGGCAAAACCCCTCTTTGGGACCTGGCAATGAAGTACTTCCCACCCACCAATCGGGAGCGGCCAGGCAAGATCAGAAGGACCTTTGAAGATTCCGGAGACCACACGATGCCGTCTACTGCAATCGAATCCCAGGCGAGTCAGCATGTCGAGATCCCAGACACCCAGGACGCGTATACCACCATGGCTATGCACTCAGAGCGGATGAAGCCAGTGATTGCGTGTTTGAAGTCAACACCCAGTTCAGTGGTTCACTTCATTCAGGTCCTGGTAACCGAGTGCATGATCTCCTGGGGCCGTTCAGTCGACAACACTCGCTCGTACGAGCCCAAATCGGAGAGCAGAGTCCCAAAATACGCATTCAAGCTCCTCCTGTGGAAGAACAACTTTGATGCGACCATCAACAGGAACTGGCGGCCTTGGAACAAGCGCTACGAGCCTGACGAGGAGGAGTTCATGTTTTACATTTGCACCAAGGCGACCAACGGCATCTGGATCAACGGCGAGAAATTGCGCTCTCACCTGAACGAGAACAAGAAAGCCGACGGCCCTTACAAGTACTGGGCTCCCCTCTACGACGGCGACCGCGTCTCCGTCTGGCAGACCATCGACGGCAATTCCAGAACCGAGCTCACCTTTCGTTGCGTCTGGGGAGGCAGCGCGAAACCTCGTCCCGGCTACGGTCCTCAAGCTATCCCAACCATGGTCGACACGGACACTGCCCGCCAACTGGATCACCTCTGCGACAAGATTGAGCGCAAGATGCGCAGTCTGAACGAGCACGACCTCTGTATGGAGGAGGCGGAGTATGACATGAACGAACGCCACAAGCACATTGACCGGGAGAGGGAAAAGTCGAAGCAGTTTGAGAAGCTGAGGAGGCAGGCGGACAGGGGTGGGAGGAGGCCGAGCCCGATGCCGGGGATCACGTATGGGAATGCGGATTCCACGCCGGCGATGTGGACTAGTCAGTTCAGAGGGGGGGTGCCTGTTTTTAGGAGGCCGAGTCCGACTGCTTCGGATTTGTTGAGGGCTGCGAGGTATTGATTGTGGTTTTGGAGAGAAGAAAAAAACATGATACCCGGTGGAGGTGTTTTTTTTTTTTTTGGTACGATTGTTGGAAGGTTTGTTGGAACTGTTTGGTGTGAGAGAAGGGAGGGGTGGGTTTTATGCATATTATTATACAGCACACAGTCGTTACGGTATAGCTTTGTTGGAAAGGGGTGTTTTATATCTGTTATAGGGTTGGATGAATGTTTGGGCGCAAAATTCATACATATCTCGTATTGTATTGTCATCTAGTTTTTTGGGGAGGGGGTTGTTAGTGGATGGATGGCTTGATGGATGTGGTTGTTTCTGGGTGTTTGTTTTGTTGACTGGTACTAGAGATCTATATTTTTATGTTGGAAGGATATGATGACGAGCTTGGTTTGTGTGGTTTGGGGAAGTGGTGATAGTGTCGAGATGGTTCGATAAGGAGGCTGGACTGGAAAGAGATGTTTCAAAACATGAAAATACAATATATATATCAGACTAGGTGCTATCTAGATGGTTTCAGTCATGTGTTTTTTTTTCCTGAGGGATTTTCTTGTGCCAGGTTGTCTTGGCTTGATGGGATGAATACATTTGGCACTCTTAGGGGGTGGGGTGTACGGTTGTTCCTTGCAATCATCCAGGCACATCTTAACATGAGACTTGCCTGTTTGTTACTTTGATTCAACCCTTTTATTTGGCATTGTGCATCAATCAAGGTATCACACTCGCTCTTCCCCCTCTTCCTGAGGTCTTCTTTTCGGAAATACTTGCACCGGAATCTACTTGTGTTAAAGAGGGATCGATCATCAGATACAGCAAGCAAAATCACCCCAGCCCGTGGAACACACATGCTGTCTTCATCATCCTTTTGGACACTGTTCTTCAAAACGGCATTCTTCCACAATCTTCTATATGCCCCAGATGTTACAAATTTCATCCTGTTCACGTGACCATGTTTGATGCCTGATTTCGGATTTCTCAGAACAATCTTAGTCAATGCTATAGAGAGAGATATCAGGGCCTGGTGTTTCTCTCATGTTTTTTTTTTTGCGTACCTACCATTACCATTGTGTCATATTGGGGTCTTCCTCCGCAAGAGTGACTGAGAGGTGATATGCACTTGCACAAGACTTTGGTGTCAACACAGAAGTGCTTTATAAGACCTTTTTGATCAAGATAACAGGACTTGTGTATGACTTTCTTGATAGGATGAAGGACTTTCATAGGATCATTGAAGAAGATAACAGTGCTTGTTATGACTTTTCGAAGAAGATAGTGTGCCTCATGGTGGTTCTTGTCACGATTGGTGTGTTATATCAAACAGCCCAAATTGAAGGGGGAAAAGAGAGTTGTATTTCTTTAGCTATGATAAGGTCTCAAACTTCCAATTTAAACCACCCAAAGGTGAGTCCATTACACCTTGCCACAGCAATGCCTCCTTTCCTTGCGACGAGCACCGCCGAATCGCCATAGTGATTACCGTAAGTGTACCAGGTGAGCGGAGGCGTAACGAGACGTGGTGATAATCGTATGTAAACTACTATCGGCGATAAGGTGGTATAGAAATCGAAGGTGTGATGCCAAAAGCGTGTATGGTACAATGTGTGTGGTGATGACGGTGTTGAACTGTCAAATCGATGCGCAGCGAGAAAAAAACCCCTCCAAACTTCCAAAATAAGCTGGCAGCCCTCGTGCAAGGAATTTTCCGCAAAGACAGTAATGCTTTACATGTAATCTTTTTACAAGAGTAGCAGCGGTCAACAAATGAATTTTTCGTCAAGGTAACAGCGCATGCAAATGACTGTTATGGGAAAATTGTAGCGCTCGCGGTTGAGCTTTTCTGTCAAGATAGAACTGCTTGTAAATGAAATTTGATTACCACAGCAGCGCTTGCACAAGAGTTGTATGAAAATAGCACCGCTTGCACAAGATATCAAAATCAAGACAGCAGCCCTTACCAGTGATATCTCTGATTAAAGCTTGGATTGGTCAAAATAAAGTTGGGATGGGTTCTTTAAATATCATGGCTTGCATAATGTAGGGTAGAATTGTTCTGGTTGTGTCCTGCTACTACGACACATCTGAAATCCAGGACGGAGTCCCAGAGCGTCTGCATTCTGGTTCCTCCAGAGGATCAAGAATTTGACTTTGTCTCATTTTGACTGCCATCATGTTAGATTTGATCGGTTCGAGCCAATACTAAACTCACCATCAAGCGGATGAATGGTTCTTTGAGAGGCTCTCCTGTTAACTCCCTTGTTTGACTCTTTCTAAGGACCTCTGTCCCAATCGTAGCAGATGAGGTACTTGGGTTCTCATCGCAATAGTCAATACGCAGGTCAAACACCCTATAACGCAAAGCATGCATTTTGCAGTGAACTTTACACACCCAACACGATATACTGTACAGCTATACCCGCACTTCTAATAACTGTGACTGTCCCAAACCCTTCCTAGACAACTTTTAACGCTGCCCATCTTTAACAATACACCTATCGATACAACTCGCCCCTTTTTGCTGACCCTGAACGCCTTCGAACTGATATCATACACTAATTCTACACCCAAACTTTCCTTATCCCACTCGTTCCTCATATCGTAACACCCAGCCCATCCATCCTGCATTCCCTGTCCTCTTTCCGGCTCTAGAAAGGCACAAAACGCCTTTTACTCATCATATCTTTCAATCTTCCACGCCAGATCACTATCCACCTCAACCACCCTGTCTCCATCCTCCTCAAACAACGCATCCAGCTCACTCATACTCCTAACAACGCCACCTTTTGGCAGCTCTCTTCTCCGAGTCGGTGAGCCAAAACTGCCGAACGCCTGGCCTTCATACTGCTTCATTCTCTCGTAGGATTCGGCAAGCTTGGCGACATCCGGAATAAACATCTCTTCTTCCGACTCCTCCCCTCCAGCATATTGCTGGTAATGCAGCAAGGGCTCTGACCGCTTCCGTTTAGGGGTACTGTTTACCTTGCCTTCACGGTTGCCGGGGGAACGAAAAGGGGTAGCGGAGCCACGATCACCCGGTTCAGAGGTAGGTATCTGAGTAGCGGTAGATTCGGGGGCAGCAACGGGGAAAGATCTGCGGAGTGGTGATCGTGTAAAAGGGGCGTGGGGGGTTGTCCGGAGTGACAAAACTGCGGCTCGGGCGCGGATGATAGCTCGGTGTCGACGAGAACGGGGCTCCCTTACTGGTGAGCTGGAGGGGGGACTGGGGGTTTTGAACCCTAGGTCGCGATTCACCTTGGATTCTGCCCCGAGGTTAGGGGCGAAGTAGAGGCCGGAGAGTCCCCTCGTAGTGGGAGAGGTCGATGGGCTGGAGGAGGATGAAGGGGCGGAGCTCTTGGGATTGGGTCCAGGGGTTTGTTTGTTACCTAACGATATAGGGGCCGAGGGGGGGGATAATTCGTCCTTTAGGTTGACGCGGAAACGGGAGGGGTTGTGGCTTGACTGCCGCTGTCTTTTAGGAGGACTAGGCAAGATATTTTTACCTGTGACAACCTCAGGGGGGGTGTTGACTTGAGAGGAGGACTTCAAACTTCCGACGGAACCACGATTGCTTTGCGGAGGGCTGCGGTAGGCCTCTAAAGTCCGCAGACTGGCAGAAGGTAGCCTCCTTGACGATGTTGCGGAGGAGGAGGAGCCAAGAGTCATGGGCTCCAGGCTGGTTTTCGACAATGACCTCTCGTGTTGTTTACTTTTTGAGGAATCCGCAACCAAGGAATGTCTCTCGACCCCAGATTCGAGATTCGCGATTTGGTGTTCTGATCTCGATCGATGAAGGGCGGCAAAATGCAACTTAGAAACCCCTTTGGGCTTCCTTCCAGACGTGAGGGGCAACCTCTCTCGGCCATCCATTCCTTTTTCTTGGGTTCCGGCGGGGAAGTGGCGGTCTCCGTGGCGATTGGAGTCGAGGTTATACCCCTCGACTGCATCGAAGTCCCTTTCCTTAACCCCAAGCTGTTTGGGGATCACATCGGCAAGCTTATCAAGAGACGAGGTCGAAACACCCAGAGATATAGCCCCCGCAGAGCGATCCGTGGATATCAACCCCCTTCTCTCCCCCATCTCTGCCGGCAACTCTTCCATCTTGAAGCCTTCCTGGGCATCTTCCCGCAGACTTTCCTGCCGCTGAATCTTCCGGTCAAGACTCTCGAGAATCACACTCTCTCGACCAGTCTTCCTGGTCCTCCTCTTCGCCTCCCTCATGTCAACGCACTGTTTACAAAACAGTTGGAGAGGGGTAAGGGGTGCCCCTGACTTGACCAAAACAAGGTGCATTTTTGATCGAGCAACACCACATCCATGACACCATTCGTAGGGAAATTTCCCCTCTGCCCCCTATGTTAGCCATACAAATTAGCATAACAAACATAACATGACTATAAAATTGCTCAGACGAAATGTTGAGCGTTTCTGAACGCTGCTGACTTCATGTTTGGATGACAAAGTAAGCGTTTTCAAACGCTTAACTTGACACTCCCAAACGCTATGGCAATATTGTTGGGATGAAATGTCAAGCGCCCCCGAGTGTTTCGGTGACTTGTTCGGATGACAAACTTGGTGTTTTCAAACACTAGAAAAAAGTGTTTGGATGAAATACGATCGCCATTAAGCGCAGGTGTAGCAATATTCAGATAAGATACCAAGCATCTCAAACCGCCAAGTCAAAAATCCAAATACTGTTTGGATGAAGTGGTGAGTGCCCCTAAGCGCTGTTGTAGGAGAGCTTGGATGAGATATGAAGCATTTTAGAACGCTAAGTCAAAAAACACAAAGTGTGTTTGGACGAAATGTTGAGCGCCACTGAGCGCGGATGTGGTGGTGTTTCGATGATATATCAAGTGTCTAAAAATGCCAAGTTCAAAAGCCGAATACTATCCGGATGGAATATCAAGCGGTCCAAAACCATAGAAGATTGTTTGGACGAGAGGTAAAAGATTACTTAGATGAGAGTAGGAAATTGTTGGGATGAGAAGCAAGGGTCTCCAAATAACAAGTGAAGAAAATCTATATGTTTTTTGGATGATATATCAGCCTCTCTGAACGCTCAAAAAGCAACGTTTGAATATCATCTCAAGCGTTTAGAAACGCCAAGAAGAGAAGTCCAAACATTGTTGAGATGAGATTTGAAGTGCCTCAAAACGCCAAGTTAAATAAACCCAACACTCGTCGGATGATGAGTTGAGCATATTCGAACACCACTTGATGGCTTGTTCAGATGATATATCAAGCGCGTTCAAGTGTTGTTATAAAGGTGGTGGGATGATGGATGGGGTGTTGAGAAGTGTAACCTGTGAACAAGGACTGCTCAAAGCACTGTTTGAGTGTACTCCAATGACATATTAAGGATCGTAAAACACCGGTTGAAAACAAACCAAGGGCGTCAAAGTGCTCTCGTATGAGTGTTGGAATGACCGCGGAAGAGTTTTGGGAAGGCAGATTCGAGCGAGATTAACCTTCTGTTGAGGAGTGTTCGCTGTTGAGGAGTGTTCGGAGGAAAGTTCCGTGATTGGGATGGGGTAATCGTCACTTGACTGCCCAACTGACAGCTTGGGGGCCTGTCAAAGAAGAAGAAGGGGTATGGGCATGTCTTGCCGAAGACCGCTCACTCCACTTGGGATGAACAATGACCGTGTCGTAGGGGGTATGTTTGCCAAGGGGTTCTCCGGAAGTGAAGAAAAAGAACAGGAAACAGGATAGGGAGACTTATAACATACCGGCTGTTGACGCCACAACTCGTACCTCTCACGGCACGAGACACACAAGCTGCTCCTAGCGAACTCGTCACCAGCGTGGAGACGCTGGTACGACTCCTCGCGGAGTTGCCCGCACAGGAAGCAGCTGTGTGCCCCGGCCGGAGAGGCAGTGAGAGCGGCGGAGGCGCTGGTGTACTGGTTGGCTTCCAGTCGGGCTCTGAATGAGCTAGGTAGAAAGTGGAAGTTAGTTACGTATATCTATAACATCAGGACAAAAATTGAATAAAGTGTTTTGCATCGAGGGATGTGTTCCAGAAACACGGGGATGTTGATTCAGTGCCTCGCACATGGCTAGCAGATAGGGGCATCGAAGACTGAGGGTTAGTGCCTGGTAGTGTTGTATGAAATCGAAAATGCCGACCAAAGAATTCTCAGGCCCAAACCTCGCTCTGGTCTCTCTTGAAAATCATTGTATCGAGGATCTGGTGCCGTGTCGTTGATAATGATGACGCTGCTGTTGGAATAGAGAGGTCGAAATGCCGTCGAAGACTTCAACAATGTGGCCAACTCGGAGTCGCTCATTCGAGGTCGAAGAAAGAGTGAAAACGCCAGTCAGAATATACTTGCAGGTTTGAATCCATGTCGCTGGCAAGGGCGCGGGCGACGACGACGACGATGGCAACGGCTTGCAAACGCTGGGCTAGGTGACGCGGCGAAGAAAGTCGTGGCGGTCGTGGTCGAAAAAGTGAAGGTGGGAAAGCAGCAGAAAACCAACTGAGCTGCTTTAGTATTGTCGAAATCGTACGGCAGAAAGAGCAAAGCTGGGACGACGACCAGACCATTCTCCCCAAATCACCCGTTCATTGACAAAGGACTGTGAAATATCAAGACAAGACCACCCAACACTGTACAGATTTCACCAGCAACTTCCAAGAACACCCAAAATGAACATTGAATATGCATTTGCTTAACCCCCACGCGTTTTGGTATACAGTGCCCACACCAGGCATTCTTCTTTTCCCAACCCATATATCACTGTGGTAGATAGAGGAAAAGAAATTACAAAAAAATCTAACATACTCCTTGAGGAAAGCTGTTATTCCCTTAATCCACACGCAGGACCCGAGACCCCCTCTTCTTGGTGGCCTTCTTCTTCTTGAGCCCCTTCTCGAACGCTGTCGCCGAGATATGGTCACGGCCAACGTTGTCAAGGTCCTTGACCTTGTAGATTCTGATGATCCAGTTCTCGCTGGTAAAGGCCTCCTCCAGGGTGCTGAGGGAAGGACCAACCTCGGGCAGACGGGCTTGGCGCATGCGATCGACAGCCTGTCCTGGAGGGAACAGGTTGTTGAAGTTGTAGTAGGACATCTTGTACCTATGAGACTGTTAACAAGTCGTATTGTGACATGGAAAAGATGACTGAAACTTACATCAAGCTGTTCTTCATGGTCTCGGTAGCCTCGCCGTCGACACGATACTCGCCTCTTGGGGTGAAGAAGGCGCGCTCGCTGACCTCATCAGGCCAGATACCCTCAGCGATACGAACCATCCACAAGAACTTGTTGATATCGTCACCAGAATAGCCCAGAAGACCGCCAAAGACCACGAGAACATAGTCGACCTCGTGCTGGCGCATGATGGGGTAGCTGACCTCCTCGCGCGAGCTCATGGCTTTACCGACAGTGGCAATGTGTGTGTTGTTCCACGTGTTGTTGTCGACAAGAGTTGGGCGGTCAGCCATGCCACCAATTTGGTAACCATAATCCCACCACGACATAATCTTGGCGTCCTCCTTTGTGTTTTGGCGAAGCCACTGGTAGGCCTCACGGTAATCGTCAATAATGTGCTGGCTTCCGTCAGGCATCCTGCTTGCCAGGACAACGGAGGGAGAGGAGTATGCGTTGGACGTGACCCAGGTGCAGTGCATGACGAAAATGAGGAGGTAGATGGCCATAGCGCCCACCATCAAGATCTTGGACCACAGGCCATAAATGCCAACAACGGGCTTGTTAGTGGACTTAAGACCAGACTTCGAGCCCTTCTTCTCAGCGGCCTCGGCGGCTTGCTGGTCCTCCTCGGTAGGAGTCTTTGCGACAAGGTAGTTGTTGAGGATGGTCGAGATGGCGATGGCACCAGCAACACAGACCACAGGGGTCAATGTAAGCATCAGGCGGACCATGACACCAGCGAAGTAGCTGCCAAAAACAGCGTACACAATGATGAACACATGCTCATCAGCAAGCTCCTGGAAACAGAGGTAGACACCAACAGGGAAGACGAAAATAAGCAGGTTGAGGTCAAAGAAGAAAGCTGGCCAGGCGGTGGGCTGATGTTCAGAGACGGAGGCAATGATGGGAATGTGGATCTTAGCATATCCGGTATCCCAAAGTGAGTAGAAACGTCCGCTCCACGGGGCGATAATGCCGGCGCTGGTGGCAATCACCAGAGCCGCAAGAGACAGAACGAAGATACCGCCAGCAAAGATCCAGAGGAATGTCTGGAACTGACGGCTGGGAATGGCTGACCGGACATAGTCCAAAAAAGCGAGGAGCTGGAGGAAGCCGAAAATACCAAGGGCAGGCATGTGCTCGCTGGTCTTGACAGGCAAGAAACCAACAAAGGGAATCTGCATGCTGGCCAGTGTGCCCAGGGCATACCAGGTAGTGTACGAAACGTATAGCCTGGTGCTGTAGCGGCCCATGAGGATAAGGACGAAGGCGTGAAGGGGAAGAAGGCAGGTGATGAAGGCATAACCACCCCAGGAGGCGACCATGTAGCCGTAAAACAGGGCGCAGAAAGCACCCCACAGCATGGAACCCTGCTTCAAAGCCTTGATCCAGAGATAGAAGGTGAAGACGAGCAGGAAAATCGCAATGGCTTCGTTGTCGTAGCTGCCAGCAACTGATCGAGAGATGTAGCCGGGGGCGATGCCCATAAACAGAGCAGCCAGGAGGCCGGCCGAGTTGTATGTTGTCATTTCATTGGTGAGGAGATAGGCGGCAATAGCCGTAAGGCCAGAGAAAGCCGGCGCGAGAAGAACGCAGACGTTGCGAATATCGACGGGAATCGTGAAGGCGCGGAGGGCGTGCCAGATAGCACCGCTGGTTACCATGAGGCCAGGGTAGAGGGTACCACCCGTGACACGGCCCAGAGGATGCCATGTTCGGTCATCGAACCAGTCCCAGAAGTTGTAGAAGCCATTTGCGACGAGATATTTTGTGGCGCGGAAGTTGAACCAAGGGTCGACTGGAAGGGTGTTAGTATATCTTGATATATTGGGCAGAGGACGCGATGGGGCCGCAGCGCAACGCATATGGGAGACTGACATTCGTGGATAATACTTTCGAAACCTAGGAAACAAGCAGCATGTTAGCAATGCAATTGACGAACTATGGGATTCACAGGACCCAGAGAAGCACAGAAACAGCCCCAGTGAAGCAGCCGCGAGCTTGCTGTCCAGCCATGATAGCTTCCTCCATGCCCAGGGAACACCTACGAATGACGGAAAACAGGCGGCTTGCGATTGAGGCGCCGGCGATGAGGGCGAGGATAATGACCCGCAGCACGCTGCGAGTACTTTTCCCCTTGCCCACATCGGCAAGAATTTCAAGTGTTTCGGCCGACATGGTGGCCTGCGGTTGGCGTTGTGCTTCCTCTCGTCGGTGGGAGTTGAGGAGAGGCTGCAACAGGTTCAAATTACCCAGAGCATCTCTGTCGAGTTGGAGAGGACAGTTTGGAGCTTTGCTGCATCATGGTCCAGGGACAGTCTTGGCACTCGTTATTGGACCGAGCCAGGGGTACACAAGCCCCACCGTTCCCGCCGTTCTGCCATATTCTGCCAGGGCGGTCAGAGAAAGTGATGCCGCACTTGGTCTCAGCAACACTTGGCATCAACATTGAATTTCCCTGCCAGCAGCTGCCATGGATATCATAGTCACTGATAATGGGGGGGTAATTTGGAGAAAGCACACCGTAAACGTCGGCATGGGCTAGTATGCACTTGAACAGCCCGTTATGGCCGTTGCCTGACCCCAGATCGACGTAGGAAACCGAATTAGAGGCATGTCACGCTCACAACGGACAAGGGCACAAGAGCACGATAAGACAAACAGTGGTGGGCGTCCAGACAGCGGGTATCATATATCTGGCAACGTCTATGGGCTTCCCTGGACAGTTTCCTTAGCCCCGGCCGAATCAATCGGTCCCTACCAAGACGCCGCCATAGATGCGCAAGCATCGACAGGCGCAACTAGCATTCCATGTGGAATCACCTCCGAGAGACCTCCAATGTGGGTGTTTAGTGCAGAGCTTTGATTCGGTAGCAGTAAAGCTACCTAGCCGCATCGAAAAATCATTGACCTCGTAAACACCCCAAAACCCTAAAAGCAGATGACCCTGGGATGATGCAGTGTGCTGAGTGAAAGACCTTTTTTTAACCGCGCCGCTGGTGCCCTAGTACAACCGTCCCATTATCCTCGAAACGCCAATTTAAGCCTGCAAACCCTGTCAGCACTCAAAGCTCCTCATAGATTACTGACATATCCCACGGTTCCTTCATACCTTGACGGCGAACTTCCGCTGGGGGAAGTGAGTCTGGCGCTTCTTGGTCTTCTCAAGAGTTCTGGAGGCGTCCTCGGGAGAAAGACGGCGGCGGATGGCACGAGTCTGCTTGGCGCGGAGGTCGAGGGGGAGGTACTTCTTGTTCTTGTAGAAGAGGCGGAGCTGAGCGCGTTGCTTGGCGTTGATGATGGTCAGAACGCGGGCAATCGACTTGCGGAGATCGTGGCTATTCATCCATCACACATGTCAGCCCATCTTGTCCTCATTCGTCCTTTCCAACTCTCTCGGTATTTCGTCTCGGGGGTTCGTGGTGGCTCGGAAGTCGTCGGTAACGTACATCTTGGTAAGCTTGGTGCCGGAAGAAACGATCTTCTGGATGCGAAGCTGGCCCAACTCCGTCTTGAGCTCACCGAGCTGCTTGGTGAGCTCGTCCTTGTTCTTAGACCATAATTGGCCAGCCTTGACCTTGCCGGAAGACTGTCGCACGGTGATGTTAGCCAAACCGGTCGCTCAACTTTTTTTCGTGGTGACGATGCGACCTGCCCCCCAATCGAACAAGTCAAGGAGGGCTCATCAATCGGCAAGATTGATGGGTCAGCATAACGACAGCAAGGGACCGTATCTCTCTTACCATCGTGTGGGATTTTGTCGTCGAGTCGAAAGGGCGATAGGCGACGGTTCCGTTGACTGCAGCGAGTCTTAGTATCCAGGGAGCAAAGGCTTTCGTAGGTACCAAACACTCAGTCCAGCAAAATCTTGAGTGGGTGTGGATGCCAAAATCGCCAAACAGGGCGGAAAACCCTACGCCGGCAGCTGGTCTGTGCGCACTGTTCTGCCTGAGGCGCGGGCCCACCCGAAAATCCGAAAGCGGCTAGCTTGGGGTTTGGTGCTTTTCGAACTTGCGCACAACCAGGTTGCCAATCGCCCATTTCAAAATCTCCAGCAGCAGTCAAGTTGACGACCGACCACGAAAACCTACTAACCTCACCACACAGCCAAAGTCCAAAATGTCGGCTCCCACGACGAAGACCTTTGGCAAGTCCACTCGGTCGGTGCCTGCGCCGGCTGAAAAGGCCCAGAAATGGTACCCTGCTGAGGATGAGGCCAAGCCGCGTCAGGTACGTTGATATCTCGATGCATTCATGTTGCGAGCGATGGATCGGCCCGGAGACTGTTCTCGATTGCGATTGTGGCGGGTGGGAAGCCAATTCGACATGTTGGCGGGGGGAGGCACGGCAAATCTACCTTCATGGCCCGAACGAAATTTACGACACCGCGAAAATGGAGACAGACAAGATCGGGATATCGTCAAGTGGCGCATCTACGTCGAAATGGGTCATATATCGCACGGCAACGAGGCACAGCACTGGGAAAACACTGGGAACGGCTGTCTTGGGAGAAACAAACGTTTTGGATATGGCATCGTGATTCTAACATGGCTTCTATAATCAGGTCCGCAAGACCATCCGCCCCTGGACTCCCCGCCAGACTCTCGTCCCCGGTACCGTCCTGATCCTCCTCGCTGGTCGCTTCCGTGGCAAGCGCGTCGTCCTGCTCAAGACCCTCGACCAGGGTGTTCTGCTCGTTACCGGCCCCTTCAAGATCAACGGTGTTCCCCTTCGCCGCGTCAACTCCAGATATGTCATCGCCACATCATACAAGGTTGACCTTACCGGTCTCGATGAGGCCAAGATTGAGGAGGTTGCCAAGCCCAAGTACTTCACCGCCGACAAGGCTCAGCAGAAGGCTGGCGAGGAGGCTTTCTTCAAGCAGGGAGAGAAGCCCCAGGTATGAATTTCTGAGATAGCGGACGTGTGTGAGAGTGTTGGAGCTGACATGCGTGAAACTACAGAAGAAGGAGGTTACCAGCAGTCGGGCGGCTGACCAGAAGGCCATCGACAAGGCCTTGATCGCCAACATCAAGAAGGTCGACCTTCTTGCCAGCTACCTCGCCTCCTCTTTCAGCCTTCGCAAGGGCGACAAGCCCCATGAGATGAAGTGGTAGAGGGAGCCAAGTGGGTTTTGATGGGAGGTCTTGACGGCGCGGGTTTCGGAATGGCTTAACCAATTGCATTTGGACGTTTGGCAGTTCTCGGTCCATACGGCGTCTGTAATGAAGGGTTTACAGTCATCAAGAACACAAAATCACTGGGCTTTGCAAAAAGGATCGGAGCCCTGAACAACAACTGGGTTTTAGAGCACACGGGATGTCCACGGTGATCTGTACATGGAAACTAGTGATATTTGCACTGGGAATGGCAGATACCAGCCCAGCCAACTCGATGACGAACGACAGACAAACAAAACAAATACGCCACGAGGCAGAAGACTAGCATTTGCGGCGTCACATGAAAGTTATCTGCGTGTTGTATGTTAGTTGTGCATTTGGCAGAGTGCTCTCAGACAATCCGTTCCTGATACCTATCAAATTAATATTTCTCTCCACGGTCTGCGTTTTTGTGAACATCCTCCTTATTCACTTGTTTCTAGGCAATATCGAGATTGGCAGTCGTTGTTTGCGGAGGACCTTTGACTGTATAAGTGCACCTTGATGACTCGATGTTGAATCTAGGAGGATCCGGGTTAGGGTTGAGGAGTGACATCAGCCGACCAGTACTTGAAATGCAAGCGAAGCCACGCCCCATTAAGGTACCTACACTACGCATACCTCGACCTGGCCTTCCAAAGAGGTTCCAGCAGAGCTGTTGAATTTGCGCAAACCACTTTCGACCCCGTGATCAATATTTCAACAACCTCTCACCGGTTCTATCTGTCTGTGTCGACTGTATCGAGAAACCATGGCGACAACAGCAGGCCAGGGCTGGACCCAATTACGGCAACAAGCCAGGGCGCTGGAAACACAGGTAAGAGAGGCGGCATGCGACAGCAGCGGATGACGAGTGGTGATGGTTAATAACCTGCCTTTTCTGTTTGCAGACAGAAACATACCTCCACACATACTCCCAATTTTCGTCACAATCCAACATCCCACCAAAGCCGACAGAAGAAGAGAGGAGTACCGAGGCGAAACTCCAGGAGCTGCTTGAGAAGGTGTGTATACCCTCGCCATTTTACTCCTGAGTGATAAGACCACCACCACTGACCTTTCTCGTCAAGCGCGACAACGTCATTTCCCAACTCACCCGCCTCCTCGACTCAGAATCAACACTATCATCCTCCTCCCTAAAACAAAACAACCTCTCCCTCCTCCGCGACAAGCTCACCGACCACCGCCGTGACCTCTCCCGCCTCCGGTCAACCCTCCAACGAGCCCGCGATCGCGCAAACCTGCTGGGTTCAGTCCGGGATGATATCTCTGCCTATCGTGCCGCGAACCCTGCCGCGGCGGAGGCGGACTACATGCTTGACGAGCGAGGGAGGATAGACAACTCGATTGGTGTGGCGGATGGTGTGCTCAGCCAGGCGTACGCAGTGCAGGACAGCTTTTTGGCGCAGAGGGAGACGCTGGCGAGTATTAATCGGCGGATCACGCATGCGGCGAGCCAGGTGCCGGGGATTAATACGTTGATTGGGAGGATTTCGGCCAAGAAGAAGAGGGATGGGATTATCATGGGGGGGTTTATCGCTTTTTGCTTTTTGGTGTTTTGGTTCATGATGTGAATTTGTTTAAGGGGAGGGTTGGGAAGAGGAAGATGGGAGGTGGTTTCAAAATACCATGGGAGTGAGGGGTGGAAACTGTATAATTTGTCCGGATAGTTGGGGCGACAAGAGGGAAAGAGGGGATGGCGTGGGATATATGGGTATTTCACTTCGACAAAGGGAGCATGGGTGTTTTATCTTGAGTAGCTGTTAAAGCGGACGGCGAACTTATCGTATGTGCATTACCAGTGCGGTACAGCAACGGTGTATTTAATAATCCTCATGCCAAAAATGGAAGAGAGATGTCTATTTTCGTTGGGGAGCCGTGAGCATAGCTTTCTGTCGTTGATGTACATTATATCGTCTATCATGTTCACTTTCAATATCCCACCATGTCCAACTGTATACACTCCCTCTCAATCCCGGGTATCTTACACGCCTATTTCTTGTCTCCAGTAGTAGGCTTGCCAGCCGCCAGAGGCTTCAGAACATGCCCCTCAGCCACACCCCCAGTCACACCCTCAGCCTTGATCTCCTCCAGCAACCTCCTCACCCCCTTCACCAACCCCTCCCTCTCATCCCCCTCCGCACTACCACTCCCCGCCCATCGTATCCTGCACCGATGATCCACCAGATAAGTATACCCAACCTTGCTGTTCAACAGCCCCACGCTCTCCCTGATCTCATCGGTGATCCCCTTCCTCACAAGGAAATACCTGTGCCAATTCTCCTTGCCCACCTTGTTCCTCAACGACCAGGAAAACAGCTTGATCAACATCATCTTCATCCAGTCCTCCTCGACGTTGATCTGCACCAGCTGCGCCCTGCCGCCGCTCTCTTTGAGGACCCGGTGCAGGGCAGGGTTTTGCTCGGGGGAGACAAAGGTCTTGATCTGGTTCTCGGCCCACATGCCGCTGAAGACGGTGACGACGGAGGCGTGGCCGGCGAGGAGGGGGGTGGTGTCTGCTTTTTGGCGGGAGGCCAGGGTGCGGCCGAAGAGGTTGGGGAAGTAGAGGGAGAGGTCGGCTTTGAAGAGGCGGGGGGGCGCGAGGAAGGTTTTGCCTTTGTGGAAGGAGAGGTTGACCCAGTCGCGGAAGTAGGGGCGGGAGACTTTGTTTTTGCTACAGAGAGGAAAAAGTAGGGGGTTAGTGGAAAGGGGGGACAGGGAAGAGGGAAGTGGATAGGGGGGGGGGGGGGACAAACAGGTACTCCCGCTTGGCGAGATGTCTTTCGTAGTCTACGAAGTCATCACGGCGCTGTTTGAAGGTTCGGTGGTCGATGCCGGTGTTTTGTCCCGCGGCGGGGGGCGTGTTCATGCCAATTGGTCTTGACAGAGGGGTGGGTGTGAAGTCTTTTATTTTCTTGCCGTAGGACCGGGGGGCGTGGGCTAACGGGCTGTCCGGAGCCGGCTCCGTGGCGGCTACCGGGGCCGGGGCGAAGGTCTGTCTCGGTTTCGGTTTCCCATCCGGAGCGGCGGCGCCGGGTGTGTGGTCTGTGGGAAGCCGCTGGTAGCCAGTGGTGCTAAAGGTGCGCCATTGACAAACAAGGCAGGTTGATGTCCTTGCGCCTGTTCGGAGTCCTGTCCTAGCGGCTAACATGGCAGCGGTAGTGGTCATGTGTGTCTGAGATATCCAATCCGTGGGAGAGGTTTGAAGCTCAGATACCCCGTTCCCAAGAAATTTCCACGCGACAATTCTCGGCGCCGGGCCCCACTTCCACTGCCGCTGTCAACTCAGATCAGCGCTCGAGCCCCAGTGAGCGGCCCTTGAAATCTGGGGTTTTGGGGGCGGTTAGGGTGCCAAGCGCTCGGTTATTCGCGGGGGCTCAGTGAACCCCTCGGCCCAACGTCATATCTACAGTGTATAAGCCGGCGCAAGCCATAGGTGAGACCGCTATGCGGGTTGTCGTTATCCCTTTGGTGCAGGAAGGAGGGACAGGTCAATTCGACTGAACTTTTGAATCTGAGAAGTCACTGCTGTCTTTGAGCGGTTGCATCTTCTGTAATTTCCCGTTTGAGATGTTTTTGAACCAGAGCTCCCGCGTGGTGCGCCAGCAATGGCGGCTCTCCAGCCGGCGACTATCGTCTCTAAGTCAACAACACCGCGCGCGAGGACCAACCCTCAGGACTCCGCTATCCCCACCGTTTGCGCCTCCCGCAAGGCTCTTCCATGCAAGCAGGAGTCTCTACGCTGTGAAGCCTGTGTTGCTCGCTGATATTGGAGAGGGTGCGTGTTTCTGTCACTTTGACTCTCGAGAACGAAGTTCATCTCAACTAACTGGTGGTGGCACAAATACAGGCATTGTCGAGTGCGAAATCATCCAATGGTTCGTCGAACCCGGGGCGCGCGTCGAGGAGTTCTCTCCACTATGCGAGGTTCAAAGTGATAAGGCTTCGGTGGAAATCACCAGCCGCTTCGCCGGTGTGGTTAAGAAGTTGCACTATGAAGCGGGCGAGATGGCCAAGGTGGGCAAGCCGTTTGTCGATATCGACATTCAAGGTGATGCCAAAGAGGCAGACTTGCAGGCTCTCGCACCTGCTGAGCCTGTGACCCCAACAGAGCCAACTACAAAGATCGAGAACCAGGTGGCGGCTCAGTTACCAAAGCAACCTCCACCAGCACCACCATCAGAGCATAAGCCTGCACCGTGGAGCAATGGGGTCTACGAGCATACCTCACCTAAGCCTCAACCAGGCGAGAAGGTGATTCTGGCAACTCCAGCAGTCAGATACCTCGCCAAAGAACTCAACGTCGACCTTCTCCAAGTCCAAGGCACGGGCAAAGAAGGCCGCATCCTAAAAGAAGACGTCTACAAGTTCGTCGAGCAAAAGAACGCACCCCCAGCTCCCACCCCAAGCCCCTTTACTCCCTCCTCCTCCACCACACCCACCAGTCAACAACAACAAGAAACCCCCATGCTCCTCACCCGAACCCAAGAAATGATGTTCAAAACCATGACCCGCTCCCTCTCCATCCCCCACTTCCTCTACGCCGACGAGGTCGACTTCACCTCTCTGGTCGAGCTCCGCTCCCGCCTCAACAAAGTCCTCGCCAAACAACCCCTGTCTCTAGACTCAGCCACCCACCCGGTAGCAAAACTATCCTACCTCCCCTTCATCATCAAGGCAGTCTCCATGGCCCTATACAAATACCCCATCCTCAACTCCCGCGTCGACATCGACCCTGCCACATCCAAACCCTCCCTCGTGCTCCGGAGTCAGCACAATATCGGGATTGCAATGGACACCCCCCACGGGCTACTCGTCCCCGTCATCAAAAACGTCGGATCACTCAACATCCTCCAGATCGCAGCGGAACTCACGAGACTTCAAAGTCTGGCTACGGAGGGGAAGCTGAGCGTGGGGGATATGTCCGGGGGAACGATCACGGTGAGCAACATCGGGAACATTGGGGGCACGTACCTCAGTCCGGTGGTGGTGGAGAAGGAGGTGGCAATTCTGGGGATTGGGAGGATGAGGACCGTGCCTGCTTTTGGGGAGAATGACCGGGTGGTCAAGAAGGAGATTTGCAACTTTAGCTGGAGCGCGGATCATAGGGTTGTGGACGGGGCGACGATGGCGAGGGCGGCCGAGGTGGTGAGGGGGATTGTGGAGGGGCCGGATGTGATGGTTATGCATTTGAGGTAGAGTTACATAAGTTGGGGGTTGTTTTTGGGCAGCAAGCGAAGAGGGATGGTACAGTACTAGAAGTTTCAAGAAAAGTTGGAAGTTATTTGGGGGGGGGGGGTGGCGGGTTATGTCATAACTCGGTGTGTCTTTGTCGGAGTTGCGTCCCGGTTGAGCCGGCCGTCTTACCCGCACGGGGGGATTTTGGGCAGGCTTTATTGACTATCGAGTTTGATTGGGACAGTCAAGGAAAGGCAAGGCAAGCAATTGCCGTGCTTCGTCAAAGTCGGTGACTCTTTTTGGGTGGTGGAGAGGTTGAGTGGAGGGGGGGGAGACGACTAGAGTGTTACAAGGCATTTTTACTTAGATAAGAGGTTTCGAAAATACATACAAAAAGTACATATATTTTTATCTTGTGAGCATGGAGAGCAACGTTGGTGGGATGCCTGAGGGAACAGCCGAAGAAAAGAAGAAAAAAAGAAAAGTGATCCCGTCTCCCGATCCCGCGATTACACGGCGAGGCGGGGGGTAGGTAGGATATCGGTTGTATTGCATTAAATACATGACCGTCAGCCTACTTACCTTACCTGTCTTATGTAGTGTGTGTCGGATCGTGACTTGGTTTGTTCGCTTCCATTGTCTCTCTCTCTCTCACTGACTCTTCAAACCTGGAGGGATGCATGAACGGGCATTAGATGAAGAATGTACCTAGGTAGGTGTGTGCATGGGCTATCCGGGTTTACCTATTGGTCTTTGGGTGTACGAGAAGGGGGGAGGGTGTGTATGTGTGTGTGTTGCCATACCGGTGTGATAACCCCACGACGGGACGGCATATACAGAGAGGAAGTTGAGCACCTAGCTATCGCTATCGATACCCCTTTGATGATGATGGTGGTGGTAGTGGTTGTTGAGCAAGTTCTTCTATCGGTTGTTCTATCCAACGATCCATGCATTTGATAGAACGGGCCGAGTTGAGACTGGGTTCCAATCTGAGAGACATATTGGAAAAGCGGGCTTCTGTGCTTTGGGCTCATGCTGCCAGAGTAGGTGTGCTATAGAAGTTGACAGAAGGGTGCTTGGAATTATGCGGCATGATCAGATATTACTTGGTTGATCTAGTTGGTGAAGAAGGCATTGGCCTACCTACCTACCTACTTGGTTGTCAGTAGGTTGACTGCACCAGGCCGATATGTTTCGTGCCTTTTCGCAGCCGAGCACCGCATTGGCACAGCTAGGCCAAGCTCCGGGCAGTTGCGCAGACCAGAGGTTCTAGTCTTGTGGTGGTCATCGCGGGACTGGGGGCAAAGCCATAATCTGTATAGTAACGATGAACAAACTCCGTTTCAGCGCAGTAAGAAGAACCTGCGGTGCGAAAGTTGGGGTAGGTACCTCCAAGTACAGATGCTATACGACCTTGTATCGCTTTCCAAAAGCAAACACCTTAATAAGGCTTCTGGTTTCCCCCTTTCATTCGTCGTATTGCGTGCTTTACCCCAAAACGAAGGCTTTTTTTCCTGGTTGTTCGCCACGGGACCGATATAACACTCCGTGGAACGGCATTTGGTTTGGTTGTCCAAACCCGGGGGGGGGCCCCCACCCTCCTCTATGCATAACTTGATATTTTTTCTGATTCTTTTTGACCATCCCTTCGACCGCCAAGCCGTTTCCTTCTGGGCAGAAGGATCGCGTCGAAAAAAGCGAGGCGGTCAGTGATGGTCTGCGGGTGAATCGACCGTTTCTTGTGACCATCCTCATCCAGCGACCCGTTTCTGGGATTTTGCCAAGTGCTTGGTTTGCATTATTTGGGCGTTGTTGGGTGCGCGCCAAGCTGGTAGAGTAAGACTGGAAAGTAATAGATATTGAGTAGGTGCGTGTTGTGAGATGTGACTCGTAATCTTTACTTCGGAGCGTCTTTGTATGGAGATTACCGTACACTGAGTGAGGTTGTGTTTGCCGGGCGGTACGCCATACACAGCACACAGCAAATGCGGGATTGTCACGCCGGGAAACATTCGGCAGGTGTACCTTGATGTGCAGGTTGAAGAACGGGACAGCAAGTTGGTGTTGCTGCCTTGTCTGGGGATGTCGTTCGGTCATCTCGGGAATGCATGTCGAGTGGTTGCGGCAATATTGCAAGTGAGGTCAGCAACGGCAGTAGTATCAAGTGATATCCTCCCTCGGCCCAACATACTGCTATTGAATACAACAGAAGTAGGGGGCTGCGGACATAGCAACCGTTGCCTAGGCATGGCCAGAGCTCAGGGGGAATGTTTACTTTGTCTCAACTCACCCCCTCCTTCCCAGCAACTTGGTAAAGGCGTTCCTGTTCCTGCGTCGACTTGGTTTGCGTTGTCAACTCCATGCTAGATAGGCGAGCAGATGCTGCGGAGGAACCCGACAGGGCGGGGCCTGGCACCATTCGGAGATCGACGGAGAGAAGGGCGGGGATACGAGACCAATCACTCATAAGAAAGAACACAGTTTCTCATTTGTTTCCTCAATCATCTTGTGTATGCTGGGTAGCACCAAAGAACATCAAATTCATGTTCGCTTGCTTAAAGAGTAACCTCAGGTAGGTCTAATACCTTACCAAACCCCGTCGCCATCCTTCCACCCATCAACCGAATTACCTATACTATGTATGTTAAATTCCCAGAGATTTTTAAACGCCCACGACTAAAGACATGGACTCAGCCATGCTTCGTCAAATGCAAAGTAATGGATTGATCCGAACACAAGTCAGTGCTGGTCCATCTTCCCAAGTACCCCCTTCTGTTGCTCCGGCTTCCCAAGAACGATTGCGCCGCAAGATAAAAATCGACAAAAAAAAGCAATCCGTTTCGCCACCACAATTCATGTGTCAGAGAAAGACGATTGTCGTTCAAGACAAGACTCCTTTCCCAATGCGACGGTGGGGCTGACTGACAAAACCCAACCCTTTCCCATCCACCCCCCGGGCGGTGACTCTTAGCGCCATGCAGCTACGGCTTTGCTTGTCCCACCCATCATTTCGGTATGCACGTCACTTTCTCTGGGCTTCCGCCGCGACGGTCTCCATCGTGTCCAGGACTCGGTCTAGAGCCTCAGCCATGACAGCTTCGGCTGGGCGACTGACGTCAATGCTAATAACATCGACCTCATCCGTGGTTGGCCTTTCCAAGACTTCGAATTGACTGTGGACCATGTTGGCTCCCATGTAATGGTTCTTGCGAGCCATCACCCTTTGCAAGAGGAGCTCCTCGGACGCATCCAGATAGATGAAGTGGAGATGGAGGTTGGGCGAGAAATAGGGGGCGACACGGATGACATCGCGGTACTTGCGCTTCAAAGCAGAGCAAGTCAACACCACGCCTCTGTTTCCACGTTCCAGCTCCTTGAGAGAAGCCTCCCGGAGAGCCGTCAACCAGTCCCACCGATCAGCATCCGTCAAGGGAATGCCAGCGCTCATCTTGTCGATGTTGGCTTGTGGGTGGAACTAGTAATCATGATTAGCCCGATGCTATGGGTCATGGGACTTGGGACTTGGGACAAAGAACATACCTCATCACCCTCGATATATGGCATATGAAGAACAGTGGCCAGGTACTTGGCAACAGTGCTCTTTCCACAGCCGGCGGGGCCAGTAACGAGCCAGATGTGGCGCTGCTCATTTTTGGATAGTGACGAAGAGACATTGCCGTTGGTACGCACACCATTCGACAAAGATGATGTTGGGAGTCTCATGGTGCTTGGTGATGGGGGGATGTTTTGATGGCCGTTGGAAATAGCTGGTGACCCCGGGGTTTGTCCCTTCAAGGAGATGGCTGAGTCGTACGAAAGCATGTTGGGTTCCGGTACTGGTGGTGGTCTCGAAGATGGTGGTGGTATCCTCCGTCTTTGAAGAAAGCGTGGGTCCGGCTTGACGGCGAGAGTTAAAACCGGCGATGACGTTTGTAAGTGGGCGGTGGTGGTGATGAATGACCGGAAGTGGGCACGCGCTACCTAACGTGACAATTGGATGACGACGACAAAGGAATCACAACAGACTGCAGAATACTACGGCCCATTGAGAGAGGAAACGATCACGAAGAGGAGCTTGGGAAAAGGGACATTCAAACAAAACAAGGTGTGGTTGGGATAGCAGGGCAAAAGGGAGTCAGCCGATGGCGGCCGGCCGGCCATTTATATAGCTGAATCTTGTAGCAGGTCATACCTGGAAGTGATGACCTAAAAGTTTCCTCTTCAGCAGGGCCAGGCGGGCAGGCTGGGACCCCAGAGCCAAAAAAAGGTACCACTGGTACTTCCAAGCTTGGGGGGCTTCAGCGGAACCCACTGAGCGATCTGCTGGGAACGCGCGGGAACCCCATGGATCCTAGCCTCGAGGGGGCAACATGGAACCTCGAGAACGGGCGGGTGACCCGCTGGTACTGCGCCCATGCGCCGTACCCAGGTACTCACAGTGGGACTCGGCGGGCCAGAATCTCACAAGATACTAGACCCCATTGGTCCAGGAGCACTCGACAGCCAAAGGCGTCCCAGGACCATGACAGGTCGAATCCACCGCAGACAGGGAGGGCGTGTGCCGTGAACTCGTAGCCCAAGGTACGCTTCAAGTATCCACGCGTGATTCCCATGTACCTTGTCTGGAAGGTCGGGGGAAGCTTTTCCTGGAGAAAAGCGTGGGATGGGTTGGGAAGCCGTGTGGGGAGAAGTGTCGAGGAAGAGAAGGTGGCTGACTCGACAAGGGGGAAGCAACTTTCTTCCCCTCGACAATGACGCCCGAAAGGGAAGCTCGCTGGGAGCAGCATCGCATCGCCAATCAAAACAAAAAGAGAACCGTTGTAAAAACTCTGATTTTGACACTTTGGACGGGAGAAAAGACACGCGAAGGTTTGAGACGTGGAATGAGTGGCTAAAGGTCACAGGAATATTTATTGAGTTAAGGTACCTTGCGGGTTGTACCTTCTCGTGGTGTCCTGAAGCTCGGAACATCTTACGGCCTCGGTGTAAGGAAGGAGCGAGCCCACAAAAGGTACAGCCTGCCCGGGCTGGGAAAGAGGACGGCAACGATGCAGCCCAGTGCTCGATCGAAATTTGCCCATTAATTGAATAACCTTGAGAGCGGTGAGTAGCCAGGCATGAGGTGCTTGAGGTGCGTGATGCAGGACGGGAAGCAATTCACGAGAGAACTCATCTTCCGTAAGACACTTCAGGTACGGGCATTCCATCCACAACCTGGATTCCCAGCAGTGGACGCTAGGTAGGTACCTGATGGCCGTGGGGTTGAGGTGGGAGAGCGGAAATGAGGGTGAATACCCACTGGCATCTGCCGGTACCATTGCCATCACGGGGTCTGCAGAGCACCGGCGCAACCCATAAAAATCTCCGCTCAAGAATTTTCACTAGCCCACACACCTCCCAGCCTGATGCGGACCGTCGTGCTAGCTGGCTAACTTGGAATTGGGAACGGCTCGTCGATGACAATTAACATTGACATGGAGCAAAGACATAGGACCGGAACGCAAACCAAACTGCTGAAAACAGTGCTCTCAAGACATAATCTTCGTCCCAGGACAGCCAGCATCTGGACAAGACTGCTCTCCCACATTGTATAATACACTCACTCTCTCGCGTAATTGGCGGGGCACCATTTTGATCTTTCGGTACGTTTTCGTTGATGGCGAGGTGAGGCACAAAAAGACATTTCTGCTCAACTAATAGCAGCTCCAGTAGAAGCGTGGGGGTCTGTCCCGGCCCCGCCACAGAATGGGGTTGAGGTTCGCCGAGAGACGCCGCCGATGGCAGGGGAGGGGTGTGTGGAGCTGCCCAACTGATGGATGGGAGCCCCGGGGACGATCTTGGGATGAGATGCCATTCCTGCTTCCATTCTCCTGTCCAGCAGATCCAGATCCCACAGAACAAAACATGGCACGGCAAAACACATAATCGATACCCCTTCTACAAGGACTAACACAAGAGAAGGAGTTGGCCTTCCGTTATGGCTGCTGGCTGGTTCAAAGCCCTGTCTCTGCGGGCCGGTCGTCTGGGAGTGTCACAACCGATCCGTGATTGACCCCAAACACCGCCCAGCCGCTTGCGACCAAAGCTCCCCATCTCGTGTGCGGTTCCCAAAAGGTCTGGACGGTGTCTGGACCGAAAGCTACGATGCTGCTAAAATGGCTCGCACGCAAGGCACCGCAAAGCAAGCCATGGAACTGTACCTGAACCAGGACCACACCTTCCTAGCTTACATCATTCTCATCTCTATGGGCCAATCACCAGCTAATTACGGCAGAGGTATTTCTTCCATTTTCCTGGTCGAATACTATGCAGAGTTCCATCGCTCACCACGACAGCAGGGCCATATATGCGGCAAAGAGCCATTCGTGAGTAAAAGAAACGTCCGTCTCCGAACTGTGCTTTGCCTGCCCCTTCACCTCTTGGACGGAACCCAACGCAACCCCGGGCGCCACACAGCGGTAGAAACCCCTCGTTGGCCTCGTGACGTGCCTTGTTTTGCACGCCCCGGTCTGTCTGCCCCCTCACCGATTGTTTCGATACCCACTCCCCAGACTCCGAGAAATTGGACGTGGTGGAACTGCCTGTTGTTGAGGCACCCCGCTCGGCTCAGCTTCCGGGCTCCTTGGGCGGGGCTACTGACGCTTAGATTCTTGGGTCGAATGTTCCTTACCTGATCGTGGGTTTCTCCGACTTCGCCATGAAGCTTCGCTGTCCTCGAAAGCCCGGTAGAAAATCATCTTCAAGATGCCGTTGCATCACTGGCCTCAAGCATGCTACTTTTACCCTTGCGGAGTGAAACGAGCGAATGCTGCACACACCCCGCATAGCCTGAGCCTTTCTCAGACTCCCCACCTCCATAGAATTCATCCTGCAGCAGCATGCACAGTCTTGCTTCCCGAGTGGGTTTCCGGAAAAGCAGAAGGGGAACGGCGTGGGCCTGACTGACACCGAGTGTGCAGTACATGGCCAGCACATACATATTCCCTGCGGGGTGCGGTCAGTCTTGGTCGACGGGATGTGATGTGGGAATAGCTTCGTTCGCCGCTACCGTCACGGCACTGACACCCCCAAGAACGGGACTCCCGCCCGGTAGCCTCAGGTACCTCGACGGCCCCAGATTATCACAGATGTTCCATTCTTCACCGCTCATCCCCTTGTTGATCAAATCATACAGTCCCTAATTAGTTGAGCGGCTGCTGACCCAACCATCGTATAGCACTGCAGACGAAGCCCCAAGCGCACTTAGACGCACATATCCTGCAAGCTGACCATTTTCTAACTCGGTGCAACCATTTCCTCTCTCAAACAAGTGGAACGTTTGACAGGCAATCTCAACAACAAAGCCCATGGCTGGAGCGAGGTTGGTCGTCAACAACAGGCAGCCTGAGGAGTCGAACTTGCAAAGTACCACAAGTCGGTCAGCACAAAGCAAACAGATCGTGGCTGCCAAGGTCGCAGAGTTGCGTGTGTTCGCCATGCTCTTCTCCGTTACGGTGTATCGTTTCTGCAGACGCAACGCTGCCCAGAACACCCACCTGCCGACAAGCCTTTGCGGCCTGCCTTCGAAGACTCCGAGGCCCGGCATGCCGAGGGTATGTGTCTTTTTTCCACCAACGCTGACGAGGCAGATCATGCTGGTTTCTTCTGTCTTTTCGGCATAGCGCCATGCAGACACATCATGACACCAAACATACAAATTTCACGAAAAACGAGCTTCCCGCTGGTATCTAGCCCTGTCTTGGTGCTTTCCCAGCATTATTTGAGCTTCCGGAAGAAAGGTAACACCCACCTTGCTGCCAACCCGAGACTTTAGGGAAACGGGGCTCGTGAAACTACGGCTGCTATGGAGGGAAAGGTCACAAGATGAGTCCCTGAGCAAACCTGACGGACTGACTACCGATTTGTTGGTTTTGTGTTGGGAAACTACCCTCCACTAAAAGGTCATCCTACATTGCTGACCCATGCTCTCTCTGAATCACACGTTGAAAGCTGATGAGTGCAGCTTTACGGGCAGCTAACAGTCCTATTTACTGTCAGAACAAGCGTTATGCAGTTTGTTGACCTACATACAGTACCGATTATTCCGTGTAGAGCGTGCTGGAGGGACCCAGCTTCAGGGCCCAGAGTCTAAGCAGCAGTTGGACATCCAGGAGATGACGTCTCACAAGCCCGATCGATGCAGGCGGCCAATTGGAGGCAGGCAGAGGAATTTGTGCTATAACTGTCCATGCCAGCGCCACCTGGGATTGAATTGCCTAAATGCATTAGTCTTGGTTGGAAGCTGTGTCGTGGGCTGTGAATGGGTTTGTGGGCCTGCTTGTCCACACCACCGCCATCATCGCAATCATCTTGCTATCAAGACGGCTCTGGCGCAATCTCGGGGCCTCTGATTGTATCCTGCGATGTCGGGTTTCCATGACAGGCACAGATGTAAAGAGCTGCCCCTGTTCCGTGATAGGCGGTCTCATTGATAGGAAGCTGTCAACAAGAATCATCTTCCGGTAGCCCACTCTTACACTCTATCTAAATCGACGGCGTCGGGAGGCAACCCGTATGCACGGATACCATTTCGGTTCTGTACACGCCTTGGAGATTCATACTTGGGTCACTACGCTTGCCGTCGTTCAATCGCCGACATCGCACCGCCCATGCTAGCCTCGATTGGTCCATCAAGGGTCTTATCACGGTGTGTGTGGATGGTGATGCTCTTGCTGTCCATGTAGAAGCTGAGGTACCTTGCAAGTCCAGGAAAGTACCGCCACCGTCAGTTCGTATCGTCTTCCGGCGCGTCGGACTGATGAATTCTTTCTTGTTTGTTCATCACCATCATCGGCTACTGGCTCAATCGTGGATCCGTTATGCAGTGGCACGAGCCGATGATGGTAGACCTAGGAAGCTGCCCCGCGTTGACCGCTTGATGTTGCCCTGCCCCTCATTGATTGATTTGCCAACCGGGGTCAACGCCGAAATGGGTGCAACACGCTAGAGATGTTGATTTTTTTTGTTCAATTATTATTTCTTGAAAGGGCATTGGGTATTAATTGAGGGGCATCAGTACATGGGCCCCAATGTTCCCTGCCTCGAGCTCATTTTGAATCCACAGGCAAAGTTTCCATCTGAATGACCCCTCCTTCCCTTCCGGGAGAAAAGCTCCCGTCTCGAATCTCGACCTTCCCCTCCATGTGGTGGCTTGCAAGGCTGACAGCTCCAGATGCCAAGAGTCAAGACCCCCGCAATGTGGCTGAATAGCAAGTGGCGCTCTGGTAAGGTCTCGGCCAGTCGCGGCTGCAACAGCTCCATAGTTGCAGGTACCGGCCGATTCGAGCAGTTTGGTAGTAGGAGAAGGTTGTCAACCATTGGAGCTCGGAGTTTTGGGCGTTATTGTTGCCGCCTTTTCGATGCGTCTTTCCTTTCGAGCCCCTCTCCCGTCAAGAGGTTTGTTGAGGCTCACTTCTTCGGCACCAACTGCCCGGCCATCACTCGGTCGTCCATCAACAGACCTCAAATCCACCAGATCTCTATTACCGCTGCAGCCGCGCCGTCTATTCAACATGAACTCCCAGGAGCTTACCCAGTACTACGCCGATGCCCCGCCTGCTGTCGTCAGGCTCGAAATCGAGAAGCACTTCAACGCCTTGGATGACAAGGCAAAACGTTATGCCCACTTTATCAGCCGGTAAGGGAGCCTACTTATAACTCATTACTGGTCACATGAGTCCATCCATCCCTGAGGTTGGGCTTCTACGCACCTCTGCCATTCCCGCGTGATCACACCTTATAATTCATATGTATTTGTAAACAAAGCAACACAATTGCTAACACCTGGGACAGAGCATCCCTTGCGGGTAACCGCATAGTCTTGAGGCAGGTCTCACCCGAGTCCGAGTCCATCTATGATTTTATCATTACTCTTCACAGGGCCGCCGCTGGTGATTGGAAGGGTCTTGCCAAGAAAGTTGGTGTTGACGAGGCCGGTCTTTCAGCTTTCCTCCAATATGCTGCTCAGTTCCTCGGCAACAGTGGCAACTACAAGAGCTTTGGCGACTCCAAGTTCATTCCAAGGTGTGATGAGTCCGTCTTCACTACTCTTGCCTCTGCCTCGCCCGAGGCGGAAAAGTACTTGAAGGCTACGGATGGCGCCATCTTCTCAGCTGACAAGCCTGGCCTGCTTCACCTCGGTTTCACGGACGAGGGTCACTTGACCACGTACTACCCGGACTCTCCTAGCATCACCAAGGATGAGATTGATGCTGTGGCCAAGTGGATGCAGGTCAAGGGATTGCTCCCAGAGAATACCAGACTCCGCAAGACTGAGGATGGTGTCTTTGAGCTGCTCATTGCATCCGCTATCACCAGCCTTCCTGCCGATGGTGGCGATGCCGGGAAGGAGGCCGAGTTTGTGATCAGCGAGGGGCCTCTTGAGGGCAAGACCATCAAGCTGGTCTATGGTGACTACTCCAAGGAGATGGCTGAGATCACCAAGAACATCAAGAAGGCGGCTGAGAATGCCGAGAACGAGACCCAGGTCAAAATGCACACTGCGTATGCCAAGTCCTTTGAAGAGGGCTCTCTTTTGGCGTTCAAGGACTCTCAGAGATATTGGGTGAAGGATCAAGGGCCGATGGTCGAGTCCAACATTGGTTTCATCGAGACCTACCGGGACCCTGCCGGTATTCGTGGCGAGTGGGAGGGCTTTGCTGCCGTTGTTAACCAGGACAGAACTCGGGCCTTTGGCGAGCTCGTCAGATCCGCCCCATCACTTATCCCTCTCCTGCCATGGGGCAAAGATTTTGAGAAGGACAAGTTCCTGTCCCCAGACTTCACGTCGCTTGAGGTGTTGACGTTTTGCGGGTCCGGCATCCCGGCCGGTATCAACATCCCCAATTACGACGACATCCGACAACTTGAGGGCTTCAAGAACGTGTCTCTCGGCAATGTACTCAGCGCCAAGGCCCCAGATGAGAAGATCCCCTTCATTGCGGAGAGTGATCTTGAGGTGTATAAAAAGTACAGAGATGCTTCTTTCGAGGTCCAGGTCGGTCTGCACGAATTGACTGGACACGGTTGCGGCAAGCTTCTACAGGAGACCGCCCCCGGCGTTTACAACTTCGATGTCAAGAACCCACCTGTGAGCCCAGTCACCGGCAAGCCTATCACCACGTGGTATAAGCCGGGCCAGACCTGGGGTTCCGTCTTTGGTGGTCTTGCTGGTGCTTATGAGGAGTGCCGTGCTGAGCTTGTGGCTATGCATCTCAGGTTTGTTTTCTCGTCTAGATTATGTGCGGTATAGCCTCTGACATGGAGACAGCTGTGAATTCTCCGCCCTCAAGATCTTCGGCTTCGGTGACGGCTCCACGGACATTGACGGCGAGGCTGGGGATGTTCTGTATGCCTCGTACCTCAGCATGGCTCGTGCTGGTTTGACATCCATCGAGTTCTGGGACCCCAAGTCTCAAAAGTGGGGGCAGCCTCACTGCCAGGCTCGTTTTGCCATTCTCAAGGTATGCTTTTGCGCTGTATAAGGCGCTGGAATTGTTGTGCTAACCGGCATGAAACAGTCTTTCCTCGAGGCTGAGGATGATTTCTGCAAGCTGGAGTACAAGAATGAGGATCTCTCTGACCTCACCATTCGCCTTGATCGCTCCAAGATTTTGACCAGTGGTAGAAAGGGTACGTTGAGTTTCAGTGTTTTTTTGGGTATCTGGTTCAAAGAACAAAAACTAACTCGTGTTTTCCTGCAGCCGTTGGTGACTTCCTCCAGAAGCTCCACATCTACAAGTCCACTGCTGATGTCGAGACCGGTTCCAAGTTCTTTACTGAGATGAGCAACGTTGGTCTTGAGTACTGGGGCACCAAGGTCCGGAATGTGGTTCTTAAGAACAAGCAGCCGAGGAAGGTCTTTGTCCAGGCCAACACTTACCTGGATGAGAAGACCGGTCAGGTCACGATCAAGCACTATGAGCCAACGCTGGAGGGTGTGATCGAGAGCTGGGCTGACAGGGAGGAGTGACTGTCGATTGCAAGAGGTGGTGGGGTTGAGGAAGGTAGAACATGGCTTCGATCTGTCCTTTAAATACCTAGTCGACAGACAAAGCAACCTGTGGCCAAAGACCGAGGTTGAATTGAATGAATCAACACAAGAATCTTCACTCAAAGTGGTTGTGTACCAAGCAAGTAAAAGTATTCAAATCGCTCATATTTTGATAACCATAACAGTATTAAAATGACAAAGAAAGACATGAAGACAATAAAAGCATAGCATTCCTCCCAGCTTTGCAAGTAGAAAATAACCCAGTGAACCGTTTTCCTTTTGGGGTATCAATGGTTCGTCTCCCCCCTCCTCTGCTCTTTCTTGCATTCCCTTCCTTCATAAAACAAAATCAGTACCCGCCACCAAAGTGCGCCAAATCCCTCACTGCCAACACCATCTAGGCCTGTCTGTCCATCACACAGCATTCCCCTCTGACCCTTTTCTACCTCCCAGATCTGATCTGAACATGACTGATCCATACACCAAAGATTCCAACCACTTTGCCTGTCAACCTAAGGGCCTCCCACGCACTCATACCCGGCGCGCATCTCCTTCTTGACTCAAACATCTCGAACTCGACCATTTGATCTCAGCTACCGTCCTGTCGGCATGCCTACCCCCCCCCCCTCCAAAAAAAAAAAAAGGAAAAAAACCTGTAATCAACCCCTCACGTCTCCTCCCCCTGACTCCCCTCCATCTCAGGAGCCTCACTAGACCTCATATCCCCCCCCTCCTCCCCCCCACTGTCCCCCCTCCCTAGATTATGCGTCTTCATATGCCTCCTCAGCTGGTCCTGCCTGTGAAAGTTCCTGTCACACCCCTCCACCAAGCAGTTAAACCTCCCTTTCACCTCGTGCGTCCGCTTGTGTTTCGACAGGTTGCTCGACTCGCTGAACCCTTTACCACAAACAGGGCAGGTGAGGGGCTTAGCGCCGCTGTGGACTCTTTGGTGCATTGCTAAGAGACAGATAAGTTAGTGATGATGGGGAAGGGAAAGAAAAGGGGGGGGGGGGACAGACTGAGAGCAGAAGGGTAACGAAACGTTTTGCTGCATAGGCTGCAAGAAAGAGGCTTTTCGTTGCTGTGGATAAACAGGTGTTGAGTCAGGGCTTGTTTTGCCGAGAAGCCCTTTTGGCAGACGGGGCAGATGTGTGGTTTGTCTATGGGGTTTGTTAGCAACTCAACAGGGATGGGAAGGGGAGAGGGAGGGGGGATCTTACGCCCTATATGTGTCTGCATATGTCTTTCGATTTTACTCCTCTGCGGAAAACCACTCGCACCCGGAGCACTCCGCGGGCAGTCATCCCACCCACATCTGAACCCCTGATCCCCTGGACGCTTTTGCGCATGTTTGATGTGGCAGTTGGATGCGTGTCTGAACAACGCCTCGGCGTCGTCGAAAACAAACCCGCAGATTTCAGAAGCGCCTTCTTCCCGCCAGAGACAGCGGTGTTCTTCTGTTTCCATCTTGACATTGTCGTCGTCGTCTGTTGACGTGACTATGGAGAGGCTTCGACTGTGCTTGACGTCGGTCATTTCAACGTTAGTCGACGTAGGGGTTAATGGTGAGGGAGTCCCGAGTGAGGCTGTGGTGTCAGAGGTGTCCAGGGCTGGTTCTGGGGGTGACATTGTTTCCCTCGATGAAATGATGTTATGGTTCTGAAAGCCCCTCATTTGACCAGGCCTTGTACTTGGTGGCGGCGGCATGTTCGCGAATTGGACTTTGTGATGAGAGAAGAAATGGGCCGCATAAGCCTCCGGGTCGTGGTACTGAGCTCCACACTCTTGTAACATCTGGTTGAGCTGATTCCTTTGGTTTATTTGGTTCAACTGGTTCATCTGCTGGAGGTTGAACTGGTTGAAAGCATCGGTATTGTTGAAGACGGGCATGTGACATTGGGTATAGATGGAAGGATCCCCCAGTGGACATGGTGTGGTGCAAGGCTGCAAGTTTGAATCGTCGTGAGCAATTAGCAAGTGGTTTGCAACGCTGCCCACCGCGTTCCAGGGAGGCGATAGTAAAAAGTTGTTTTGAGAGGGCTGGGCCAGACCGCAGCCTAGGTTATTTATTGCTGTTCACCAAGCATGAGCCAAAGAATAACGCTTAAAGGGGGAACTATGAAAGCCTACATTGTTGTTGGAAATCAAAACTGTGCTGCGGCGAGGACAGACCAGGCGCGTGGTTGATCGAGATGAGGGCAGCAGCCCCATCACGAACCTCCTCCGGTACATGAACAACAGGCCGCGAGGGGCAGTTCTGGTCTGTACAAGCGTCCTCTTCGGTTTCACATTCTTCCCCGGTGCACTTGCCCGTCATGGTACACTCGCTGTCACAGCACCCGCTGGCGCTCATTGATTGGCAATCCTCCTCCTCGCAGTGCGAGGCCATGGTGGAAGACATGTGGTGGTCAAAACACTGCTGGTACGGGTTCGACAGGTCAAGATCGGTATGGAACTGGTGCTGCTGGAGGGGCATGGTGCTGAGGTCCATTTGATATTGGTTGTTTTGCCATCGCGTCTGCGGCGCCAGAGAAGCTGGAGCCCCGCGATGGTTGAACTGTTGGAAGCCATTGTAGAGGCCGACGCCCATGCAGGCGTCTACGCAGAGATCGTCGTGCGACTCGTAGGCCACGCTGCCCGTGTTCATCCGCGATGGATCGGTGCCCATATGCGCCATGGTCTGGTGTGAAAGCTGGCTCTGGGCCATGGCAGAGAAATCGAGATTGCTCAGTTGTTGGTCGCCGCTGCTCTGCGAGTGCCGGTGGAAGCCATCGCCGTATCCGGGAAAGCGTTGAGGTTGCCCGAAGGAGCCGTCCATGATTCGGCGCGCTTCTGAGCGCCCAAGAATTGGGGACGGGGGACGGGGGACGGGGGGTGGGCGGGTGAGGGCGAGGGCGAAGAAGCGGGTGGGTTCGGGGCAACGGCCCAATAAGCGACGAGTCGGCAGCGGGCAGCGAACGGTGGGTTGTGGGCACCTAAGGGACGACTACTGAGTGTGCGCCGGAGAGGGCATCTACAACGACGACGACAGTGATGGCGGGATGAAAGGCGGGCGGTTGCTTGAAGAAGCTTTGGGCAAATGGCGGCTCTGCGCTTGAGAATTGATGGGTCGGCAGGTTGTGGATCAGAAAGGCGAGCACGTCGACAATATTATTTTGCACTTTGTGAGAACCTTGACGGCCTAGCAAAAGACCCGCTGTGCGTCTCTTACTGGTCCCAGTCCCACCTGCCTCACTCGCTCTTTGACTTGTACTTGACATGTGCAATTGACCAACCAATTCAAAACTCGAGTGAAACTGTTTTACTGATATTTAGGGAACAGAATCGTTGTATAATTCAGATGCAGGCATCTTTTGACACCTCCTGAGCGTCCTCTTTCCATCTTGTTTGGTGGTGTTCTTCCCTGTGGGCCAACTGCCCCCTCCAGGGCACCGGACGTGGGGTTCACAATCGATGCGGGGCTTCAAAGACGGGAAGGAAAAGGACTATCTTGATTGGCTGGACACTTCATCATTGGTTTCACTGCCATTGTTACATGCCTTTTCGAGGTGTGGACTCGGGGGGGCTCTCTATACTCAGATACATATATGTACTTAGATGTCCACGTAACGGGCTGATGTGCCTTCGATTTGTCAAGCCAACAGCATAAATCTCCATGGGCACATGCCACTGTTCGACTCCCCAGCATGTGAAATTTGCCCCTGTTGATCGCAAGTCAACTGATGATGATGATGAGACTGAGACCAATCTTGACTTTGATACGCAGCTCAGGCACCCGGCTTCCCCAGTAAACTTGACATAACCCGTATATGCACAACATCAGGCCTCTCTCCTCTCATTGGGAAGAGCACTAGACCCCAATCCCATTGTTCCTGAACGGCAGGGCGTCGTCGGCATCTGCCATCAGCGAACGACCTAGCCAAGAGCCTCCTTCGGCTCGGCTTGCCGGGCGCGGGCCAAGCCATCGCCAGCCACGTCAACTGCCTACAGAGTGCGGTCTTCGCCTTGACGCCGAGATCAAACCCGCCAGTGATATCACCAATCCATACCAACCAGTTCAATTTACAAGTAAATCACTACTTTCAAAACACCATATTCCGAGTAATCATCCCGCCCACCAAAATCACCATCACCCAACCTTATCTCCAGCCACAGCCCCTCACCTCACTCACCAAAAGTATCATATCACCCACACCATGGGCAACCTCTGCGGCAAACCCTCCTCGGACGCTTTCTCCTCCCCCGGCCGCCGGCTGGATTCCGCCCCTCCCCCCGGTAAACCCTCCTCCGCCTCCGTCCCACAGTCAGTCTCCGCCGCCAAAACCTCCAAAGCCCCCCCGAAAGTCGGTGGTCCTCCCCGGACCCTGGGCGGCGGCGGTGATCCCTCTTCATCTCAAGATGACGCGAGGAGAAAAGCTGCAGAGGCAGCAGAAGTATGCCACCCACACTCGCACCACTTGATGATAATGCTGACACCTCTCCCAGGCCCGTCTCCAGCAATCCAAAAAAGGCGGCAAGCTACAGGCCCAACTGGATAAAGACAAGGCAAAGACCAGAGTCGATACCCTCAAGGACGCGAGTGAAATCGAGAGGCGGCATCGGGATGCGGACAGCAATGCTGAGATTTTGCGGAATTCCTAGATTCCCTTGTTCTTGTTTCATGAGGTCGGGTGGTTAAGGTGGCGTTTTGGGTGTTGTGAGATGCCATTGTTTTGCATACGTTTTGTTTTTGTTTTCTCATCTCACTGGAGCATCATTTTGTACATATTTCACATTCAGAGCAGCGGGCTACAGCAGGGTACAGTTGATTATCAAGTTGAATTGTTACAATACCCTCTCTCTCCTTCCATATACGCTATGAACACAAAACCCCTACATGATTGAAACACCATATGGACGCCAACCAATGTTGTTCCCACTCTGAAAGCTTTCGCCATGATGAAGCATAACAAACCGGCCCCTGACGAGAAATCCTAGCACAAATCCCCCCTTTTTATGTGATGGTATACCTCCCACTAGCAGGCGCCCTGCTCTCCGCATCCGCCGCGGCAATCGTGCCCTCCCTCAACAACCGAGTAAGCTCCGAAAGCGCGTTGCCCACCACCACCTCGGTATCACCCTCAATAAGAATATACAACTTCGCCTCCTGGCCCGGCCCGGGCTCCTTCCCGGGAGGATAGTAAGTACCCTTTGTGGTGATCGACGTCCCAGTAGCCTCCAAGATTTTGGCCACGTTCGTGCGGTTGGTGACCGCCCACCTGGCCTTTTGAGGGAAGTCGTTGATCTCCAATGTGGCATGAAAAGCACCCGCATCCGGACCCTTATTGTCAATCGGCTGGCCTGGTCTAAGCTGGCCAGCTCTCGCCAATCGGGCGTTGATTTCGCTGATGGCCGAGGCAGCCTTATCCAAAGCACCCCCACCCTTGCCCGCGCCAGCACTACTGCTGCCGGCGATGACGCCGCTGCTCTTGATGACACCGTGCTCAAGCCCACCGCTAGTCTTGCCCTCCGCCGCCTCCGTCTTGGAGGCATCCCGAGAAACAATGGCGCTGACAGCAGCCTGGATGGCTTCCTTCGCCTTGTCCTTCTTGGTCTCTTCGTCCTTGTCATCTCCCTTGTCTTCTTCCTCCTCGCCTTCGGCCTTGTGGGTTTTGCGCTCGCGAAGACGAGCAGCTTCACGCTCCTTGTCCAGCCTCTCCAAACCTTTGCCACCAAATCCACTGGCGTCTTTGGCTTTGCCAGCCTTGACTTTCTCTTTCCAGGACTTGCGCATCTCATTGAGCCGTTCCGGGACAGGCTGCCCACTCTGCTCGAGAGCCTTGGCCACACCAGGAGCACAGTTCTCTTGCTCTTCGGTGATAAAAGTGACAGCTGTACCGGTGTTGCCTGCCCGACCAGTTCGGCCGGCACGGTGGACATAATCTTCCAAATGGTTGGGGACATCGTAGTTGATGACCAGCTTCAGCTGCTTCACATCCAGACCGCGGGCCGCAACTGAGGTGGCGATGAGGATAGGGCAGACACCCTTCTTGAAATCAGAGATGGTAGAGTTGCGATCTTCCTGATCTTTGCCGCCGTGGATGGACATGCAGCCGTAACCGCGGCGCAGGAGCTCTCGCAACAGATCGTCCGTCTTCTCTTGACGCTCCACAAAGATCAGGGCGCGAACGTCATCATCGTCGGCATACAGCTCTCCGAGAAGCTCCAATAGGCGGACAAACTTCTTGGACTCGTCAATGATCTCCACGACCTGAGTGATCTCGGGCGCCACGACACTGCGTCCTCCCACCGTGATTTCTACCGGGTCCCGAAGAACCTTTTTCGTCAGAGCGTCAATGATGCGAGGCATGGTGGCTGAAAACAAGATGGTCTGCCTATCCGGCCTGACATTATTGAAAATCTTCATGACCTGCGGCTCAAAGCCCATATCAAACATGCGATCTGCTTCGTCCAGCACCAAATACGTGGCACGCTTCAGGTTGGTTACACGTCCAGAATTGGCGGCCAGGAGATCAATCATACGTCCGGGTGTAGCGACAATGATCTCGGCGCCACGCTTCAGCTCGGCGATCTGGTCCTTGATAGCATTGCCACCATAGGCAGCAACTGCACGAAGCTTCAAAACCTTGGTAAACGGTAGCAGGTCGGTGTAAATTTGGGTGCACAGTTCTCTTGTGGGTGTCATGATCAGGGCGATTGGGCCATCGTCGCCGCTCACTGGGTCTTGATCCTTGATATGACGAAGCATTGGGAGCGCAAACGCCATAGTCTTGCCTGAGCCCGTCTTTGCCACACCGATTACATCTCGGCCAGACATGATGACGGGCAAGGCTTGCATCTGGATTGGTGTAGGCTTCTCATAGCCGAGGCCTTCGATGGTGTCCAGGATGGGTCGCGTTAGGCCACACTGAGACCACTTTTGCACAGGTCTCGGGATATTCTTGCCAGAGACTTTGATGCCGTCCAACTCCAATCTAAGCTCGTTTGCTTCTTCCTCTGTCATTTGACTGAGGTCGAGCGGCTCAACCCAAAAGTTCTTCCGGATTTTGTTAAGCTCAAGCTTGCTATAGTCAATGACGGGAATGTCCTTCTTCTTTTTCTTGGCAGCCATGGCGAGAATAGATGACGGGTCGGCCTTGTCTGCCTCGTAACCGTAATTGTCATCACTGTAGTACGCCTCAGGCTCAAACGCCTTCTTGCCGTTCGCTTGGTCGCCATTTGGTTTTGACGATATGCCGCTGCTTGGAACTTTCTGTTCCAGATCAGCCATAAAGGCATCCAGGGGATCAATCTCTTCGTCAACATCCATGGCGTTGTCAGCTGGTGTTGGGTCTTCCTTCTCGGCAGCGGGGATCTCGGAGTCTACCTCCATAGCCATGCCCTCTTTCTGGATGCGTTCATCGCGCCGTTCTTGGAGGATTCGCTGTGCTTCGGCCATTTCCTCCTCGTTGCGACCCAAGACAAGATCCAAGTCGTCCTCGACATCGTCATCGGCATCAGCATCGACATATGGTGTAGTGTCAGCATTTTCTAAAGCGAAGTCGGGGAGCTTGACAAGTTTGCGCTTGATAATCTCCTCATCGTCCATGTCGAGCTTGCGCTTTGAGGTTGACTTTTGGTTGTCAGCAGCCTTCTGAAATCCGAACGTACTCAGTGTTCTGTTGGTGGGCAGAAGCCCGCCTTCCTTTTTGGCTACTATGGCCGACCCTCCCTGGCTGCTCAGTTTTACATCACCAAGTTTGACATCGCCCAGCTTGGTTGGTGAGCTGGCGCGGTTGCCCCTGGCGTTCCTGGCAATGGCCTTGGGGTCGAATTTGCCGACAAAAGCCTGAGTTGACGCCGGAGATGCAGCTGCAGTGGTGGGGGCAGGGCTGGTGGGAGTGGGCGAGGCCTTCGCAGGGCTGCTGGGGACGGTGCCGCCGGCTCTCTGGTCCATAGCTGCGAGTAGTTTCCTGGTGCTCCCGGCTGAAACATCGGCCTCCTTAGCTTCCTTCATGGCGTGCTTCTCCTTCATGGCTTGAAGTTTGCGCAACCGTTCAGCCTTCTTTTCAGCTTCCGACTGAGCTGGGGTTGGTGTAGACTTAGCTGGCTGTATGGTCGAGATGTTGTCAGTAAAACCTGCGAAAAATGTCGAAAACCAAGGGAACATACCTCGCTGGGCTTGATTGGTGCAGCACTCTCTGCTGGCTTGGGTTGACCCCGGGGTCGAGTGCCATCCCCCCGGTCTGTTGAGCCATCCCGGCGGGGCCTGCGGTCGCGGGAGTCATCCCTCCTAGAACGGTAGTCTCTGTCCCCTTCTCTACTATCCCTACCATCCCTGCTGCGAGGTCTTCGACGTTCTGGGGAGCGCACCCTATCAGGTCCTCTGTCGCGTGACCGTCTCCTATCACGGTGGCCACCACCCGCACCATCCCGACGTGCACCTCGGTAATAATCGTCATCTCGGCGGTCTAGGGAGCGGTCTCTCCAGCGATAAGAGTCGCGATCTCTATCTCGGTCCCGCTCGCGGTCACGGTATCGGCGCTGGGAAAGGACAGACATGTCAGCACCACACTGAACCCTATCTCGGGGGAACCAACTCACATCTGGGCTACGGGAGCGGCGGCGGCGATCACGCGAGCCATCACGGCGGTCGCGGTCGCGTCGATCATCCTCTTTCCGCTTTCGCGCAGCATGACTTCCTGCAGGAGATGGTGAGCGCGAGTCTCTGGGCCGAGCCATTCTGTGTGGTTTGACGGTGGCTCAGCAATTGTCTGTGGCGGTAAAGTACTTTTATGGAAGCAGTTGACTTCAAGTTAGTGTGCCGAATCGATATCTTCGATCTTCATGCCGATGTGGACGTGGTAGCGCTGGATATGATGTCTACAAACTCCCGAGTGTGAGGACGGAGGAGAGTTTCGAAGTCGCAGAACATCAAGTCACTGCAATGTGGACCGTGCTGGAGAAGTTTGAAGGTGGGACTTTGGAACACTGCACCGTGTTGTTTAACAGCTTTCCGTGACTTTCCACTGTGAGGTCTGGGCTTGCTCCTTTAGGGCATATCACAGTGTGGGTGAGCACGGTGGAGGTCAACATGACGTATAAACTGTGGTTCTGAGAAAGCTCAAAGCCAAAGACTCAACATGATATTGAAAAACTCAAACAATCTAAATAATATTCATAGAGCTGAAATATCAGTCATATATCATACGCTTCTTTCAACCAATCTCAAGCAATGGCAGTCGTTTTGTGTGTGCATGTACAAGAGGGCATCTTCAACAAAGAATCTCGGCAAATAGTCTGTGCGAATCCTGTCCCACCTTCTTGAGACCTGGGTCGCAGGTAAACAGCACCACGGCTCTTGCTTGCAGCTTGGGAGCACTGACCGCATCTTGGAAGCTTGGTAGCTAGGGTAAGAAGAAGCTGGCCAACCGCCTCCCAGCATAAAATCGCAATCTCCCCAGCAGCGTCACTGCAACAGCTGCTTGCTGCGAACCCCTCTCACCCCAACAACACCCGCCACCATCACACTACATCCAATTGTAGCCTCAATTCCCACCGCCGCTGTCGCCATGCTCTCCTCCACTGGGCTCGCGGCTGCCCGCCGGGTCCGCGTCATCGGCATGCGCTCAGTTTTCTCGAGCATTGCCCGTATCTCGACCCGCAGCGCAGCCTGCCCCAAGGTCCCCGCGAGCGTTCGCATTGCCGCCGTTTTCAATCGAGGATTTGCCGCCGCTGCCTCCCGCTCAGCTACCAAGACAGCCACAGCCACAGCCACCAGGAAGACTACTACTACCAAGAAGCCGGCCGCTAAGAAGACCACTGCTGCGAGGCAGAAGAAGAAGGCTGCATCGACGAAGAAACCCACAGCCAAGAAGGCTGCCCCCAAGAAGAAGGCTGTCCCCAAGAAGACAGGGCGCCCTAAGAAGACTGTCAAGGAAGTCCCAGAAAATGTGAAGCTTTTCCGGAAGGTCAAGGAGCTGAAAGCCAAGGCTCTTCTCAACGAGCAGCCACGCGGACTCCCAGCAAGGTCGTGGTTGGTTTTCGTGCAGAAAAACGGTGGTGTACCAAAAGGTCAGACCGCTACGGAGTTCATGTCGGCTATGAAGAAGCAGTTTGCGGCTCTCTCGTCTGTGGAGAAGCAGGCTCTTCAGGACGAAGCTCGTGCGAACAAGGTGAGGAACGATGCGGCCCTGATCAACTGGATCACGACGTATCCAGTTGAGACCATCGAGGCTGCAAACTTGGCTCGGAGCCATCTCAAGAGGCTCGGCAAAACAGCTAAGCTCTCCCTTCCTGACCCCCGCAGACCCAAGGGTCTTCTAAGTCCCTACATCATTTTCACGACTCAGCGAATGAAGTCTGGGGACCTTGACAACATTCCCCCCACGGCTAGAGTGGCTGCCATTGGCAGTGAGTGGAGGGCGTTGAGTGAGACTGAACGCCAGGTACGTGCCCAGCAGCTATACGACTTTTTCAATGTTTACTAACGAGGCTCGCCAGCCTTTCTACGAAGCCGCTGAGAAGGACAAGGAGCGTTACAAGGTTGAGAGGGCGTCTCTTTCTCCTTCCCCTTAAACGAACAGAGGAGAGAGTTTTGAGCCCTCCATCACACCGGCGCCATAGCCTAGCCAGCCATATTGGTGGCTTGAGCTTTGTGAAACAAAGTAAGAATGCGAAAAAGAAGTGACAACCTTGTGGCTTCTATCCCCCAATCAACATGCAACTACAGTCAGTATGTCTACGACGATAGCTGGCATTGGGTGTAGTGGGCGGCTGGAAAGGAGGCAGGAGGCCGGGAATATTAGAGACAGATGGGTAGCTCAATGCTGCTAGGGGTGGAGGCAATATCTGGTTCTTTCGCTTGGCTCGCTGTTCAATTTTCCATGGGTTTTTCCTTCCCAAAGTCGGGTATGTTCGGTCTGCTTTGATAGTGAGGAGCAGATAGTGTAACTTGTATCAGGAACTGTACAATTTTCTTGTGTGCGGTCTCACCAAAAACAAACAGACGGATATCAAAACCAGTGTGATGTTGATGGGGGTTTCGTTAGCCCCTTGGTGTACATAGATCAGGTCATAACCATGTTTTATGTGTAAGATTTGTGCAACATTTGTGTATTGATATAGAGTCTCAAAATGCCCAATGCGATGTTTATGCCCAGCACCATGCAATGATAGAATCCGGGGGTATCTTTCCCAACAATGATAGTCCAACGATAACCAGCCAGCGATGCCATATAGCCCGAATCCAGTTCTCCCCACTTTATCATGAGACAAGATTCCCTAATCCAACAAAACCTTATTCCTTCTTCCTTGCCTCCACCTTTCCGGTCCCCTTCTCACATTTCCACGCCGGTTATCGAGGTGCCATCACCACTACCGCCTCCCCGTCCCCTCCAAACCACTTCATCCCCATATCTTTCACTTGCCTTCTGCTGGCTACATAGAGAAGGAGGTGCATGTGTCCAACCACGCACCCCCAACACCTGAGCCTCAGCCACCTAAAATCTTGATCTCGAGAGCAGCTTGTGCCCCAACCCGCGATCCCCTTCTCAATGTAGTCAGTCAGAAACATCCAAGCCGACAACTTCAAGTCTGCTGGCCACGAGGCGGTCTCTACCAGCCAGTATCCTCGCTCAAAGGGGCGCAACTCCCTAGTTTGCGACTGTGGCCTAAACCGAACAGAAAGATCCAGCTCCGTAGCTAGTTTTGCCAACACCGGACTGATAACGTCCTCAGGTCTGAGATCTGTCTGCGCTGCTGGGGGTGAAGGGGCGTATATCTGTAGCTTGGACTTGTAATAAGCAGTCGGCTTATTCGAGATGAGTTGGACGAGTGGTTGGCGACGAGGACCAATGTCGCTGGTGCTTCTGGTTAGAGGTTGGCCAGGCTGAGGGTCGGCGGCTGTCCGTCTGCGTTTTGCGATGGGCTCTGAGTCTGCCCGAGCGAGGGCCGGCGGTTCTTGGGAACAAGGGACTGATGTTTGGTTAGGGTTCGAAGAGTACAGTACCGTCTCCTCAATGATATCGCTCGTGGACAGCTGTGATGGTTGTGGGGGCGGGCGCTTTTGAACACAGATGTCTGGAGACTGGGGGATAATTTTATTTGCAGGATCGGAAGGTGACGGCAGATGGAGCTCCCTGTCGAGTGAGCTGTGCGGTCGTGCTCGGAGTGGCCTGTTGTTGATTGGATCTCGGGTTGAGCCCGGATAAGAGCTTGACTGTGGAGGAATTGACGGGATTCTTAGTCGAGGTAGGCTTGGTTCCGGCAAGCTGCTTGGCTGAAGTGAACCTGTCTCTGGTGCTCCGGGCGCTTGACGAATGTTAGGTCGGCGAGGGCTCCTTCGAGGCTGCGAGCACAGGTAGCGTCCAGATTCAGATGCCGTGGCCAGCCTTTGAGATCTCCGACGAGCAAGAGGTGATGAGTCTACGTGCTGGCTATCTAGTGATGATGTGAAGAAGTCCAAAGCCCTTGATGGTGTGCAAAAAATCTCAAACGGTGGGTGGTTGTTCGGCATCGAGTCTGGGATCTCGCTGGGCGGTGCTTGCCATGACGACTGTGTCTCGCTGATACAATGTTCTGTTACTGGAACAGCTCGTAGCCCAGGAGAGTCGAAATTATGCTCAGCGCTCTGAAAAGACAGGATTGGCGATTTAATCCCACGGTTCAGTTGTGAGGATGGCGGGGCTTGATGAATTCCATATCCAACAAATTCTCTCCGGTTTAGCTGTGTGTCTCCTTCCACCTCGCCCCGGGCACGGGCCTGGACTTCTGTGACATTCGAAGGTTCAAAGTCAAGATATGCCCTCGCCAACGCTCGGTGTCTCACATCGTCGGCGGCTCTGGCAGGTGCAGCGATGTGCACCAGGATTTCGGTCTCAGGCCTCACCATATGACCCTCCTTCATTCTCCGTCGCGATGTCCCTAATGGTAGATCGAGGAGTACGAATTGCTCATCAAAGGGGTGATAACGAGCAAAGTGGGTATCAAGTCTATCTTGAAGGTGAACTGTTGATGAAAGGCGCGGTCGAGGATGATGAAAGCCAAAGACCGCAAGTCGCAAAGAAATGAGCATATATAAGAATGAAAGTATGGAAACCAAAAAGAGGAAGAAATTAAGATCAAAAAACCAACAAAGGCTGCCTTGCTCCCCGAGTTGCTTCCATCCTCCTTGTGATACCAACAAGTGAATGAGACGGAGTGCGTGTGTGAATTGCTGCAGAAGAGACGCGGGGTGCTCCACCTGCCTGATACGGCAACTAGGCAACGTACCGTCCCACTGGGACTAGCTTGCCTGCCCCGGTAACCGCAACGGTGCAGCGCGCGCAAGCCGCCAGCTCATCAAACGCGGTGAGGCAGGGCTGAGAAACAGCTGACGGGTAATTAAACATTTTTTGCCCCTGTATTCCGCCTAAACTTGGGGGAGCTGTCCAGTGGAAAGGAGATGCCAAGATAGCTTCGGAACCACAAGAAGAACAACACATCCCCAGCAATTGTCCATCCTCAACACCTCCCATCAAGCCCAAACCAACCCAATCCCTCCCCCGCAAGCACAACCCTCACAATGGCGTCCGAAAAGAAGCCATCCCTCGGCTCTGCCATGGTAATCGGCGGCTGCGGCTTCCTCGGCCACCACGTCGTCCGCCTCCTCCTGCGCGACTACACCACCACCTCCATCTCGGTCATCGACCTCCGGTGCACGCGCAACCGCCGCCCCGAATCCGACGGCGTCAAGTACTACGAAGCCGACATCACCGACGCCGACAAGCTCATCTCCGTCTTCTCAGAAGCCCGTCCCGACGTGGTCATCCACACTGCCTCCCCCCCAGCCCAATCCAACGACAGCGTCTCCCACGCTCTCTTCAAAAAGGTCAACGTCGATGGCACCGCCGCCGTCATCAAGGCCTGCCAAACCACCGGCGTCAAGGCCCTGGTGTACACCTCCTCCGCCTCGGTCATGTCAGACAACAAGTCCGACTTGATCAACGCAGACGAAAGATGGCCCACCGTCCGCGGTGAGAACCAGACAGAGTACTACTCCGAGACCAAGGTTTGTTTCCCTCTTTCCTCCAAACCTCCCATCATCTTGCTAACACGTCCCCCTCCAGGCCGCAGCAGAAGAGCTCGTCCTCCTCGCTAACCGCGCCTCCCCCGCCCCCTCCCTCCTCACCTGCGCCATCCGCCCCTCGGGCATCATGGGCGAAGGCGACACAATGGTCCTCTACCACATGATCAACATCTACCGCCAAGGCCGCACCGGCGTCCAAGTCGGCGACAACAACAACCTCTTCGACTTCACCTACGTCGAAAACGTCGCCCACGGCCACCTCCTCGCCGCCCGCGCCCTCCTCCTCACTTCCTCCTCCTCCACCGTCCCCCTCGACCACGAGCGCGTCGACGGCGAAGCCTTCCTCGTCACCAACGACTCCCCGGTCTACTTTTGGGACTTTTGCCGGGCCATCTGGGCCGCCGCGGGATCGCCCATGGGGACGGACCACGTGAGGGTTCTGCCGAGGGGTGCGGGAATGGTGTTGGGCTTCTTGAGCGAGTGCTTTTTTGCCATGATTGGGAAGCCGCCTACGTTTAACAGGCAGAGGATTGTGTATAGCTGCATGACGAGGTATTACGACATTAGCAAGGCGAAGAAGAGGTTGGGGTACAGGCCGTTGGTGAGCTTGGATGAGGGGGTGAGGAGGAGTGTCAAGTGGACGTTGGAGCAGGAGAAGGTGAATGCTGAGAAGAAGTAAACAGCGCGGGAATTTTGGGTTTGGATGGTTTGAGATGTAGGTCGGAAGAGATACCAATTGGGCATTTTTGTTTGGGAAGGGGAGAAGAGATATATGAAACGTATATAATACATAATTAACGACTGATGGGCGGCCGAGAGGGGTTGGATGGATGGAAAAAATGATGGGTGGTGGTGATGGTGGAAAAGGGAGGATGCATATGATCAATATAAGCGCACTAAATATTTCGTTTAACCTTGTGGATAAAAGGGGCCAGGGTCCTGATTTCTGGTCAAGTCGTGCTTGTTGGATTGGTGATGTAGAGCACTGTGCCGTGAACGACACACCCACTTGGTGGGAGTAAGACAGCCACACATCACCATGGTTTTAGCAAGTGGAATGGCCCCCATCAGAACAAACTCCTTCCCATTTTCCTTGCCACCTCAGATCATCTACCCAACATACAACAACTCAGCCACAGAAAGCAAAGCTCACCAGCACACAAACACCACACCACCTGCTATGTATCAAGAAACATTTCACATCAAAAGTTCAAAACGGCGCTCAAAAATAGCTTGCTTTGTTGGTTTGTCTCTCTCTCTCTCTCTCTCTCGCTCTCTCTCTCTCTCTCTCTCTCTCTCTCTCTCTCTCTCTCTCTCTCTCTCTCTCTCTCCCTTCCCCTGACACACACACAGTCACATACAAACAGTCACCACCACCCACACAAGATTTCACTGTTTTCACTCCCACTCTCCCAATCCATTCCAAGTCAAACCCATCCATCAATTCTGTCTTTCTCTCACACAACAGTCTAAAAAAAAAACACCCCCTTTCCCTTCCTTCCCTATGTCCCTTCTCTGCTTCCTTTGCTTTTTTGGAATCGAAACACCCGACAATTCAAGAAATATCAGACATAAAAGAGTAGAAAAAGAACAAGAGTGGCATGCTCCCCCTTTGTTTGTCCACCGTGTGCCAAGTAACAACAAGCGCTCTTCCCCAGAGAAAGATTGAACTTGAACCCCCTTCCACCTCCATCCTTACTCCCAACCAACAAACAAACAAATGGAAACCCACTGCAAAAAAAGAAAGGAAAAAAAAAAACGCCTGCAGCTATGCTTGCAATATCTTCAAACCAGTAGTGACCACAACAACCCTCCTTTTCGACTTTTTGTTTCTGTACCCAGAGGGGAGGTAGGTATCATAACTCCGGTCTCATATACCCAGAGGGCGGAGAAGGAGGCAACTGTTCCGCCACTGCTTCCTACGCAGTCCCGGTAGTCAACCCGTTATTCTGTCTCCCCCACCCCGAGTTCCTCCACTCCCCTCTGTTTCCCTGTCCTGGTGGTCCTGGAGGCTGGTTGTGCTGCGGCTGTTGTTGTGGCGGCTGTGATGGTGTCAAATGCCCTTGGTTCCCGGCCTCCGGTCCTCTGTATGGTGACTGTTGGGGCGGGTCATACGGTCCACGTTTGTGTGGTGGTGGCGTGCCCTGAACAGGTGGTGTTGCCGCTGCCGCAAAGGCTGGTATCGTTGGCTCCTGCATTGGTCGCACGCTGCTTTCCTGCTGCCATGATGCCGGGTCAGTTTCTATCCTCCTCGGCGGTGGGCGGCTGGGGTTGTTGTCGTGGCGGCCCATCAGCTCTCCTACGTCACTATACTGTCGGATTGGGCCGTTGGCTGCACGGTCGCCGAAACGCTTCAGAATTTCCTTGGTTGTCAATTCGGCACTGTTGTTGAATAATGATTGATCTTGCAGGAGATCGGCCAGGTCATCAGGGACCTACATTCGTGTTAGCATGTTGTTCGCAAAAGTGTAGGCAGACATGAAACTTGCCAGACACATCTCCTCAATACTAGCAATTATAACCTCCACGGCCTGAATGGCAAACATGGGGTCGCTGTCAAGGCTTGCAGCCTTGTTGGCATCCAACAAAACGTTGGGGGCAATGACGGTGGCCAGATTCCTGATGTCCATCTTGGATCCGGATTCATCGTCCACCTGGTGGAAAGATCCCACCCATTTCAAGAAACAAAACAAAACTTCCAAGCAATCGCGGTTCGCTTTTGGAAGCAAGCAGCATGCCAAGTGCAGGCAGTGCTTCCTCTTCTCTGGATCTGGGATCTTGGCCGCTGTTAACCAAAGACGGTAGAGTTTCTGCGTCATCAAAGGATCTGGGAGTTCTCGCAGGTATCGCTTCAAGAGGGCGGCCAGCTGAACAACATGCGTCGAGCTAAAATCAACATCCTCTTCCCTGTCCAGCGCTTCGGCTACCTCTCCCAACTTCTTGAGGTTGCCACTCTTTCGGAAGACACCTTCAACCGAGAGGTCCATTTGCTTCATTGCCGAGATGATGTCGTCGATAATGGAAGGGATCTTCAAAGTACCAGGTCCGACACCATCGGTCGACTCGCAACCGTCCCGCTCAATGATGACTTCCAATGGGACGCCAAACACCCCCTTCTTCTTGACGGCCTTTTGCTTGTCATTTTTGAACGCCTTGCCAATGTTCTTCCAGAAAGTAGGAGCCTTCTTGTTCTCAATGAACCCCAGGAGCTCCTCCAGCGTAAACTCATTCTCAACCATAGGATGCATCGTCATGACAGCCAAGTGTCTGACGATAAAGTACTCCAGTCCTGATAACTCCGAGAAATACCGTCGTGTGCCTCGCATGGTGCCCTGGTCTGGGAGACCGCGTGAACCGACTCCTTTGCCATCTGACAGACTTCGCTGGTGCATGTAATTAGCACCACCAGCACCCAGTCGTGGTTCCGTGGCCGGAGACCGGAAAAGCTCCTGGCGGTTCTGGTTTGGCTGATAGGACCTTTGTTCCCTTGCCGCTTGCTCAGCCGCAACAATCCTTGGGATATCGTCGAGTGTCAAGGCGTCCTGATTGGGCAATGTCATGTCCTCTTCATCGATAGGCCCGCGCTCGTCGACAATATGGAATCCCCTACTCTGACCCCCCTCGCCTGTGCCACCAGCCGACCCTGGCCGCACGCTGCTGCTCTCAGGTCCATCCAGAATCCTTGATGTCCTTGCCTTTCTAAAGCTGGACGACAAGTGCTTGTCCATACGGGTGCTTTTTAGTCTTCGGACATCATTGAGAGCGCTCTCGTAGGACGACTCTCGATGATGCCGTGGATAATCGCCCCCTTGCTGCCTGGACCTACCCTCAGCAGAGTCAAGATCGCCTCCGTTTGGATCGTCACCATTGTCAAGAGCGCCGTTCACTCGAAGAATCTCCAGCAGTCTAGCCAGGGCAACCTGGAGCAGGAAGACGTATTGTTGAAGCTTGGTAATGTGTTCAAACGGCGAAAGGTGTGCAGGAATATGAGGGTCGCAAGTACTGCAAAATACCTTGGTGTCGTAGGGTTTCAACCGGGCCTCTTGAAGCTTGCGACCAAGCTCTTTGCCGCAATGCGAGCAGTTGACGCAGGCCAGGTGCCACCGTTTATCTCCACTCTTTGCACATTCGTCTTCGATGGGCTTATGGCAGAGGATGCACTGGTCCGAGTCATGTGCTGATAATCTGGACATGCCCGAAGTCAACTGGAGTGTGGTTGTAGAATGGTCGTCCACTTTGAGCGCTTCGAGATCGCTCAGATCATCCAGGAAATTGTAAAGGCCATCTGGTGAGTTCCTTTCTTTTTCGATCCGAAGAGCGCCTTGCAGACAGATTCTGATAAGTAGCTTCAAATAGTGGGCAAGACCGGTGACAAGCGTCAACAGCTCTTGCGTGACACCAGGCTTACGTGTAACACGGTCTTGGGTCTTGGACAGCAGCGAGAAGAATGCCACGATCTTTTTGCAAAGCAATTTGGCCTCACGCCCGTATGCCAAACCAGCTGCGTATTCCATTAGCACAACGTTACGAGGTTAGGGTGCACCAAGAGGGTTCTTCTTACATTTGGGGTCCGCGTCGCTGGACATAGTGGCGTCGAGTCGGTCTGCAGAACGGAAAAGGATGTCGACATGGAAGATGAACTTCTTCGCCACCATGACACCATCCACATAGGCGCCATTGCTCACATGCAGGAGCATGTCTGATATACAAGCAGCCGAAGACTCTTCGAAGGTCGACAGCACGCTCCAGATCCGGTATACCTTCTCCTCCATGCGTTCCTCCTCGCCGCGGACGTGCTCGCGGCCCGCAGTGTCATCTTGGGTGATGACAGGCGCTTCTTGTGGTGAATTGAGGCGGACGTTCCAAAACTTGTGGATCATGTAGCATTCAGGATGCCAGTGCTGGTTTTGTCCGTTTCGGAATATTTCAACGAATTGTTTCAGGATCGAGGTTTGACAACCGCTGCATCGTTGGGCGAACTGGGTCGAGTAATGGTAATGGCAATAAACCTGGCCATCATGCTCATAATAGCTGTCTTGAGCACCGAATACTGTTGGGCAAAGGGAGCAGGTGAAGTGATCGACGTGGTATTTGCGATCGAGCGCAGTTATGTAGGAACCTCGTAATGCTCCACCGCATTGATGGCACAGCAGGCCTAGTCGTCGGAAGTAATCCGTTTCGCAAAGGGGGTATTGTCCCTCGCCGTTCTCGTCCTCTGCTGGGAAGAATTTGGAAGCTACGATTTGTCCGCAATCCTGCAAAGCGGTTAGAAAAACAACACAAGGGCCAAAAAGCGCCACACCGCCAACCAGAGGGCAGCATGTTCAAAAAAACACCAAAAATCACAACTTACCCGGCACTTGAAGCAGTCCAAATGGAATGTGCCATCCAGAGCGCGAACGAATTGACCTGTCAAAGGCTCTCCACACTTCTTGCAGACACGCACCTGGCCACTGGCTGTCCTAGCCTGCCGTGGCCGCGATCTGTTGCGCTCGCCGCTTTGTCTCAACTCCAAGTCTGCTTCTCCGTTGCCGCCCTGAGCTGCTGGTGAGTTTGGGGCTCTGCCATTGTGAGGATGGCCGTGAGGGTTCCCAAGAGGATCACCGTGTGCCCAATCGCCGCCTCCTAGGCCCAGGCTACCAGGAGCTCCGCCACCAGCACCACCATAGTCGTATCCTGCCATTGTGGACTGATCCTGAATCCGTCCACTGATGTTCGTCACACTACACCATGTGCGTTCGTCTCCAAAGTAAACAATCGGGGTTGTGGTGGTGGTGAAAGCAAAACTCGAGGGTCGAGGTCGCGGGCGCGGTCGTGGAGTGAGGAAACCGGGGGCTCAGCCAGGAGAGGGCCCGACATCAAGCCACGACTGGGCCAAAATAAAACGACGATAGTTCGCTGCGGGCAGTCGGTCTGAATGTAGTATGCGTTGGTAAAGGCGGGGCTGAAGATAACCAACACGATAGGTAAGCGTCGCTCTGGGCAGAGGCTGTGCGGCAACAAGTGTCGAGCAAATAATCGGCTGGCTGGGCACGCACGATGGGAGGTTGAGGCTGAACGACGACGACGTTGAGCGAGCGAGAGCAACAGCGGGCCTTGGGCCTTACTGGGCAGCGAGTCGGCGGAGCAGTCGAAAAAGGGCAGCCTCGTGGTATGGAGAGGAGAGGTACAGCCAGCTCGGTCTTTTTGCAAACTCGGATCTCGACGTCCCAATGTCTGGCCCAAATGGATTGCACGTCGTGGGATGGGGATGCGGATGCGCTGAGGTTGGCTGGAGATGACAGGAGTGGAAGACGTTCAGGAGGTCGGGTTCCAGTGCGAGGTGGGTGGTCCACAGTTTAGGTACCTTACCTACTCTCCCCAGTCGGGTCAAGACAGCAGCGATCGACAGCCCCCCGCCACGGCGGAGCGCCAATTTCAGGCTTGCTGGGAGACAGGGACAGCGCCTTCTTTTAGGGGAGGTCGCACTCGAATGAGAGCTGTGGGTGCCGTAGCGTAGCCGTTGTGTAGGTAGAGGCAGAGATCAGAATCATCAACGGCCGATCAGTATTCGCGCTTGGAAAGAGAATCAAGATAAGATGCTTGACGCTCGAAACAACACGCGGGAGATGGGCGCATCCTTCTCCTTGAATTTCCCTAGGGTCGCCGCAGAGAGCCATGACCGCTGCCCGAGTTCTGCTCCGCCGCCAAGACCTTTCCGCTGGTGCCCTATAATTTTTAGTGACAACGGCCAAATGGGGAAATTGCCCACTTATGCCCAAAGTTATTCAGAGGAATGGCAGCATCGTGCCATGGGATTTTGGATGCATTTCGGCCCAAAGTGTCTGTTTGTAAGGAGAACAATCCCTCTCCCGTCTCCCTTACCTGCAGAGAGACATGAGTAGGTAAGAAGAACCACAAGGCACAGGCACCGTCCTTTTGCTTTGTCCTGCCGGGTTTTTTGTTATGTACCCGTGGAGCTTGGACGGGACGGGATGGGATGGGATGGGATGATGCAAAGGCAGGGAGGGGCCCAACGGTGTTCCTCTCTCGCTGCAACAATTGCTCCTCTCTCGCTGCAACAATTGCTCCTCGGGTGGGGTTATGGAGGAGGCATTTCGATGCTATTTACAAAGACGAATCAAGGGACCACCTTCTCGGATATCTTCGATCTGATCATCTCGACCTCCCATCGGTAGGTGTATGCCATGCAGATGAATATTCGTACATCACGCAAGTCGATAATCAGCTGCAGGAACCCATACTCATGCTGACCTGCATGCAGAAAACACGAGCTCTTTTCATAGTGACTAAATATTACGCAGGACAAAATAACTACCATCATCAACACATGTTATCAAACATCACCCACCACCAACGCACTTATACAAAACCCCTATCTTAGGCCTTTACCAATTTCTTCAGCCTCCTTTCGATGACGTCTCTCCCCTCGAGGGTATCCCAGACACGATGGGGAGCCTTGTCAACAATATCCCAGTCTTCCAGCTTCCTGGTAAGGTGGCTTAGATCCCGTTGCTACAATCATCCAGTCAGCCTGCATTCAGCATAAAACCGGTGCCATCATCAGGTACATACCTTAACTTCCCACTCACTATCCCGTCTTATTTGTTCTCCAGAGCTAATAATAACCAGTGGCGTCTCCTTGTCCTGAATGGCCCGGCTTGAAGCAACGTCTCGCTTCGTGAGAGAGTCGGCCACCAGACTTTCCTGCAGTTTGGCAAAGATGGTGGAGCCAGATTGATACGAGGCACGGCCCCAAACTCGGTCCACGGAGCGTCTCCCTCTGAGTAGCGCACCGAGGATTCTATCAATTCCACACGGCGAGATGACGCCTCTCAGCCAGAGCAAGAACCCACGGCCTGGGTCTCCGACTCTTGAGAGCAGATCCTCATGAAGCGGATCAATCATCAACAAGCCCCTCACATCTTCTCCGTGTCTTGAGCTGAACACTCTCGAGTAGATCGACCCAATCCCAGCACTGACCAAAACCCAGGGACCCTCCTCTCCAGCCCTCGACAATGTCTCCCCCAAGACATCCGAAGCCATGCTGGCCGAGAGTGGCGACGGAGCAGTGTCACTCCAAGCCATACCGGGCCTATCCGCAAAGCAGAACCTCTCAATCGAGCCATTTTTGACCGCATTCTCGGCCAGCTGCCACAGGCCCCTTTCAACCGGATCCTCACCTCCCTCAATCAACACCGTTGTCGACTTTGCCCCGCTGGCATCAGTCTTGTTCCCGTAGCAGTACAGATGAATCTGGTACTTATCCTCATCCACCCAGTACCTCTCACCCGGCGGTCTCAGCCCAGAATCAACCGCTCTCAAGATCAAGGTACAAGTCATGAGCACCACCACCGCAGTAATCACCGAAAGCGCCACACTCGACAGCAGCACCTCTGTCCACTCCAGCAACGTCCTCCTGTGCTCCGGCCGCCCAGTCAACCTCTCCTCTTCCTCCGCCTTACCCCACTGAACCGTCCTGTCCGCAATGACCACCCACCCCACCATGAGCGTAGCCCAAACGACACTCCCTATCCCAACCCAAATCTCCTCATGTCTCGTCCTCGTCACCGCAACGATAACAATCGTGTCAACCAGCAACAGCCCCGCAAGAACCAGACTCAGAACCCGTTGGCTCTTACTCGGCACCGCAAAGAAGATCAACGAGATGGTAAGCGTAACTAGCGCAACAGTAGCGTAACTAAAGCTGAAGAAGGGTGATCCGCGAACGTGAAGACCGGGCGGTGTGACGAAGACGGAGACGACCATCAACACCCACCAGATGAATGTCAGGATGGTGAGCGCGACGGTGGCGTAGCGGACCAGGCGGACGGTGAAGAGGTTGTAGGGGGACACGGCTGGGTCGTCGGGGGAGAGGTAAGGGCCGTTGGAGGGGTTGTGGGGGGTGTAGGTTGTGCTGTCGACGCGGTTGGGGAGGAGGCGGGTGTGTTCGTTTGTTGTGGTGGGGTGGTGGTCCTCTTCGGAGGAGTAGCGCCGGTCCGAGGACCGAATGCCGTTTGTGGACATGGTGAGAGGTGAGATAGTGACAGCAAGGTAGGTTAAGGTTGTAGATGTGAAGGTAAGGGTAGACTAGACTATGGTGCCGACTAGCAGCAGTTCATTGTCTATATGTCCTGTGAAGATATTCCCCACCAAGATAACCGAAGTGAAAAAACTAAAGCGGCCTTGTAAATGATGGAAAATAGATATGGTTCTTCTTTAGTGACGGATCAGATATCAATTTCGCCTTGTCGCAGCAAGGTCATGGGGGGGGGTCTCCCACAATCAACGACGTCATAACTTGTTAGTTCTATGATAGGCCTGTTTTGGGTGTAGCAGGACGCTAATTGGTCGGTTTGGTCGGTTTGTTCAACCTTCCCGAACGCCAAAATCACGATGGATCGGCCGCTAACATCGACAGCCAAGGAATTGGCACTTTTGGGGGCACATGGTTTTTGATTGCTGGGAGTCCCTTGGTGCGTTTCGACATATAGGCTTCGTAGACGTTGCCTCAACCTTGATTGCTTTGGCTACACTGCTGCCTTCGGATGAATTGTCTCCAAAGTGGTCGATTTTGGGTCACTTTCCTGATCTCTCTGGTCTTACTTTTCTCATGATTGCCATCGTACATGCAGAGAATTCCCCCCAAGTTCATCGCATGGACATTTTCCTTCCCAACCTTATCCCCCTCGAAAAGACCTCCCCTTCACTGCCATTTGTCATCCCACCCATAATTCCACGGCACTTGCTGCTGGCCCCCATCCCCGCCAACCGGACTTAACCCCGACACCTCCCCCTTCCTAAAACTCCCACTCCCCCCACTCATACTATACCCAGACAAACTCCCACTTCCACCACTCCTCCCACTCCCCCCACTCCTTATACTCCCCCCCGCGGTCAGCTCACTCCCCCTCCTCTCCCTCTCTTTTCTCCTCCTCTCTTCCTTCTTCCTCCTGAGCAGTTCCTCCGGATCGGGCCCCGTCGTCGAGGTGATCGCATCAGAAGGGATCTCCCCTATCGGTGCCCTGAGCTTGGAGTGAGCTTCACTATCCGTCAGGGGGATCCCCGCCTTGCGGAAAGCTTCTTTTTGGTGTGACAGAAGAGCTTGCGTGGAGGGCTCGGATGTTGAGAGCCAGCCCGTGAGTTTGGAGACCTTTCCCAGGAGTTTCCCTCCACCTCCGCCTTCGCTTCGACTCCTGTCTTTGTTTGGGGAGGTGGGCTGTTGTTTCTTGGAGGAGGATTTGACAGAGGTTGATTTGCTGCTTTTGCGGGATTTGGACCGGTGTTGGGGGTCTGTTGCTTCTGGGTTTGCGCCGGACATGGCTGGGGGGTAGGAGGTGCGGTAGGTTGGGTCCATGGTGGGTGTTTTGGTCTGGGTTGGGTGTGGAGGTGAGATCGGTGCGAGGATCTCGGTTGGTCTGTTTAGGTGAAGGTGAGGTCGACTTGAGAACGTTTTTATTTCGTCTGGATGTTGAGGTTTAATATACCCAGGTATCGACTCTCGTTTGGTTTGATAGGTCGGCTCGGCGATGAAGGCTGTTCGGGAGCTGGTAACACAGCGGCCACACAGCTGAAGGGAAATCAGGACACCATCCAGACGCCAACTAATATTGACTTGTCGAGGACGTAAGAAAATTCCTTTATATTTCGCCGACAATGACTGTGTAACTCCGGATGATCACGCCACCGGCGGAAGAGGGGCATGAAAAGAATCACTATGAGAGATTCTCTCCGTTTGGAAGGAGCGTGTCCGGAGGGTTCTTCGGCTTGAGCAAGCTCTTCTACAGCTCATCAGGGGTCAGTCTTAAACCAGTGTCAGAAACAAGTTGTAAACCTTACGATGAAATCCTACGCACTGGCAGAATGCTTGGCCGACTCGAAAGTATTAGAGTTTTTGCTGGAACCGGAATTGCTATCTGGGCCAAGTGTTGCAACTTGGCATGCGTCTTCAAATCGATGCCGGTCCAAAAGTTGAGCTTCTTGTGGTTGTGGTGTTCTTGGGATATCTCGACGGCTCCTGAAATGGCTACGGTATCTAGATAACCGTCTAGCCTTTTCTTCCCTCCAGACCCAAGCCAAGGGAGAAGCAAGCAGACATGCAAGAGATACCCGATCTGAAGTCTGGTGTGAGGGAGGTCACCAATAGAGGACCCTGGGGACGAAAAGCAACAAGCCAAGCAAACTCAGAAGCTAGCCACGAGATCCCGAGACAGAAACAGGCGCTAGTCAAAGAATGTAGCCGCCACGAGCTGAAAACCAGATAAGAGGAATTTGTCGATACCAACCCCCGGTGCCGAGTTGCCAGAGCCTACCACTTATATCGTTGAGTGAAATCCGAGCTTGCTCAATGACATAGTGTATGTAACCTGCGGGGAGTGCAATATTTCATGGCGGTGTCAACCCCAAAGCAGCAGGAACCCTGGCTGCAACCTTGGCGAGAAAACCAGCCTGCATTGGACTGGGTGGATGTCGCTTGGCCTTGGTTCGATGATGCATCACAGTCGAGGATGGAAAACGGCCTTGGCACAGAGGAAGAATCTCTTCGAGTCCAAAGACTGTGCAGGATCGTCGTCAACGGGCTGAGAATTGCATGCTTCTTTGCTTCTATGGAAGCCCTCTCCCGAAATCTGGAACATTCTTGGATGTCGATCCCACGTTAACTCCCGAGACGGGCGGTATGATGGATGGTGCCATGAACCGACTAGATTGGCGAGTCCAGAGAACTGGGTACGTGATCCCGAATGCCGCAAGATATATTAACCAGATGCAACCTAGGGCTAATCCTAGGAAAATCCTCGCAGCTTGCAAAATCTTGACAACTCGTGGTGAGGGTCAACTTATGCCAATAAAATGCAGGCTGGTTTCTTTCAGGTCTAGACGTCTGCGGACTCGAGAAGCGAGCAAGATTGCGCGCACTGTTGAGCCTGCAGCTGTCAGTTCTCAGACCAAGTCTCCGAGAAGCAAGTTAGTTCAGCTCTTCTTTGGGAGGGAAGGTCAAGAGGTCATCCAGAAAGGACCTCAGATGCACCGGAGCATCCTGCCCTGCATCCGGTGCCCGACCTAACCTACCAGGAGAGAGCTTGATATCAATGTTGTCTTGTCTGGCGAATGGCACTGTGCTTCGACTGCATCTCCGTCTTCTAGCTTGGTCTTGATTGAGGTCCAGTGGGAGAAACATGGCAGTGATTGGTCGGCAACTGCAGGAGTCCTGTAGGAATGATTCGATTTATGCCTAGAAAAAGAACAATAGGCGCGTAAAGCCCTCAGCAAAAACTGGATGGAAGTCAAACATCTTCGATTTTCGAAGCCTCGCAGCGAGGGAGTGTTTCAAATGCTGTCAAGGTTCTCCGAAAGTCAAGATTCGGGACGCACAGACTTTAGCCCCACCATGGTGGGGCAATGTCGGTTAATCATCCGCCCTTGGCGACCCCCCCCAAGCCGCCGTCGCCTAATTCCCCGCCTTTCTTTGACATCCCTCACAGTCAGCCTGGAGGCCAAACGCCAACCAACGAGCCACGCAGACAAACATTCTTCCCCTTGCTTCCGCATCTGCAAGCCGCGCTTTCTGTCGGGTCACTCACGTTTTTTGACTTGACTTTTCTGCGCTCCCAGTTCAGCTTGCGCAAAACGCGCTTTGCTCCTCAACCCAACTTCAGAGCCTCGCGCGTGACCCAACACCAACCGGCGACCATGCCCGGCCTCACTATCATAAACGACGGAACACAGGCCACGCCGGCCTCCGGCGCGGCGCACGGTTCCGGACCCGGCTCCGCACCTCAACAACAACCATCTCAACCTCAACCACCACCACCAAACTCATCATCACGACAAGCACCACAACGCCATCAACAACCACCACAACTCCCCACCACGATCACAACCCCCAGAGCACCCTCCCCAACCCGCCCCCCAATATCCCCCATAACCCCCAAACTCGACCCCACCAAACCGACCCTCCCCCCTCACCTCCCAAAAGAAACCCCCATCCCACCCCAGGACAATCCCCGACTTCTCCTTTTCCCGCCCACCCCTATCCCACACCTCCCAACCCCAAGCCCAAACCGCCATCCCCCCTTCCCAACCAGTCCCACTAGACTTCGACTCCAACCCCGACGTCCTAGCCCTCAAATCAGCAATCTCCATCCTCCAACTCCAGCGCCAACGCGCCCGAGCAGACATCCAATCCCTCCACAAAGCCAAACTCTCCGCCCTCTCCGACCCAGCCTCCTTTGTCGCAGACCTCACAACCGGAATGGTTGGCCAAAGGGAAGAGGGCCTATTCGGGGGATCACCGCCATCCGACTCTGACTCTGACGACTCCGACGAGGACACTAAGAAGCAAGATGGAGAGGAGAAGGAAAAGGAGCCAGCATGGAGGACGTTACCCAAACCACAAACTGTCGTCCGATGCCCGCCTATAAACTGGAATCAGTACGTAATCGTGGGCGAGAGTTTGGATAAGTTACATGCTGAACAGCTCAAGGCGCCGACGCCGGGGGTTCCGGTTGTGATGACGGGGGGGTCAAACCAGGGGACGGCCGGGAGGTTCGAGTTTACGGCTGGGCAGCAGGGTGGTGGTGGTGGAGGTGCTGGAGGGGGTTTGGTGGGGAGTAATCAGCCGCAGAAGTTGGTCGGGATCGCGGCGCCGTATGTGCCGGGGAGGGACAAGATTGAGAAGAAGAGGGGAGGGAAACGGTCGTGATCTATCTCGTGAGAAAGAAAAGGAAGGGGCAATAAGACATGACAGTGAGAAACTTTCAGGAGATCATTATGAAGTGGACGAATATAGAGCAACACAAAGGGGGGCATCAGCTAGGCGTTTTTGGAGTTTGAATTTCCACAAGGGAACAACAGAGAGGACTAATGGCAACAGGATAGATGTTAAACAATAGGCTTTTAATTACAAATGGACTTCTCACTGTCCAGGTCAGCTGAGAGCTATTCATTCACAACAAACACATCACATCACGTCTCACGCTGTAAGTGGCTACAAAACACACTTCAATTCCTCACAAATGCTCCAGCGAAATGACCATCTATCAATGTCCCAGCCCAGCCCCCCAAACCTCCCATCGCTTGCCCGAATTTAAGCTATTGTTTGACTACGCTCCCGGGGAAGTAAGAAAAGATGCCTGTCAGAACGACAGCAACTGGACAACAAAACAGCTATCGTCACATGTCGACCACACCAGCAGCACCGCATATTAAAAGCCATAAATAAGCTCACTATAACCCTTGCCTCATCGCTACATCCCCCAAATCCCAGCCTCAAAACGCCGTGAAGCTTGCCTTTCGGATCCTGTATCCTAACAAGCTGATGTGAGAAAACGTACGGTGGAAGTGGTTTAAAAGTCCCTATAGTATGTTAGCCTGGTAAAACACCGCATGAATAATCCAACGGGCTTAGTTACTCCATAGACTGCTGAACCGAGCGACGAAGACGCCGGTTGTAGTTGCGGCGCTCGTCCACTCCTCCCCAGTACAGCTTGAAGGCTTCCGGATTGACCAGCGTCCGAGGATCGTACGGAGGGTTCTCCTCCTCCAAAGCATCAATCACCGCCTCAATGTGAGACTTGACATCCTCTCTCTTACTGATCGCAGAAACATAGCATGGCGTTCCATCAGGGGATATCCTATGGTGGAAGAGACGGGTCTCAAATCTAACACGAGGCTGTTCTTCTGGGAACCTGGGGCTGAAGTGAAGCCTGAATCTGAACAGCCCACCATCGAGATTCGTCATGGGCTTCCCGAAATAAGTGACTGCCCAGATAAAGGGGTTGCTGTCGACCAGCTCGATGTTGTGCGGGAGATCTGCACGCTTGAAGGACTCGACCACCTGCTCGAACTGGCGATAGAGGTTGACCGCGACGGTGGTCTCTTTGGCCTTGGCCTCCATTCCCTCAGCCGCCCATCGGTCAGTCTCCGCATCGAGAGCATTTTTGATGTTGCGCAGCCGCCTCTCCAGTTCTGGGTAGTTGAACTTTCCCTCCATCGAGTTGCTAGCTCCTTCAAAAGGCATCCTGGTGAAAGATTGCCCGTCCTTGGTCTCTTCCTTCCCCTTCTGGACGGCTGCGAGGTACGACTCATAGTACCACAGGAAGCGACGCTTGCATAGATCCTTGAATGGCAGGAACGGGGTGCTATCCTCATCTAGCGTATCCATGTCGAGATCGTAGTCACTTGGCACCATTGGGTTGATAGATCCGCCTGCATCCATCCCAAGATACTCCTCGAGACGTTGAATCACCGAGATTCGGAGGGTTTCATGCCGAATCTGTCCTCCCGTCAGCCTCGCAACCGGCAATGAACCATCGATTTCGTTACCTTTTGGACGTAGTCCTTCTGGTTCTTCTTGTCCGATGACTCATTGGCATCTTCGAATCCGGGCTCGTTTTCGTAGGGATTCGTAGACATCAGGCTCTGGATCGAGAGGAGGATAGACTCAAGGCCCTGCGCAGCTGACCACTCCTCACCAGGTTCTCCACGCCATGTCCTAGGTCTTGTTAGTCCAAAGCGAGAAGAAGCGTGCGCAGAGAGACAAGAAAGTACCCGAGAATCGACCTATATCCTGGTTAGCCCGGACTCTCCCCCGATTGATCGCTCCTGTACGTACAAGCAAACTTTTCCATTAGCATAGATGTTGGGGTTAAACCGGGTACGGCCAGAGTTTGTCGTGGTACAAGTGACTGTTGGTGACTTGCGGGGGTAATCTAGAGAAGATCAGATTGGTTGCTGAGCGAACAATGACAAAGATGCCGGAAAGCGAATGTCGATGTCTCTTATAAACCATCATCACGTACCCTTGTTGAACTTGAAGTCGAACTGCTGGTATGTTAGCCAGCTACCAATCATTGCAGACTCATTTCATGTTACCTCGAAGAAGCCGAATTCATACGGCGTCTCGTGGGGACCAATGATGAGGGCCTTGACGTTTCGGACATCTATGTCACGACAAGCGACGGCGAGAGCTAAGGAGTCTTGTGAGCTGAAGATACACGGGGCTACCGTTTTGGAGACCATGGCAGCTTACAAAGATCCGAGTTTTTCTGGAGGTCACTCAGCTCCTATACGTCAAGAGCGACATCGCCGTCTGTGTCAGCCTTCGGTACAACTTCGAGCCCATCCATGTTGCAGCCCCGCGGTGTGTGCTCTCCCCCACTGTCCGAGAGCGTCGAACCACGGCAACCCACCTTTGTGATCCGGAAGACGGACTGGTCCGCCATGGTGGATGAATGTTGTCGAAATGGATGTCGTCAAGGCGGAGTGTATAATGAATAAAACAGTGAAGAACTGTGCTGCGGACCGTCAAGGGTAGCTGGTAGCTATGCTGGGAATGAGGTTCTCACGAGTTGGATGTTTGGGAGAAGGGGTCCGGGTCAGCACAAATGGTCGAAAGGCAGTGGGTTGCGGGTGCCCGGACAAGGTTATAGGCAGGTCCCGCCTACGAGATTAGCGGCCTTTGCCTGCGCTAACGTTGGGTGTAACTGACAGTTGGGACAAAGTGCGGGGCAACAGTTATTGAGAGTTGGAGACTGAAAGGGATCGATTGGTTAATAACAGCACAATGTGGTAGCATTGCCTGATGTAAAACTGCATGCTTGGGCTTCTATGGAATGTAGAGTTACCTCGCCAGGCAATTTGAGGACCACATACCAGTAGTGTGAAAGATCTGGGAATACAAGTCATTCGGCCTGTCCCCACTCTTGGTAGGCAACCACGCCTTTGTTTTCACTCGTTGATCTGCTACCTTAGTCGATGCCTTCGGCTACTGATGTGGTCATTACTCTTCGTTGGTTTGACATGTTGGTATCTCGAGAAGCCTGCATTCAACATGCAAATTTGGACGTGGCAGCCTTGTTTTATATTAAAGCCGGCCCGGGTAGGTGAATCTCTGGAGGGGTCTTTGATGCCAGAGAGACCACCTGTTCAAGTCTGAACCTCTTGCAACATAAAAACAGGCGCATGGAAGATATGTTGAATCTAACCTGTTCATATCAAAGGCAGTATAGACAGGGGAAACATATGGACTCTGATACATTCTACACATTATACTAATGTCGTTGGGAAGGCTGTGGAGGGGAACAGTTGTGTGTGAAGCACCCCTCCATGACTGACCATCGGTGTTGTGGAGCCACAGGTACCGAGAGTGGGGGCCAGCTTGGAGAACCCCTGTCCCCAACGACGCGGTCGTCGCGCTTTTTCCAACTTGACGCGTAAAGTACCTTCATACTAGCATCGTCAACCTCGAGGTTTGCCTGCAGTAGCATCACCTTCACAGCTTAACCTCTTTGCATTGATTTTCATTCCAGGCCGATCAATCTTCTCAATAACCGGAAAGTCCCCTTTTCCAGATACAAGCTAATCCACATATTCGATATCCACAACTATGGCCAGCTTTTTTGACCTCAAGGCCCGAAAGGCTGCCCTTGCCAATGGAGCAGCCACCAAAGAAACCGAGAAGAAAGATGGCGAGAACACCAGAGTACAACCATGGGTTGAGAAATAGTACGTATTTTTCATCATGATCAACACTTCAACTTCCTAAATATTGACCCTCATCCCCCTCCAGCCGACCCAAAACCCTCAGCGATGTCACCGCCCAAGACCACACCATCACCGTCCTCCAGCGAACCCTCCAAGCCTCCAACGTATGTTCACCCCCTTCACCACCTTCAAGTTTCCCAACTAACATGACCCTTTCTCCCCAGCTCCCCCACATGCTCTTCTACGGACCCCCAGGAACAGGCAAAACCTCGACCATCCTCGCCCTCGCCAAAGAGCTCTACGGTCCCGAACTGATGAAATCCCGCGTCCTCGAGCTCAACGCCTCCGACGAGCGCGGCATTTCCATCGTCCGCGAAAAAGTCAAGGATTTCGCCCGCATGCAGCTCACCAACGTCTCCTCTGCCGCCTACAAAGCCCGCTACCCCTGCCCCCCGTTCAAGATCATCATTCTGGACGAGGCAGACAGCATGACGCAGGATGCGCAGTCGGCCCTGAGACGGACAATGGAGACATACAGCAAGATTACCCGTTTTTGTTTGATTTGCAACTACGTCACGAGGATCATTGACCCGTTGGCGTCGAGGTGTAGCAAGTTTAGGTTCAAGAGTTTGGACCAAGGGAATGCGAAGAAACGATTGGAGGAGATTGCAGAGAAGGAAAAGGTTGGGTTGGACGAGGGGGCGGTGGAGGGGTTGATAAACTGTGCGGAGGGGGATTTGAGAAAGGCGATTACTTATCTGCAGAGTGCGGCGAGACTGGTTGGGGCGGTGCAGCAGCCTGGTGGAGGAGACGATGGGGAGGATGGGATGGATGTGGATAAGAAGACGGTTTCGGTCAAGATCCTCCAGGATATTGCCGGGGTGATTCCTGACGAGACGATTCACACACTTCTTAAGGCGATGAGGCCGACGACGTTCGGGGGGAATTATACACCTATTGCGAAGGAGGTGGAGGATATGGTGGCGGATGGGTGGAGTGCTGGGCAGGTGGTAACTCAGCTTTATCAGGCGGTGGTGTATGACGAGACAATTGAGGACGCGCAAAAGAACAAGATTCTGTTGGTGTTCTCGGAGATTGATAAGAGGTTGGTGGACGGGGCGGATGAGCATCTTTCGATTTTGGATCTGGCGTTGAGAATATCGGGTATTCTGGGTGGGAGATAGATAGGGAGGCATGATGTTGCACGGAATAATGTAAATTCCCATGGCGTTTTGGGGACAGCAAGCAGGCAAAAATACAGGGGAACTGGTAGAATCGTCTTTTCTTGCCACCTTAAACTACATAATACAATACATTTCACTCATCAGACCTCAGCAGCCCCAGATTCCCGTTGACCATATCCCAAACCGTTCCTGTCTTGGCCGCTGCTGCTGGTTGCTCAACCATCTTGCTTCCTCGACGGGTGTGTTTTCTCGCAGGCGAGCTCCCCTCCGCCATCCAGATATCCTCCTCCCCTTCGTTCATGCTCGCTCCCTCTCCGGCCTTCCGTCCCAGCAAGAGATCCACCTCCGCTAACGTCTGCAACGACCCCTCCAGCGCCACCTGCCCTTCCTCAATCTTCTCCGCTACTGTCTCAAACGTGGCAATCTTGGCTTGCTCAGCTGCATACACCCATTGTTTGACACGGCCAGAAACTTGGGTGTAGTCGTCATTGCTGGTGGAGAGGGTATGGTCACTGGACTTTACCCTATTGCCTCCCGGCATAGGGTGTGCGGGTATCAACTGGCTTTCTTGAGCTAGATGATCCAAAGCCGTGGTGTTTTCCTTGACTTGTTTGCTGATTGTATTGTTCAGATGGTGTTTCTGAGCAATGAGACCCTTTTGCTCGCGGGAGAGGGCGAGGAGTTGCTCTAGGTAGGGGGTGAGGAGTTGTGCTGCGGACGTTGGTTGAGAAGACAGCCCAGACTCGTTCTGTGAGTTCATATCTTCTGGTTTGGTGGGTTTGATGTCTGGTTTAGGGTGTTGGCTGACGAGATTGAGGAGGGATTTGCGAGCCTCGAGGTATTGGTCGTATTTATCTTTTATACTGACCAGCTGGGCGTCCATGTCAAGGGGCTCGTTAATGGACGCTTTGCTGGCGCGGAATCGGTTGTCTAGACTGCCTTGGGGGGGGTCGGCGTCGTCGCCTGATGCTTTGGAGAGTTCATTTTCGATCCAGCTGATGAGTTCTATCCTGGTTTTGTTGAGGGCTTCGAGTTTGGCGCTGTCGGTGGTGGTTTCTGGGCGGGCGGTGGATTGTGACCTGACCTTGTCTAGGGCTTTCTCTTCTTTTTGGAGTAATAGCTTTGCCTCGAAGACGTGTTTCTCTAGTTGGTCGTTTAGGTCTTTGAGGTGGGCGTTGGTGGAGGTGTTATCGAGAGTCATGGCGGAGACGATCTCTCTTGGAATGCTGGGTAGAGATCGACTGTCTCGAAATACCTCCTTGGGGTTCATGAAATCTGGCGATGCTGCTGGCTTTTGACTCAGCTGGATGAGGTGCTTTTCGATTGCCTGGAGCCTCTCGCGCTTCTTTTCGAGACTGATAATCGCCAGGTGCTCCTGGAGACGCTCTAGGCCTCCATTTGAGCTGTCATCTTCTTCTGGCTCGCTTGCATGACTGGTTTCATGAGTCTGCTTTCTGAACTCGTCACGGGCTTTGATGTTTGCCCTCAAGGCCTCGAGATATTGTCGATAAAGGCCTTGGGTGGTGGAGGCTGGGCCAGGCTTCTGATCAGTAACCAGAGCCAAGGGTTCTCTAACAGATCCATGCTGGAGACTAGACTCCAGATGCAATGCTATCATTCGTCGAATATGTGCTGCTTCTTCACGTGGTCTGATATAGCGGTCGAGAACTCTTTGTATGGTTGTGAGGGTATCATTGGTTGGGCTGGGCATTGCGGTGAGTTGTAAGGTGAGGTTGAAGCGTTCGCTAACAAAAGATTGAGGATGCTGGCTTCGGTTTATGGGTCCAGTTGTCTTTGAAGAAGAGTATATTAAACACCCATGGATTCAGCGTATTCTCGACAATTTCATGAATAACCTCGTATTGCTGTAGTCAGTAAGTGGTGTTGTTGTTTGTGACAAGATACTGTCTTGAGCAGCTTGTAAACACACTGGCTGTTTGTTAGGGAAGTTGACTTGATATAAATGCAGGGGCCATCAGTGGTGTCCTCACTAAATATGCCTCAGCTACGGTTTACTTTGACAGCAGGCGGCCAATCAGAGGACGTCGCGGAACTACCCAAAAAATTCCCACATAGAGGACGGCGCATGGCAGCTTCAACTCTCAGACGCGAGCAGCGCGACTGCTATTTTCCACCACATCCATCTCTCAACAACGTGTGACCTGCGTCGTCCACCCACCACGAATTCAGTCATTTGATGCGGCACTCGAATGCATATTTCTTTCAGCTTCTTCAGACAAGCCTGAGTTCAGTTTTGGGGCGGGGCTGGGTTGGAATAGTTTCCGCCACAGACAGGTTTCGCTGCGGCGACTGCGAAATCCCATAATTTTGAGACGACCACCCTCACCTCGTCGATTTCTCCCCGTATCATCCATCTCCCACCATCCGCCAACATGTCCGACTATCAGCGCGATGTCTCGCAGTACAAGTACTCGGCCATGTCCAACCTGGTCCTCCAGGCGGACCGTCGGTTTGTCACAAGACGAACAGACGAGGCCACAGGCGACCCGGAATCTCTCGCCGGTCGTCTCTCCATCAAGGATATGGGCGCACGTGTCGGCCGCGATGCGGCCCCAAAGACGAAAAAGACCAGTGCCATGCCCAACGTCGAGCGAGGAGATGTACAGGAAGGCGCTGACATTCTTCAACACTTGAAGGACAAGAAGAAGAAGGGCAAGACTGAGACCCGCGGCGGTGGTATTCTCGCGAGCACCGACATGATCGAGGGTATCATCTACCGACCACGAACACAGCCAACACGGGACGCATTCAACCTCATCCTGACGATTGTGGCCGAGCACTTGGGTGATCTACCCCACGACACAGTGCGCAGCGCGGCTGATGCCGTACTGGAGTTCCTCAAGGATGATGACCTCAAGGATTTTGACAAGAAGAAGGAAATTGATGGGATATTGGGCGAGTCTATGGATCCAAAGCAGTTCAATGAGCTGGTAAATCTTGGAAAGAAGATCACAGATTACGATGCGCAGGACGACGAGGATGAGGAAATGGGCGATGCCAGACCAGATGCCGATGATGAAATTGATGGCCGCCAAGGTGTTGCGGTCAACTTTGAAAACGACGAAGATGATGATGGCATGGTAGATGTAGTACGGGACGAGTCTTCTTCTGAGGACGAGGAAGAGGATATTGACGATGAGGATCGGCCAGAGCTTCAGGAGGTTGCCGATGGTGGGGAGGCTGGGATTGATCGGGATGAGGAGGAGGTAGGGTTGGTTGATGGCGAGACTATGGTTATCGATGCAGCGCCAAACGGGAAGGACAAGTCCGAGGAGAAGAACTCTGTGCCGGCCCGGGATATTGATGCATATTGGTTACAACGGCAAATTGGTCGCCTTTACCCAGATGCCCATGTTCAGCACGACAAGACCTCCCTTGCGCTCAAGATCCTTTCAGGAGAGCCGGATGAGCCAGGTGGAGAGGAGAAGCAACTTCGCGACATTGAAAATGACCTCATGGAGCTCTTTGACTACGAGCACCATGAGATTGTGCAAAAGCTGATCGAGAACCGGGAAAAGGTTGTGTGGCTTACACGGCTGGCCAGGGCAGAGGACCAGAAGGAACGAGACACAATCGAAAGAGAAATGGCTTCAGAAGGGCTGCGGTGGATTCTGGACGAACTTCATGGCAAGTCCAAGGATGACCAAAAGAAGCCAAAGATGGAAATCAAGATGGACATCGACTCTGGTGCCTTTGCCGACGGGAAAGCCCCAAAGCAGGAAAAGCCTGATGGTCAGTTGGTCGGCGGTCTTCAACCCAAGAAACTGATCAACCTGGAAAATCTCGTGTTCGACCAAGGCAATCATCTCAACACCAATCCCAAGGTCAGGCTACCGGAAGGTACCACAAAAAGAACCTTCAAGGGCTACGAAGAAATTCATGTGCCTCCACCCAAGAAGCGTAACGATCCTAGCGATGTGAACATCCCTATTTCGGAGATGCCAGAGTGGGCTCAACCTCCTTTCAGCACAACCAAGTCTCTCAACAAGATTCAGTCAAAGTGCTTCCCTACTGCGTTTCATGACGACGGCAACATGCTGGTCTGCGCCCCGACAGGTTCCGGCAAGACCAACGTGTCTATGCTCACCATTCTCAGAGAGATTGGCAAGAACAGGAACGAGAGGGGTGAGATTGACCTCGACGCCTTCAAGATTGTCTACATTGCCCCCCTGAAGGCTCTTGTACAGGAGCAGGTCGGCAATTTTGGCAAGCGTCTGGAGCCGTATGGTATCAAGGTCTCGGAATTGACTGGTGACCGGCAGCTCACCAAGCAGCAAATCTCTGAGACCCAGATCATTGTCACGACACCTGAGAAGTGGGATGTCATCACCAGAAAGGCCACTGATATCTCCTACACAAATCTGGTTCGGCTGATCATTATCGACGAAATCCATCTTCTACATGATGATCGTGGCCCGGTTTTGGAGAGCATTGTGAGCAGGACGATTCGCAAGACCGAGCAAACCGGTGAACCAGTCCGTATTGTTGGTCTCTCTGCTACTTTGCCGAACTACAAAGATGTCGCAAGCTTCCTGCGTGTTGATATGGCCAAGGGCTTGTTCCATTTTGATGGTTCATTCCGTCCCTGCCCGTTGCGCCAAGAATTCATTGGCATCACCGAGAGGAAAGCCATCAAGCAACTCAAGACCATGAACGATATTACCTACACCAAGGTGATAGAGCATGTCGGCACTCACCGCAACCAAATGCTGATTTTCGTTCATTCGAGAAAAGAAACGGCAAAGACGGCCAAGTACATTCGCGACAAGGCTTTGGAGATGGATACCATCAACCAGATCCTCAAGCACGATGCTGGTACTCGTGAGGTGCTTAGTGAAGCAGCGAATGCAGTCAACAATACGGATCTCAAGGACATCTTGCCCTACGGTTTTGGTATCCATCACGCTGGTATGAGCCGAGCTGATCGCACTGATGTTGAGGATCTTTTCTCTAGCGGCCATATTCAGGTGCTTGTCTGCACGGCCACCCTCGCTTGGGGTGTCAACTTGCCTGCTCACACAGTCATTATCAAGGGTACTCAAGTGTATTCTCCAGAAAAGGGTAGCTGGGTTGAATTGAGCCCTCAGGATGTCCTGCAGATGCTTGGTCGTGCCGGTCGCCCACAGTTCGACACATACGGTGAAGGCATCATCATCACCACTCAGGGAGAAATGACGTACTATCTTTCGCTTCTCAACCAGCAGCTGCCTATTGAAAGTCAGTTTGCAAGCAAGCTGGTGGACAATCTCAACGCTGAAATCGTCCTGGGCAATGTTCGCAGCCGCGATGAAGGTGTGGAGTGGCTCGGCTACACCTATCTCTTCGTTCGCATGCTCCGGTCGCCCGGTCTCTACAGCGTCGGCGCAGAGTACGAGGATGATGAGGCATTGGAGCAGAAACGTGTCGATCTAATACACTCGGCCGCCACTGTGCTCAAGAAGTCGAACTTGATCAAATACGATGAAAAGACCGGCAAGCTCCAGTCTACCGAGCTTGGTCGTATCGCCTCTCATTACTACATCACAAACTCGTCCATGGACACCTACAACAAGCTGATCCAGCCGGCGATGAATGATGTGGAGCTCTTCCGTGTCTTTGCACAGAGTGGCGAGTTCAAGTACATTCCGGTTCGTCAAGAAGAAAAGCTTGAACTGGCCAAGCTGCTTGCTCGTGTGCCCATTCCCGTCAAGGAGAGCATCGAGGAGCCAACTGCCAAGATCAATGTTCTGCTTCAGGCCTACATTTCTCGCCTGCGACTGGATGGCCTTGCCCTGATGGCCGACATGGTCTATGTCACTCAGTCTGCTGGCCGCATCCTTCGTGCCATCTTCGAAATCACCCTCAAGAAGGGATGGGCTTCAGTTGCCAAGTTGGCTCTGAACCTGTGCAAGATGGCCGAGAAGAGAATGTGGCCGACTATGTCTCCTCTCAGACAGTTCCCCAGCTGCCCAGGCGAAATCGTCAGAAAGGCTGAGCGGATAGAGGTGCCTTTCAGCAGCTATCTGGACCTTGATCCCCCTCGCATGGGCGAGTTGCTCGGCATGCCCAAGGCTGGAAAGACTGTTTGCGCGCTTGTGGCCAAGTTTCCTCGCGTCGAAGTTCAGGCCAACGTCCAGCCCATGACTCGCTCCATGCTCCGGGTCGAGTTGACCATCACGCCCAACTTTGAGTGGGATGTTGACGTTCATGGGTTGTCTGAAAGCTTCTGGATCATGGTAGAAGACTGCGATGGTGAAGACATTCTCTTCCATGACCAGTTCATCCTCCGCAAGGACTATGCCGAGTCTGATGCGAATGAACACATTGTAGAGTTCACAGTGCCCATCACTGAGCCAATGCCGCCCAATTACTTCATCTCGGTGATTTCGGACCGCTGGATGCACTCCCGGAGACGTCCGACCTGCCCAGGTATCCATTTCCAGGCAGCGTGATTCCTGCCCAAGAAGAGGTTGCCCCACCCTACCACAACTGAGCTGTCGTTGAGTTGTGCAGCCTCTGCCGGTTACTGCCCCTGAAGGCCAAGGACTATGCCGCTCTCTACCCTGACTTGACCCAGTTCAACAAGATCCAAACGCAAACATTCAACTCGCTCTACGGCACCGACAACAATGTCCTTGTGGCCGCTCCCACGAGCAGCGGCAAGACCGTCTGTGCCGAGTTTGCCTTGCTTCGCCACTGGAACAAGCAGGAGTCTGGACGCGCAGTGTACATTGCCCCGTTCCAGGAGTTGGTGGACCTGCGCTATCAAGATTGGCAGAAGAAGTTTGCCAATCTCAGGGGGGGCAAGGATATTGTCAAGCTGACTGGAGAGACTGCTGCTGATCTGAAGCTCCTCGAGCAAGGTGACTTGATTCTGGCGACGCCTCTTCAGTGGGATGTCTTGTCCAGACAATGGAAGCGCAGAAAGAACGTCCAGACTGTGGAGCTCTTCATTGCCGATGAGCTGCACATGCTTGGTGGGCAGATGGGATACATCTACGAGATTATCGTGGTCCCGCATGCACTACATCCCGCACCCAGACTGAGCTCCCGGTCAGAATCGTTGGTCTCAGTGTTTCCCTTGCCAACGCTCGCGATGTGGGAGAGTGGATTGACGCCAAGGAAGCATGATATCTACAACTTTAGCCCTCATGTCAGGCCCGTTCCTCTGGAGCTTCACATTCAGTCATACACCATTCCTCATTTCCCATCCCTGATGCTGGCGATGGCTAAGCCAACATATCTGGCTGTGACTCAGATGTCGCCTGATCAGCCGGCTCTCATTTTTGTGCCCAGCCGCAAGCAAACTAGAGCCACAGCAAGGGACATCCTCACTGCCGCATTGGCAGATGATGATGAGGACCGCTTCTTGAACGTTGAGGTGGAGCAGATACAGAAGCTTCTCGAGCGTGTCCAAGAGCCAGCTCTCGCGGAGGCTCTCTCCCACGGCGTTGGCTACTACCACGAAGCTCTTAGCCAGAGTGACAAGCGCATTGTCATGCATCTCTACAAGAATAATGCCATCCAGGTTCTCATCGCCTCTCGCGATGTCTGCTGGGAGCTGGATTGCACTGCCCACCTCGTTATTGTCATGGGCACGCAATACTTCGAGGGCAGAGAGCACCGCTATGTTGACTACCCGCTCAGCGAGGTTCTGCAAATGTTCGGCAAGGCTTCGCAGTCTTCGCGCGACGGCCGTGGTCGCGGTGTGCTGATGGTGCCGGCGGTGAAGAGAGAGTATTACAAAAAATTCCTCAACGAAGCTCTGCCCGTTGAGTCGCATCTTCACAACTTCCTCCAGGATGCGTTTGTGACCGAGATCAGCACGAGGATGATCGAGTCTGGTGAGGATGCTATCAACTGGGCCACATTCACCTACTTTTATCGCCGACTGCTCGCCAACCCAAGCTACTACAGTCTTACGGATCCTACTCACGAGGGCCTGAGCCAGTACCTCTCTGACATGGTTGAAGCCACCCTGAAGGAGCTCTCGGAGTCCAAGATTGTAGACTTTGACGAGGATGAGGGCACTGTCGCTCCTCAGAACGCTGCCATGATTGCTGCGTATTACAACATCTCGTACATCACCATGCAGACCTTCCTTCTCTCGCTCACGGCGAAGACGAAGCTCAAGGGCATTCTCGAAATCGTTACGTCTGCTACCGAGTTTGAATCGATTCAGATCCGGCGTCACGAGGAAGCCATCCTCAGACGCATCTATGACAGTGTTCCCGTCAAGATGGCTGAGCCAGCTTTCGATTCGCCTCATTTCAAGGCCTTTGTGTTGGTTCAGGCCCATTTCTCCCGGATGAACCTCCCGATTGATTTGGCTAAGGACCAGGAAGTCATCTTGACCAAGATTGTCAGCCTGTTGAATGCCATCGTCGATATCTTGTCTTCTGATGGCCGTCTCAACGCCATGAACGCCATGGAAATGTCGCAGATGGTGGTGCAGGCCATGTGGGATCGCGACAGCCCCCTCAAGCAGATTCCCAACTTCACCACCGAAACTGTCAAGGTGGCCAACAAGTACGATATTCAGGATATCTTTGACTTCATGAGCAAGATGGATCCTGACGAGAATCCTGACTACAATTCTCTCATCAAGGATCTCGGGTTCACCCAGGCACAGCTCGCGCAGGCGGCCAACTTTACCAACAGCAAGTATCCCGAAATCTCGCTGGAGGTTGAGGTGGAGGACAAGGATGAGATCCGGGCTGGCGAGCCGGCGTACCTCAAGATCGCGATCGAGCGGGAGATTGACGAGGACGAGGAGTACGACCCGACCGTGCACGCGCCGTTTTACCCCGGGAAGAAGACGGAGAGTTGGTGGTTGGTGGTTGGCGAGGAAAAGACAAAGGAGCTGCTGGCAATCAAGCGGATCACGGTAGGACGGAAACTCAACGTCAGACTGGAATTCACCGTGCCTCCGGGCGGGTCACCCACGACTTGAACCTC